AATAATAATATTGGAATAGTACATAACTCATTTGTTATATCAACTTGTACGTTGTTATATCGTTATTTAAGAAAATTAGGAAAACAAATAATATAGCATATAGAATTTTTACACGGCACATTTTTCACATCGTGGACCGTGAAACCATGAAAGCAGGTACATTTTGTGTGCCTCAAAGCAATTGTTTTCAAGTCCACCACGGGTGCTGTAATTGCATTATTTAAATCTTCGTTACTTTGTGATAGCATTCATGTTATTGAATTGTAAACGTGCTGCTCTATGAATCTTCGTCAATGATTGATCAGCTGGATCAAACAACGTCCCATCGTTTTCAGAACTGGCGTATGAAGTAAAGCTTGGTAACTTGAGGAAAATTCCCAAGAATCAATCGCCCATACGCCTTGTGATTCGTCAGCGCTTGAACTATATCCAAACAAGGCAAATGTATCTCGTAAAACTGAAGTCTTTTCGTCGTCATAAAAATACTCAGATATTGGAGTCAAGGTACACTTGCCACCATATAAACATGGATACATTGTACAAAATGATATTTGTAAGTTGGTATTATAAGCGCTGAAAGCCATCTCGATCTGTAACATTTCTTCTTCATCTGCAGAGGAAATAATAAAATGTTACATTTATATTTTACACTCGTCGAAAACTAAGAATAGTCCTTGTCCTCAATTTTTTTTCATTGCCGTTTTGTCATTTCTTGAAGTATTTAATTTTGTATTACTGAAATCAAAACGGTTTTCTGAAATTTCATCTATGAACCAAACGATTCCGAAATATAATCCTTCAAATCTAACAAGCATAGGGTCATACTTGTCAAAAAACGATATTTACCTGCGGTGATCGAATCGACGCCTTCAAATGTTACCAGGGTTGCCGTCCCGTCTGCAAATAGTGCTGTAGCGATGCTAAGTTCGTCTTCATATCCTGACAAACAATGAGAACATTATAAAAATAAATTGAGAATTGCATTTGTAAATAAATACACCATAAATGAAATTTATTCGCTAAATCATCCCATACGAAGCTATCACTTCTATTTCGTCTTTGCATATACCCCCAAGCACATGTACATGGTGCAAGATATGAGGTTTCTAATTTTGTCCCAGATCCCCACTAGTTATCACATTTATATATATCGGAGAAATACCAAATTTCAATAACCTGATAGCGTAATGTCGACTACCTCTTTTCCAATTTTATATTTATCATGTCCAAGACATGTCACGAACGAAGAGAAACCTACTGTAAGCAAGAGAAGGTATCTGAACGCCCCCGTGTACTTTAAATGTGAAATAGTAATGGCCATTTCAACCATTTTCATGATTGACTAAATAGTCATTTCTTGCACGCACTTCCAATACGTTCGTTGGGGACTGGGTGAAATGAGCTCGGTTGGAATGTTTTTGGATTTATGAATAATTCATGTATTCGATTAAAATGTCATTTTAAAAATAGTATTGGTATTCGTCCCTCAGACGAAGTAGAGTTACCCAAATTCCGTATTGTAGATCATAAATTTTCTCGTTTGACTTTGCATAAATTTTTCTCTGTGTCACATAGGCGACTAATATGATAAGTAAATTACACATATATATTGGAATTTTTGGTTATCATCATACACAAACACAAGTGTTAAATAAACTTTCTTCATTTTAGTAGAGGTATTTGATAAATTTATATATTCTGTTTTTGGGTCACCCTGTATATCTCTTCTTCCTAGAGTAGGCTAAACTGACACTTATGCTGACGTTAAAAAATATTAAACCACCAGCATCAACAAGCAAAAATTATTCAATTAAATAATATACGTGCACTTCCTTCAATATTGATAAGTACCTGTTTTCGGCAATTCATATACGTCCACGAAATCCAACATTCTTGCAGTTGCTGCTGTGCAAACCCGGTATTTCGAAATAAACAACAAACTTGCAAAAAATATTAAACCATGTCAGGCAGCTCCATATTGCGTTTAAAAGAAATAGAAAAAAGTAATCGTTATGAATCCTAATTTTTGTTAATGCCGACAAAAAGGCTCGTCATTTCTGCGTCGTACTTCCACTGCAATTTATCGTTGTCCGGTTATCCACGTATGATTAAGAAAAGGCAGATTATAATAATATTCTATTGGTGTAGTATGTGAATACATTTATTAAGTGTGTCGGCGCTGTTCTAAACAATCGATAACCTAGTATTTTGACGTCACCTATATGGCACATATATTGTTCATCTAAATTTCCGTCATTTTGTAAAATCTGAATTTATAGGCAAGTTAATTTGTCTCCCATAGTGATAGTGAAATTGATACAATTACTACTATGAGATAGGGCAAGCCATCATCGCTGCCGTAGAATGAATCGCAGTTTAAAATACTTTCTATTTATCATTTTGTGTATGTTTACAAGTAACATTCGCCAACATTTTTATTATTCAACTAAAACAGGGACGAACTACGCATTCAACAATGATTTAAACTAGTTTAGCACGCTAGCACATAAACTTCATGAAAATTTTGGAATAATACACCCATACACTAGATCAACATGCACGTTATTATTACTCATTTTTATTAAAATAATGAAATCAAAGAATCTAGCATATATATATTTTCACACGGCACATTTTTCACATCGTGGACCCGTGAAACCATGAAAGCAGGTACATAAGTGTTACCATATTTGTGCTGAGCACTTCAAAAATATTAGTGTTTCGAAGGCGAAACGAATCACAAAGTTCCCAAAAGTGTGTCAGAAACAATAAATTATGGCATCATTATTACACATCGAATTCAATGTATAATATTATGCAGCAGACATTTTCGAGGACTTAATCCACAAAAAAGGAAAGTTGAAGATAATTCGGGAGCATGAAATGATAATAAATGATAAAGCACCAGAACAATTAAAAAACAGATATTACACGTAATTTTCTTTGTAAGGATTTTTACTCATACTCAACAACATATTTGTTGCTTTCTGCTTCTGAGACAAATTTTGCGTTGGTTGGTAGGACCGAACATTCTAGAAATTGCTTTGGGTAATAATTACTAGGGTAATCAACGCCGACTCGACAGGAGTTGCGTCAGTCAGTTTGCCTCACGTGTGTTGTCAGGTCGCCCAGAAGCTACGATTGTGTTTTGTTTACATGGCGATTTCAGGGCAGTCGTATACATATAATTCAATATAATACATTATTCAATATTATCAAAAGTTATGGAGGCAGAACCGTCTTCACAGTGATAAATGCCTCTACGACAAAGCCTTCATAGCTGGGTTTTAAGAGAACGCGTTATTTATCTAACAATGTAGGTGAAAATCCCATTTTTCTACTTCTTAAGTCTTATTTGAGGGGAAAGATTATGATCTAGCATCCGTTTATGGGGTTTATCTTATGTTTCAATTGTTCAAGTGCGATAAATATCAACTTATTTTATTGTTTCAGTTTAAAATACGATATATATATAAAAACATTGCATGTTGCAAACTCGTCGATATTTGAAGAGGTTGACAATCTGAAAGATAATGCATTCGTCTTGTTCGCATTGGTCAAAGAACTTTCAGGTAAGTACTTTACATTGTTCATAGGTTTATTTTATGTTATACTACGGCATGCACATCGTGCTACGCGTTATGAATACAAGCCAAATCACACTCGGCCTGAACTCAAATGGTGGAATTCCGCAGGTGCTATAGTTACTCTTTTCTAAAGCTTTGCTTATAACGCCGCGTTCGTATAAGCTAGTTTGGGTGGATATAAGTCGGAGATAGCTTTACACCAAGTCCATGTACTTTAAAATCTACATTTGAAATGCACTAGCTAGCAGTGCAGTTTGGATTCTGATATAGATATCATATTATTGGTTTCACTGTCCTCTGATGAAATAAGAAAATATTACAAATATATATTACCAAAATTGTATTGCCAAAGTTATTTTCTCAATTTTATCCCACGTTCGAATCCGAAATAAGTTCAATTTGGCTTCTGCTACTTCACCATAAGCAAAGTAGTACTTCATGAATAATGATAACTGTTATAAAGAATTTCTTAAACGTTTAACAGAAACCGACAAAGATTCAATTTTTCGCGGCGGGTGTGAGAACTGAATTTCAACTTCTCTCATGCAAGCTGACGTCATCATGGGCTGACGCATACTCGGAAGATCTCAAATATATCATCAACTTCAAAAAGGTAATTGTTGAAACTATAGATGTATATTTTTGCGAAAATTCGCTTTGTTGCGAATCCTTGTTAAAAATCGTGTTCTGGTGAACTTTTCTCACTGTCTGCTTAAGCTGTTATTATTTGGCCAAAAAATCTATTATTATCAAAGTCTACCAAAGTCAATTAAATAAATTTATTTTAAATGCAATGTATTCAAAATAGAAATCACAACGTGATTGTTTTATTGTCATTAACAGGTAAAGAAAATTTCCTGATGTTCGAGTGTTTAAGAAGACCAGCTAGGACATCAATCAACTAAGGTGAGATACAACAATAAATATCCAACTGCGATTAATAATCATTTATTCAATGCAGTAAAAAAGGTTTTAAAATGCGGAGATAATATTTTTTTTTAATTTGGTGATTCTAGAATCTAGACTATTTTCCAGAACACGGATTTAAGAAACACCCAATTGATAAGAAATAATGAGTCACCAAATTTCATAATTGGCCTTTTTCGTTATTTTTTGAGCCTTGCTAGGCCGGACACAACGTTTCATATATAGAGCAGTTGTCGGATTAGCTTGAATTCTACCCTGAAAAAAGTAGATATAAATTGCTATAACATATCAGAATATTATTCTTATTGCTTTCTTGTTTTTTAACCCAGGTCCACTGAACGTATCGGTTCGCTTGTCGTTTATGTTCGTTATACGAACACTTCTTGATGTAGAATCAGAGCCATCGGGCGAAGCGCAAAGGGCGCGAAGATGGAAGATAGGACTCTACGCTTCGCTAGATGGATATTTCACTTGTGTGGTACTTGAAAATACTTCTCGTCTGTCGATTTATTAGTTAGTCAGCCAGGAATGATTAGATAGGTTTCGACAGACGAATCTAGACTAGGGGTTTAATTGGCTGTTATTAGGACTGTTTATAATGGAACACTTAAAATATCAAATTTTTTATGTGATGATTATCTGCTCTTTATGGGCGTGTACATAATACTTGTTTAAACGAGTATAAATTTCTGATTGAACTTTCATTTAGCATCATTCCGGTGTATCGATCTACACAGTAATAATTTGTGGACGATTGTTTTATGATTCATCAATAATAATATATATATAAAATAGGGCAAACTAACCATGTTTTTCTTTTATTAATGCCGAAACCTTTCTATTATTGTAATTAGCGATGTGATATCTTCAGAATTAAAAAAAATTTGCTCCTCAAAATTTGACCGGCCGAATTAAATAAAGAAGGGTTTCGGTTAGGCTTAGCACTGCACTGAATTATGTATTGTTTAGTTAGATAGGGCGATAGGGATTATTCATAATTCCGGGGATTAAGCTTCAAAGTCTCCTAAATTAAATCGGTCTTATGGAGCACATATTTGGATGAGACTTGGGCTTTTCCCCTTGCATGTTAGGCCATAGTACAGGGTGCCCACAAATTGTGGGACGAAGCAGACGAAAGACATCGAAAATACCACAATTCCTCTTAGGTGCAATAAACGGCCATAAATTCTAAACTTGACTACAGAAATTGTTTTCTGAATGATATGTTTGGTTCATTTTAATATTCAGATTTATTTGAAAACCATTGGCCATTATTGCGCTCAAAGAGGTCAAGTCTTGGATTAATATTGAACGGGTTTCTCTATACGTTGAACCCAGATTCAATATTACCAAGCCCAGTAGCACAAAGCTTCTGGTAAGGTAGTTAGACTAGGGCAAGTAGTAGTTGATGACTTTAGCATTGTGGCGCACACAATTGTACTATTATGCAACTAGATCCATGATCCATGACAAAAGATGATGTAAAACTGAAATTTGAGTTTGAACTTATTGTTACGATTAGATCAACTGTGCGCCAAAGCAAAGTCGTCGGCTATGCCTCGTAGATGTTGCATTAGGTTCTCGGGCAACTTAGGGTTTGTTAGGCCGGTCAGCTTTCAGGATATATCAAGGGTTTAGTACGGTAGTCATAAACAAACTCATGAATTGCAATATTTGGGTTCGTGTTTATGATTGCAGGGGGAGCTAACGTCCGCGTTCCGATCTAGACAGCCTAAACCCCTGTTGCTTGCACCATTTAGCTAGGATTCACTCAACGTAGCAAGAGTGAAATCGCCCGCGCACATGATAAATACAGTTTTGGTTAATAAAAGCTGACCTTAGGCAGGTTAGAATATGTAGGGAACGTTTCGATCATTGCAATAATAGACCAGGTTGGCGCTGAATAGACTTTGTTAAACTAGGGTTAAAATTGCTTGTCGCTGGGATGTTGAGACGGGTGGTTGGGACGGCCGAATAGTTAGTACTTAGTTAGGGATAGATAGGTATAAGGGTGAGGAGTTATTATCACTCTCACTTGTTGTCCTCTCTTGTGACTTCAAGCTGGGTTTGATAATTTACTTTTTCACGGTGATAGGTACGCGTCAGGAGAATGTGAATCGTGTAACGGTTCCCAAACATCTTGTCTGGGGATTGAAACTCTTTCTCTTCTAATCTACTTCTAGGCCATATTTTACTTGTGCGTAGTTTATTTTTTCATGGTTAATTGTCTTAGAGGCAAAGCCATGTTCACATAATTCGATGTCGTGCAAGAGTATGCAAGACATTTATCATATTCGACTTAGTTTTCCATCGTGTTCACATACACGGTGATGTCGTGCGGTAAAATGCAAGACATTTATCATGTATAGACTTAGGTCTATATCATGTTTATATGCCCCCTACTGTCGTGCAATCAAGTGCAAGACATTCTTTTTGTTTTTCACGGTTATTGTGTTTGAGACAAAAACCGTACTGTCGTGCAGTCAAATGCAAGACATTAATTTTGTTTTCATGGTTATTGTGTTTGAGGCAAAAACCATATTGCCGTGCGGTAAAATGCAAGACATTTATCATGTATAGACTTAGGTCTATATCATGTTTATATGCCCCCTACTGTCGTGCAATCAAATGCAAGACATTCTTTTTGTTTTTCACGGTTATTGTGTTTGAGACAAAAACCGTACTGTCGTGCAGTCAAATGCAAGACATTAATTTTGTTTTCATGGTTATTGTGTTTGAGGCAAAAACCATATTGCCGTGCAGTTAAATGCAAGGCATCTATCTATGTGAAGGGCCGTGCAAGCAATTGTACGGCACTTTTTATTTCTCACATATTTGCTATTTTGTGTGTTATTTTAGTGATCATTTATTCGAAAATTTGCTTCTATATAAACTATCACTTCGTCAACTAACACTGTTTTCATATTTTCAGATATCATCCAAGAAGATGAGCATTAGTTATATTCAATAATATTTGCCAATCCACAACTTAATTCCGCTGATCTAGCTAAATTGGAAAATCTTTTTTCCAATAGTATGTTACGGCTAAATTTGGCCAAAATTGACATTTGCCTGAATTAACAAGTTTCCGCAAATGTGAAAAGACTATACCTCAGATTGTTTTGAAATGGGGAGTTAAGTAACAAATTTGTCTAACAGAATAAGAAAAAAACAAATCAAATTCAACCGTCGGAAAATTACGAAATTGTGATCTGAATAGTACGAGCTGACATAAGTTATATAAATCAGACCAGCAAAATGTAGCTGACTTCAAATTTTGACATTATCCGTCTTCCAAAATCGGACCAGCAAAATGTAGTTGGCTTGAAAATTTGACATTATCTGGCTTCCAAAATCGGACCAGCAAAATGTAGTTGGCTTGAAAATTTGACATTATCTGGCTTCCAAAATCGAACCAGCAAAATGTAGTTGACTTGAAAATTTGACATTATCTGGCTTCCAAAATCGGACCAGCAAAATGTAGTTGGCTTGAAAATTTGACATTATCTGGCTTCCAAAATCGGACCAGCAAAATGTAGTTGACTTGAAAATTTGACATTATCTGGCTTCCAAAATCGGACCAGCAAAATGTAGTTGACTTGAAAATTTGACATTATCTGGCTTCCAAAATCGGACCAGCAAAATGTAGTTGGCTTGAAAATTTGACATTATCTGGCTTCCAAAATCGAACCAGCAAAATGTAGTTGGCTTGAAAATTTGACATTATCTGGCTTCCAAAATCGGACCAGCAAAATGTGGTTGGCTTGAAAATCTGACATTATCTGTCTTCCAAAACCTTGCATAAGGATAAAGGACTGTTTCGAATTTTTATTAGGATTGATATATTCATCTTGGGGTAAGAGGTACGCCAATGTGACGACTTAATCACATGGCGAACCACGGCCTCTCGTCCAGTTACCATTTTATCTCGAGTATGGAATTACTAAGCCAGGTATTTGTTTCGGATGTATAGACTTGGTTTCATCGTTCTATCGTTCTATCGTTCGGTTACCATTTCATATCGAGAATAGAATTACTAAGCCAGTTATTTTCTTCGGATATATATACGGACTTGGTTTCAAATGCATAAACTTGATGGTTGAGGAAGCCATACCCGACCAGCGGTCACCTGAACCACACTCACTGATAAATTGGGAGTCAAACCTGAACCACACTCACTGATAAATTGGGAGTCAAACAATAATTGGCTTAAGAAAAAATTGAAATAATATGGAATGAAAGATTCAAATTGGTGCTACAAATAAGCTGCGCCATCAAACATTTTGGCTCAACACAGTTCCCAATAATGTTCCAAATTTATTGAAATGAGTGTTTCGGATTTGCACTAAAACTGAGATAACCGACTTAATTGGTAAAAGCTTCTAATGCTTCAAAATGGTTATTTAAATTTGCGACTAAAAAATTAATTACCGGTCCCCTGACACTAACTGATTTGCCCAAATCTCGTCACTCGATGAAAATTGCGCAGGGGGTTAAGAGCACCCAATGAAAGCTTACGATGCTACCAAGGCCAGATGTAGTTCTAGTAAGATTTGCAATCAGATAAAGCCTTAATGAGACTTAATCGGACAAAGTGAAACTAACAATTTTAAATTAGAAAGTCATATTGAGATTTTATTATAAATTTTTAAATTAGAAGTCGTGGAAGCTTTGAAAACGTAATTATTTGACATTCGAGAGCTTCAATAAGATTTGCAAGCAAGAAGCCAATTAAAATAGTTGAATCTATAAATTAGTGACGTAAGTTATTAGTGCAGGAAATATGTACAGTAATACTACTCAGTATATTCTAGAAAGCCCCAGCGAGATGAGGACAAACTCGGCAAATTTAGAGGACGTTTTGCGAAGCATGACTGCGAAGCTGTATGTGACCATTTTATGAACGAAAACCTCTTTTGGACATGCCCGCAGATCGAAATCATACAAACTATTTTTGTGAACTAAGACGGAAAGTTTTGAGATATTTTCAAGAATTGTTGTTTTCATTGATAGTTTTTATGACCATTCAAGTCTGAATGTTTTGATACATCTTTTTGGTCAGAAAATGCAGAAACATTAGGATTAAGTTTGCAATTAGCGAGTCTATTCCAGCATCGGATCAAGCGCAGAGGCTGAAGGATATATTTATAAGCGTAGCAGCGATTGAAGTATTTATAGAGTAGGTTCCCATTGTGAAATATAGTTTGCAATAGTTTCATTGCTTATAACAGAAATGAGGATTTTAATAACAGTGGTTAGCTGAATGACGAAACTCTACGGACGTTGGAAGAGGCATATACGTTTTGAAATCGAAATTAGTCTTACTACGGAATGTGAAACTCCCTGTTCGCATTTACTAACACAAAGAACAATAGTTTTGGGCAATTGAAGAAAATCGTTCAATACCAACTTCATTACTTGAAATCGAGATGATTGGAACTGACTGGTACAAATATTCGTTCGGTGATGATTCGAATCTGGAAATAACATCGTTCGCAAAACATATATCACACATGGTTTCAATAGTCCAATGAAGTCGACACATTTTCTCAAATGCAAAATCCAAAAAGTCATGGCGCGTTTGAAATTTTGGCAAGAATGATTTCAAGCCTTTATAAACTTCATAATTTACAAATTTTTCTCCATCATTGAAAGAAAAGCAATCAATGACTATTAACTCAAATCATTATCAAAGACGAATCTCAAATGATTAATAGTTCTGGCTAGTGTCTATCAAAAAGGATGTGGCAGTGCAATATCAACATATGAATTTGTTCGGAAGATGTTACCTGGAACACAAATACTCTTATATGGTGCACAGACCCACTTGAGATCTGTCTCATGTCCTTTGTTTGGATTTTTATGTATGGAGATTGAACTCTGAATTCTTCGAAAAACTTGCTGTTCGTTATCAGTATATATAATATCATCCAAGTCAAAACACGGAAATCCTTTATAATTCACAAAAGAAGAGGCCAGATCTTTGGAAATAAAGTTGGCAGCGATTAAACCGGTTGGTGAAGGCCTTTTGTCGCCACAGACTTTGCAACAACAACATTTGTCCGGAACAGACGCTGAAGACTACAACTTATTCATCGCCAAGAAGACTGGTATGCGATTACCAGTAAAAAGGTGATTATCAATCTAAAAAAAATTTAAACTCAATTTTTTCCCCAAACAAGACTTAAAAGAGCCTGCAATGAGCCTGCTTATTTGGGAACCTGTATATATATATATATATATATAAAACTATTGGCAGTGACACGCCGCAGTCTCTATAGTAAAAGATTTGTTCTTGGGCCGATGAAAATATTGTTCTTAAATTTTATGTAAAATTCATTTACACTTTTATTAAGATTTGGTGGACAATATATATTGGAATTTTGCTCAAAGTTATTTTAAATTGCGCAAATTGCATATCAGTAATCGCAACATAATCTACATTTTACACTATCTATTCAATAGTACTATTTTAAAAACTGATGGGCATCGATGATATATTTTTATGTGTTATATTTTATTGCAGGTATATACGTTTTGTATGCGCAACAACAACATTTGTTCCGGACAGGCATCGAAGACCACAACTTATCCATTGCCAAGAAGACTTACATGCGATTACCAATGTCAAGGTCATATATCGTATATTTGTCTAGAAAATTTTTAATTGCAAGTTTTTTCTCGAACAAGACGATATAACTTTTTATGAGATACGTTTGGTATGCGATTAACACGAACGAAGAGTTTCGCGGAATCGAAGTGAAGAACCGATTATGCAAAATGAAGGTATTGGTTAAATTTTTATTTCAAAATTGTAAACAATATACGGGAAAATAGCAATCCCCTTTCTCTCAAATTTATATGTGTATACTTTGGCCTATTTTCGCAATTCTACTGGTTGCATTGAGTTCGACAAATCAAAGCACACACCATCAGAGGTATTGCGTTCTGGACAGCTGGTCACTAGGTATTCTTCGGTAATTATGCTGATACCTATTCCCACTCAAAATACGAAGGGTATACCATCTGATAGTCGTTAAAATTTACATTTGCGAACTGAATTCTGTTCGAAACTTGTTAATAAAACAGCAACAATGCAGTAGCAGAATATTATTGATATCTATCTGCGAATTTGTATTAATTACTAGGACTGGTTTTTAACTGAATAAACAACAAAGTTATTAAATTCGGTGTAAAATAGCTGTTCTTGGAAAAGCTGCATTGAAGAAATTTACAAATATATTTCATTAATATGTGGATAGTTAAAATTGTGATTAGGAGGAAACTGATTCTTTGATTCCAAATATATGGGAGATTAAATTCTGCTGATAATCTGACTTTTTAATTTTTTCGTTATTGTTTCCTATTCAAACGGATTCAATATGAAGCTAACCAGAGTAAAAAAGAAAACGAAAAAGAAAATCTCGTTGCTGCGCGGATCCTGGGTGGACAAAATAATGTACAACTAAACTACCATAAGGGTTTAACAAGCGCTGACGGAAGCATGATGCCGACAAAACCGATGTTCGACGGAAAGGGTAGTAAATATTTATGTTGGTGACGCTGAAGGGCTCGAATTGAGGATGAATGAACGGAATGGTGTAAGAATTTATTCCTACATGAATACAATTTATGTATTTCAGGTGCTTTTCTATAGTGTTTTTATGTTGAGGTTTCGGAAAATACAGAAGTTGGAACATGACATTGCAAGTTGAATCTGGACATAATGGTTGTATGGCTTCTGATTTGTTGACAATTGATCTCCAAATATGCTGCAATGAACTACGACTTACAGAATTCTTTTTACAGACAATGTTTTGGTTGATATTTTTTGTTGGTGACTTGGGAAATTGTTGAAAATAAAGGATCTGTTGAACACCTGTGTTGTTGTGCCCCTATTTACATGTTTAGCCAACAGGACGCATCTAATCATTTTCGTTTTTCAGGCTCTAATAACCATTTTCGCTTTGCAGGCTATAACCTTTTTCGTTTTAGAGGTTATAACCGTTTTCGTTGTGCAGGCTCTAACCGTTTTTGTTTTTCAGGTTATAACCGGTTTCGTCTTGCAGGCTCTAACCGTTTTCGTTTTGCAGGCTCTAACCGTTTTCGTTTTGCAGGCTCTAACCGTTTTCGTTTTGCGGGCCCTAACCTTTTTTGTTTTGCAGGCCCCAACCTTTTTTGTTTTGCAGGCCCCAACCGTTTTTGTTTTGCAGGCCCCAACCGTTTTCGTTTTGCAGGCTTATAATCGTTTTCGTTTTGCAGGCTATAACCGTTTTCGTTTTGCAGGCTATAACCGTTTTCGTTTTGCAGTTCTATAACCGTTTTCGTTTTGCAGTTCTATAACCGTTTTCGTTTTGCAGGCTATAACCGTTTTCGTTTTGCAGGCTATAACCGTTTTCGTTTTGTATAACCTTTTTCCTTTTTTGTTTTGCAGGCCCCAACCGTTTTTGTTTTGCAGGCCCCAACCGTTTTTGTTTTGCAGGCCCCAACCGTTTTCGTTTTGCAGGCCCCAACCGTTTTCGTTTTGCAGGCTATAACCGTTTTCGTTTTGCAGTTCTATAACCGTTTTCGTTTTGCAGGCTATAACCGTTTTCGTTTTGCAGGCTATAACCGTTTTCGTTTTGCAGGCTATAACCGTTTTCGTTTTGTATAACCTTTTTCATTTTGCAGGCTATAACCTTTTTCATTTTGCAGGCTATAACCGTTTTCGTTTTGCAGGCTATAACCGTTTTCGTTTTGCAGGCTATAATCGTTTTCGTTTTGCAGGCTATAATCGTTTTCGTTTTGCAGGCTATAACCGTTTTCGTTTTGCAGGCTATAACCGTTTTCGTTTTGCAGGCTATAACCGTTTTCGTTTTGCAGGCTATAACCGGTTTCGTTTTGCAGGCTATAACCGTTTTCGTTTTGCAGGCTATAACCGTTTTCGTTTTGCAGGCTAAAACCGTTTTCGTTTTGCAGGCTAAAACCGTTTTCGTTTTGCAGGCTATAACCGTTTTCGTTTTGCCGGCTATAACCGTTTTCGTTTTGCCGGCTATAACCGTTTTCGTGTTGCCGGCTATAACCGTTTTCGTTTTGCCGGCTATAACCGTTTTTCGTTTTGCCGGCTATAACCGTTTTTCGTTTTGCCGGCTATAACCGTTTTCGTTTTGCAGGCTATAACCGTTTTCGTTTTGCAGGTTATAACAGTTTTCGTTTTGCAGGCTATAACCGTTTTTCGTTTTGCAGGCTATAACCTTTTTCGTTTTGCAGGCTATACTCGTTTTCGTTTTGCAGGCTATACTCGTTTTCGTTTTGCAGGCTATAACCGTTTTCGTTTTGCAGGCTATAACCGTTTTTGTTTTGCAGGCCCTAACCTTTTAAGGGCCCAAACCGTTTCCGTTTTGCGGGCCCCGACCGTTTTCGTTTTGCGTGCCCCGACCGTTTTCGTAGGCTCTAACCATGCTTATTGCAAGTTGCGTTGGCATTTCTGATGCAAGGCCTGTCTTCGGAGCAGGATGTTGAACACATAAGTGTTTTGTGTGACCATTTTGTTTTCAGGTTACCATTCTCTTTTTCAGGTTTCGTTGAAATTTAAATAGTTGATGCACTTGGATAACTGGTAGAATTGTGTATTATGAAACCGTTCAGATCTGCAATAGAATTGTTGATGCTGTCACAGCTGGCCTAAAGATAATAAAACTACTTGTTTGTATTTTATTTTCGATACACACAGGTTTAAAAACATCGAGTGGAAACTTGCATACATGTTGACAAATGGTGGATATTGAAACCGTTGATAAATATACAATAAAAAGGACTCGAATTGTTGATGAAGCACATGTGGCATCTCTGGACGTCTGGTTGAACTTATTAACTGATGGCAAATCGTGGATGAAACCATTTATTTATTCATTATAAAAGTTTACTTGGATTGTTGATGAACACGAGCATCACTGCTGGCCTTTTATCGAGTTGACATTTGCGTAATTGAGACAAATTATGGGAATGGAACTGTTGATTTATCTGCTATGGATTCCAACTAAACTGTAAGAGTGCGTCGACTATATAGAAAAAGGTAAAAAATAGGTTAATTTTGACATTTTTATTCTTTGTAGTTCAAATTCAAGATGTGGAAGTTGTTTATAAAAATGAAGTACATATTTGGACTACTCACTTCAAAGTGAAAAAAAAATTGCATTTTTTTATATAGATTTGCACTGCGGAGAAATGATCATCAGTATTACTGGAATAGTGATTTTGATCATATTATTGACAACAACGCACACAACCTCATGGAAACACAATGGTAAGCAAATATGTAATGTCTTTTAGACAACATAAGCGAGGCATATGTGAAGTCAGTATTACACTGTATATTATAACAATTACAGTACTTTGGTAACTGTACATGCATTCACCACAGATAGTTTGTTAAAACTAAATTTTTCTTATTCACTTTCAGAAGGGAGACAGAAGCGTTGTGAAACTGAAGTTGACATCAAATCTACAAATTGTCCTTTGGAAAAGACCATAGGAGGTGAAACTTTAAAACATTTTATTTTGTTTATCTAGTTCGCAACTAAAACCCACAAATTAGCCGTGGGTATTTGTCCAAAATATTTTCACATACTTGGAGAAAGAACATTAGAAACTGGTCACTCAACTCTTTGGTATACCATTGTAATCTGCTGTAGATTGGGCGCTCTAGAAGTATGTGTACCAATATGGAGGTAACTAATTTTGTTCGCGTACTTCACATCAAGTTGTGTAAAGGGATTGAAACTTAGGCTCATATAGACAGGTCTCTTACTCGTAATAGAACTAAAATAAAGAAAATTAGAATGCAATTATGGCCTAACCTGGTACCCTAACCTGGTACACGCACTGTATATTTACCACCTTACTATTTGAAACCGCTGTTACATTAATATTCATTTACAGCTCGACTGTTGTACAAGCATCGAAGTGGCCATCACAATCTAAGAGCGGTTCTTCTTTTACGGCATTAAATCCGATCTCAACTGAACTCAATTTGGGGAACTAAAGACTGATCAGCCGATTAACACAGTCCAAATCTGACACTATGAAACTCTAAAAAGTGTGACTAGTGCCGCCTCAGACTGATTCTGCGACTCTTGGATCCACTATAAACGCTGAAACTTTGATGAACAAACTATTCAGATAATAATGCCATCTCCCTAACTTAATACATTGAGGCGATTCACAACCAACTGAAATTGATTTATGATGAAATATCTTGCCACACGTATAAGACCGTGGTAAGATACCCGACTGTTGTGAACATGGAATGAATGCTTAATTATCAGCTAAGGCCCACTATGTATTAAAGCTAACAGTGGGCTCTTACAGAGCTCTTACAGACTTTTTATATTGTCAATTTTATGTGAAATTAATCTTGATATATTTTGAATCCGGTACTTTATTTTTAAGCTGGGTGCGAGTACAATTAATTCTATTTTTTAAAATTGCTGTAGGGTTGGGGTGGGCTTTCTACACGAAGATGGATGCTGTTAACAGCTCCGTATATGGTTTACAGCAATTTTATTTCCGTATTAATCAAACTGCTAAGGTGCAAAATCAACTGCTATTTAGGCCCAATATAGTAATATGAACCTATTCAGTTTGCAGCTGTACAATCCGATCAGTTATTTCTTATTGAAATTTCAAATACCTCTGCATCGTATTATCGTTTTGCTCTATCGTTTTGCGGCATTGCTTTTAGAAGATTTATATCTTTGTGTCAAAGTACGTCTATAAATCATTTCTAGATGTTTGTTGTCGCTATTAATGCTGTTCAATATACAGTAACGCAGTTTATTATGGAAATACTTTTACAAATAAATATTTTTATTGTAGAAATTTTACTTGTTCTGACGAATCATTTAAGTTAAGCTTTATTATACAACAACAAGGATTTTCTGTTTTGAGTAAAAATACTCGGTATCGTTATGGGTGCTTCTGGATTTTTTCAATCTGAAATTTTTTTCAATTTTGAAATGAAATTGTTTTCAATTTTTAAAGCAGAAGTGTTGAGCTCTATGTACTGATGATAACATTGATATCTGCCTATTTATCTCGTGTTCTAATTTTTAATTTAATAAAACTACTGGAGATAAGATGACTTTTGTGTAATATTTGGGTTTCATCTGGGCCGTGCTCTTATCAGAACATTTTTTGACCTATTTACTAACACAACAAAAGAGTGTACAGGAGTGGACGTAACTCGCGTCATGTAAGAATTATGTTCACACTTGTAAGTCGGTCTAGAGTAATTTGGTTTGACACTCGAAAACAAACATGTTTCTGTGATGAATTAGAAATAACAGTAGATGAGTGTAGGGCTGACACCCTTTGATAAACAAAACTTTAAAAACGCATATCGTTAACCAGTACTGGAAAATTAGAACCGCTCAGGAGAAATCTCGCACAATCAGTTAGTAAATGCTATTATTTGCAAAATAAAATTTTATTTTTTCGATTTTCTGAGTTTTTTTACAAAAAAAAATTTAGCAATTCTGCGGAATAATCTTTTCCTCTTTGGTACTTCCATTGTCTCTGAAATATCAAACTCTTCTCGTGGTCTGTCAGAATATTGTAATTCATTCACAGTGGGTTCGCTTGACAAGATATCTTTCCTGATCCCGCTTTCCAAACTGTGTGAGGATGTTATTTTCGTGTCGAATAGAATAAGACTATTCTCAGGACAATTATCGTCAGTATTTCCGTATGACGATTCAGATATTTTTTCGAAAGGGTAAGACAAAATGTTTTCTTCACTCTTTTTCAGAAGTGAGACAGATTCTATCTGTTCATTCTCTGAATGGCTGTGCTTCAACTCAACCCCTGTACGTTTCGTAGGATCGATTCGTCCTGTATCTGTTTTGTTTAAGTGGTCGAGTTTTTCTCGGTCATGAGAATTCAATGGCGGCGATATGGAACGAAACGTAAATATCCTGGGTATAGCGTAATTGTTTTGGTTATTATTGTCCCAAAATGTACATCCATTTTGAACAGCCATGAGCGCAAACATCGCATTTGTACTTTCTTCAGGCCAAGTGACACGAAATGAGAAAAAATCAATCGAACCGTCTCCTTCTTCCCAGAAAGCTTCCACATCGACAAAGTTTTCCCATTGATTAAAAGTTATTCTGGAGGTTACACATTTCTCATATGTGAGATTACGTACTCCAATACGACCAAGTATTTCTCTCTCGTCCCAAACTAGATCTGTAAGCACCACATTTGTGGCATACACCAAGTTTCTTCTTTCCTCAGTATTTGATAATTGCTGAATGACATCCATAATTACAAATGACAACCAACACAGCTCAAACTATGTGGGAAATAAAATATTTTTCAAATTTATCACAAATATTTCATCTTTGTGATGTCATAATGGTTGTAGATAAATAAATCTAATTAAAAAGAGAATTGACACAGCTCAAACTATATGGAAAATATAATATTTTTCGAATTTATCACAAATATTTCATCTTTGTGATGTCATAATGGTTGTAGATAAATAAATCTAATTACTAATTTAATCTAATTTAATTTAATTATTATAATTTTACAAGTTGATCGGATCCCAAGGTCTAAAATATATATATTAAACATAGCCACCAGAAAGCACCCCATAAATTGTGATTCTTTTGGATTTTCGCTCGAGGTGACCTGTAACAAACTTTAGTGGACTATGTGACCAATATGTAAATGTTAGAACGAGCAGAAGTTCATAGGCGATTTTCATTATGTCAATCACCTCATCAATTCCGAATATAATTACCCTACGAAGAGCAGCCCTGGATACGTCACTAACGCCCTGTTATGAATTCTCAAGCATCTTACACGTCGGGGCTGGGTGCATTCAGGATAATAAAAGAGAAACAAGCAAATAATTATCTTGCTAAATCTTTCGTGGAATGAGGCCTAATCAAACAATCTTCTCAGTTACATCGCAAGTAAGATCAACGTTATATTCCTCTTAAGTCATGTTTGATAGTGCGTTAATCATGATATAGTAAACAAGATTATTACTACTTAATCATTTGCCCCTAATCAGAGTGAGAATGAGTTTCTGGCTTCTTTGTTTCTCTATGGTAAAATGGTCAACTCTTTTCTTCTATTTCTCTTTGATTCTGCCTATTTCTTCTCTTTTGATCTTAGAAAAAATATTTTGCGCGCGTGCCACATTTCAGTTCAGGGTGTGGTAGCGTGAGGTTGTTTCTGCGTTGGTCTGCGCCAGGTATACGCATAGTTTTCAAGCAAGGAAGGTCGCAATACTATTAGTTGTCAACAATGCTTCGACAAGATAAATGTTTATACTGTCGCCTATTTTTCAACTCCATAATCTTAAGCTAGGTTTTAAAAGTTCATTATTAATAGTTAGATGTGCGTAGACCTCAGCAACACATAAAATGAATGGTGCTTCAGAAGTACGCGCACCAGGATGTCGTACAACCTGAATCCTAACCGGTACATACATACCATTTTCAGGTTGTGCGCATACTTCTGGAGGTCCAAATGAGTTTTCTTAATTCGATACGCTTTTGTTTCTGCCATATTCATATTTCTGATTGTCATTTTGAGTGTTATATGATTATAGTTCTGTAATCTTATATTTTCATTGTACATGATTTACTTCAACATGTTATTTGTTTTCATTTTGCGCGAGCACATCGTTCCTAATTTATAATAAAATTATTTACGTTTGTTAGGCCTTGATGTAATGTGAGCTGCTGAGCTTCTCGGAACCTATATCTCTTAGCTGTTGCTTCAAACGACAATTTTCCAATGTATTTTATTTTTTGCTTTTAATTGGTTGAATTGTTCGATACTAATTTGCTAAGCTATAAAGTGGAGTCCTGACTTAATACTCTAAATTACAGGCTGGAAGGGAAGAAAGAAGTGAAAGAAAAACCTATATCGACATATGATATCAACACGATTGATGGTCGAGTCAAAGTTGGACTGATGTAAATGGCAAGGGTAGGTAGTTGGTCTCAAAATATTTCAACATTACATAGAAGTTTGATATTTTCATCATAACTCGATTTATGAAGCAAAGATTTTACAATTTTCAATCCATTACACAGGGGCTTATGCAAAGATAATAATACTTACTGCTGGTGATCTAGTGAAAACGAATCGCTGTAAATTGACAGATTGGTTAATGAATTTAGTCTTCAGTCATATTCTTACACCGAATGTTTCTTTTTTTACAGAAAACATACGGCGAATACAAATGAATTTTTGAAGACAATGGCAACTGCAGTTTGTCATTTGCCCCGGACAAAGTTACAATTGGTAAGTTCTCCTTCAATGTATATGATATACTGCTTCTTGGGTCGTGCTTCGATTCTAATATGCAGTTCAAATTCTGTTTCTAATATTACTTGCTAAATATATCGGTTGCTTCAAGAAATTATTATTCTGATTTATATATTAATTACCGAAAATTTCTAGTATATCCATCTATTTGTTTTTGTTACAGGACTGGGTGTACAGAGTAGAAGACACATGACGCCAACTAATGACCACATTTCTCAAAACAATATACCTGAAAGTAAGTTCCTCGTCAACACAAAAAAATCTTGTAGCTTAAAACCGAGGTATAGTTTTCATGCACGAATAATAGAAATAAGGTCATTTTTTCTTTCTGTCTTTAACTTATAATTATTTAGCGCTTCCGCCCGGTTTTTGTCATCCCAGCCACGAAGTATAAAGATGTGCTTCGTATTTTAACATTTCCTTTGATGGGCAAGGTCGACCCAGTTTATTCTGCACCATATATCAATCTACATGTACTGTTAAGCATTTGATTAGTCCTATGCATGATAACTAATTATCCTCAATTAATTTCAGGTATTAATCTAAGAAGAAAAATGAGTTATAGCAACGAAGAATATTGAACGAACCGTCGCAAGGAAAGAAACTGTTTATCAAAGTTTGCAAATACAAACTGTACTGAGCATTTTTGTATCAACTATTCTCGTATTCACATAGATCGTTTCAGTTTATTGTAACGTAGCATGACGGAGGAGTCGACTTGATTTTAAAATCTGCTGAAGGCCTATTCAATATTTACGTTGCTATCTTCTGGCCCAACTTTCTAATGTTATGGAATCCTGGCATCTAATAAACTCCCGCAGCGGACACATTTCGTTTTGAATTTATAATGATTCACCCCTTGCACTCGTAAAAATTGTGAATACTTACTTAAATGCCAAGTTCTACCAAAACGTCAGATTTCTGTTGGCTGTTTATGCCGATTAACTTGAATAAATATTAATTTCGTTCTACAATTTCTGAAATATATCCACCCAAAATTCACCCTGAACCTGAAATTTAGACGGCCTCATTCTCGTGATAGAAAAAAAAATTACGAATGTATTTTGATTTCGTTTTACAATTTCTGAAATATATACCTTCGTCACCGCTTCAGTCTGGCGATAGAAACTAAGAGTATTATACATATGTATATGTATATATTATAATTTTATGCTAATTGAAAGATCTCATCTTGGCTGCAAGTTTTCCAGCCGAATTTTAAACCTAATTCTAGGAATATATTGTGAGGGTAACTGCCATTCATTATTTATTCACGTTGTAATATGTTCATGTTGGTGCGTGTTTACTGTTGTATTTATCTTGATATCTTGAATTTTGGTGGTTTTGAACTTGTTTGTGATAGTTTGTGATATTTTTAACTTGTGCTCCGTTGAAACAATAAAATATTTCCAAAATCGTGACATTCTCAAGTTTCATTCCGGACAGGGAAAGTTTGACAGGCATAGATTAAATTCTAAAGGGGAGGTTACAGGGCAGGAAGCGCTGGGGCGGGTGCAGCAGGTACGGGCGGCCGGGCGGGCCCGCGATCCTGAAAATCCTGGAAAATTATCTTCGGCCGAAGATAAATTATTATGTTTGGATATGTATGGCCCGATGATAATAACGGGATTTTAGGTAAATATTATCTATGGCCACACTTGGCCAATGATAAATAAAATTCGTCCAAATGATTATCTTCGGCCACACTTGATCGATAATATTTTTTTTTAATTTTGATATTTCAAGGGTTTGACCTTAGATTTTTGTCGATTTCGGCTATTTTCATCAGATTATTGTCAATATTTGAGGGCTTCTACACCTCTCCATGACGTCACCCTCATCTGTTTTTTCATAATAGTTTGTTAGTTAATAGTTAATAGTTGTTGTTTTTTAAAAGACTTCATTGGATTCGAACTTTGGACTTAAGTTTAACTCAATGCGAACCTAACCACTACACCACAACAGTTTTGATTTTTATAAGATTTAACTCTAATACTTACTCATCAAAGGGGTAATCAACCTCATTTCAGAGTCTTCGTGCCCACGCCTCTTGAAAGATAAGTATTAGAGTTAAATTGGTTATCACTTAACATTATTGTGGTGTAGTGGTTAGGTGCACATCGACTAAAATTTGAGACCAAAGTTCGAATCCAACGAAGTCTTTTGAAATATATCGATTACAAAATATTGGAGGTGACGTCATGAGAGGAAGTAAAGGTTTCAGAGTGATAATTATCCGATGAAAATGGCCAAAGTCGACAAAAATTCAAGGTCCAACCCTTCAAAATGTCAAAATCCAAAAAATTATCATTGATCAAGTGTGGCCGAAGATAATTATTTGCGCGAATTTTATCCATCATTGGCCATACGTGGCCAGAGATAATATTTGGCTGAAATCCCATTATTATCCTCGAGCCATACATATCCGAACATAATAATTTATCCACGGCCGACGATAATTTTCCAGGATTTTTTGGATCGCGGGCCCGGATGCCCGGCCGGGCTGGGTCGCCCGTACCCGCTGCACCCGCCCCAGCGCTTCCTGCCCTGTAATCCTCTTCTTAGATTTAATCTATGCCTGTCTTAACTTTTCCTGCCGGAATAAAACTTGAGAATGTCATGATTTAGAGGATATTTTATTGTTTTGCCAAGGATAATAAAGTAATAAAGCACAAGTTAACAATATCACAATCAAGGTCAAGTAATAAAGCACAAGTTAACAATATCACAATCAAGGTCAAGTTCATCTTGAAAAGAATTCATGACGTCAAGGAAAATATTAAGACAACAGAAACAGTAAATACAAGCAAACATGGGTATGTTACACAAAGTGAATACGGCGTCTTCAGCTTCATAATGAACAAAATGAATTTGCGTTTGAAAATTCGTAATTTGAATGTATTCTCAAAAACTTGCATTGCAGCTTAGTTTTGGTGACAAAATTATTGATAAACTTTCGAAATCGAGTTTGAAATTTGGATGTAGTGTCGGAACTTGCGGTCAAGCTGAAGGCCGCACAGGTCATTTATACTCCTTACTTTTGACAAAAATTACTGATAAATTCTTACGTGTGAAATTTTCTATCGCTTCAGCTTCAAAGTGCTATCTATATTTTAGAAATAATTACGAAATTAATATTTACTTGTATGCATTACATTACAACGGGCTAATTAAATTTTAGTGGAATTCACCTTCGCTGTTTTCCTTCATATGTAGACTTTACACTGCTACCATAAATCAAGTAGATTTTAAAATCAAGATTACGGACTTCTCCACCTCGATTCAATTACCAAAATGATCCATTTATTCAGTGGTTCTCAAACTTTTTTTAGAATTTGTCCAAGTCTCTCGCGCTTAACCTCAAATAACTTGCTAACAATAAGCTACAAATAAATAGTAAGGCGAAAGTAGGTCTCTTTAAAAAAACGTTGATGGAATGGAATCGCAATCTTTGAACAATAAAGAGAAGGGAATATATAAAATATGGCAGGCAGGATCAAATTCAACAAATATTTATGTTTTTAATTAGCTCCCTCTCTACCCCCAAAATAAGGTATACGCCCCCATTGCGAGGCTCTTCCAACCGTTTGAGAAACACTGAATATATGTGAATGCGCAGAGTATCACTAAATAATGATGTGAACTGTGTGAATGCGATGATAGTTTATACAAAACAGCTCAGCACAGTTTGTATTTGTGAATTTTGACAAACAATTTCTTTCCTCACGACGATTCGTTCAATGTTCTTCATAGATATACGTCATTTTTTGTGTAGATAAATACCTGAAATCAATAGAGGATCAGTTGGATTTGTTATGCATGCGCCTTTGGAATGCTCAACAGTACAGGTACATTTATATATGGCACAGAAGAAAGTGGGACGGTTCGATCTTGTTCATTTATTCAAAGGCTAACAATTACAAATTAGACAGAAAAATAACACTATGTTATTCGTGCAAAAAATTATATCTCTCGAGTTACTTGTTTTGTGTTGATAAGGACTTACTTTTAGTTATATTGTTCTGCAAAATGGGGTCTACCTGTTATACGTAGATTTGTCTTCTCTCCTGTACATTCAGTCCTGAAACAAAAAGAAACTGATGAATAATACTCCCAAGAAATTGTTGGTAATTATTATGTAAAATCCGTAAGAATGAATTATTTAACAAGTAAATACTATGTTCGGACATTGCCTACGCATATTCGAATGGAAGCACGACCGGCGGTAAAATAAATATATCGGAAGCAGAACTCACTAACTGCTCCTCGTCACGGACAAATAATCATGCCTTAGCTACCATAACTACAATATCACATAACTTATCATGTATCATACATACATGTGTTTACGTAGAACAAATTGGAGGATGTCAGTATGCAAAAGTCACTTTAAAATTTTGTTATTATCATTATCTAAAAGTATACATTGTACAAACAACAAGAGCCAAAACGTTTGATATACGTCTTAGCTCTCAATAACATTTCTCATAAAATATAAAATACAATTAACCTGTCAGTTTACAGCGACCAGCCTTCACTCGACCACCAGCAGTAACAATATCTTCTACCTTTGTAAAGCCCTGGAATTAGATTGGAAATTATAAAACCTTCGATTTGAAAACAAGTGATAAAACCGATAGACTTTAGATGTCATAATATCTTTACCTGTAGTTCCAGTCGCGTTAAACGTCCATCAACCACGTCAATATCAAATGTATATAGTTTTTTTGTTTGCTTTTTTTCTCGATTTCAAGCCTGTAATGTAGAATAATATTTTAGACTTAATTTTTTTTTATCGCATTCATCAGTTAAAAATTTCGAAGGGCAATTACACAGAAACGACCTCACGCTACCACGCCCTGAGCCAAAACCGGGCACGCGCGGTTTCACGTAAATTAAAACTTACTTTCTTGATCGCCGCCCTTCGTTGAGTCAGATTAAAAAATAAACATCAGCCATAATTAAAACATTATGCTGCATTGTATCTCTCTTTTCGTTTTCGAACAATTCCAGAAGTTGCGATCCGATTCCAACCCGAATCAACAATTAATTGTAGGCCTAATCATATTCTAACTGCTAAGTAAAAAATACGACTAAAAAGGAGTTATGAATCGCCTGTAAGAAAACGGAAGCAAGCAAAGAAATCCAAACCATTTGTTAATTGTTGTTGGGTTAGTTAATGTATAAAATCGCATACATTGGAATTTATTGAAAATATAAATTTGAATGCAACAATAGTACGATGCTCGACGTATGTGCCCAGTAGTATGTAGCCTTCATATGTTATTGAAAGTATTTTGAGGGATATATAAGAAGACACTTATGGCTGTTCTATTAGATTAAATATTAAGTTACCTTATTAATCCTTGATTGCATCCCTTCAACCATACTTTCCGAAAGTCTCCGACTCGCATTAACCATCGCCCTAACACCACTTCGTTTTTATCTTTTTTTCACCCTTTTCTTCAACTTTTCCACTTCGTACACGTGCACACATATATGAATCAACAATTGTAGGCCTACACCTAGGCCTAACTACATTAGTATAGCTGTGAAGGACGTAGAAAAACGATTGTAAACAAGAAAACACGCTAGAATAAAAAAAAAAAAGGATGGACATAACAAATCAAGAAACAAATTAAAGGAAGGAAGAAGTGAAACTGTCGGGGAAAAATGTTGACGTGACAAGATAATAATAATGACAAAAAACTGAAGGGAAATGTCTGCAAAATGAGTGACCGCGGGAATGGCAAAAAAAATCAGCAAATAATTATCACCTGTACCATATCGGAAACATCCCTGCATTATCGCATCATTGTCGAGTTTTAATGCCGATGTTGACTTTATTTCTGAAATGGTTCAAACCTTTTTGCACAGCCATATCTTCCCCGGAGTCTTGATACCACACAAATACTCTATTCAATATCAATCTAGTGCTATATATTATGGCCTAACTGAAATCCCTAATTTAATGGATATTTATTTATCCGTAGTGTCTGTTCCGCTCAAGCAGTCCCCAATGTCAACATTCGCAGCTTGTTTACATTCCGTCAGTTTGCATAAACACGATCTGAAATATATAACATAGCTAAGATGCAATATATAGGCTGAATAAAAACTAACACAAGGTAAGAGCAAAAACACGGCAATAAGTACATTTGGAAATCTATTCAAAGCCTAAATTTGAATACACTTTAAGTTTTTTACTTGTTTTTAATTGAACACTTTCTTGTTCTCAGTCGCTTCTATTGGTTTACGTCTTCGTCTTTGGTTCAATTTTTGCATTCCAAGAATCATTTAGTACTATGCTATGGCCTATCTGAAAAAATGAGTTTATCTGCAAAAGTCATAGCATCCTCCGATTAAGATTCACTCACCAATACAGAATTGGTAATCTCAATGCCACTTTGTAGATATTTGAATCAATAATAGTAGACCTAAGTTTAGTTTATTTGCATTAGTAAGCTGTAAAAACTTAGAAAATAACAGTAACGCAATACAAGCGTTGAATTATAGGCAGATTAGCGACAAAAATGTGTACATAAACCGTTAAACTTAAAAAAATCACGAAAACAAAATCAGTGCTCACCTGGCGGCGTCAAATTTGAAAAGACCGCACGGGAACAGGCAAAAACTTGACGTGGCAGGGAAAAAGTTTGGATGTAATAAAGAAACAAAGAGAGCCGAGAAGACCACGAAATTAAGACGCCTTTTCATTGGTTATCGGGAATCACATGACTAGGTGACGTCAGAAAAAGGGGAGAGAAGAGAAAATGGTGGAATATGCCGTTTGTCGCATTAACCACCACTACAGCCGGTGCTCCCGAAGTATGCGAACCAAGATGGCGGACATCGGAACGTAACATGTGTACTAGGTTAGGGTTGGGCGATAATTTTTTTCCAATTTTCCCTATTTTAGTCCTATTATCAGTTCGAAGACTAGCCAAGAGCCTCCCGTAGTATTTATACCCAAAATTATGGCCTAACCCTAACCTAGTACACATATTACATTCCGATGTCCGCCATCTTGGTTCGCATACTTCGGGAGCCCCCTACAGCCCTTATAATGATCTTCCAATCATGACACGCTAGCTCGCCCTTATTTCGTACGGCACAAGGCATCGTGAACGTTTTTCAAAAACACGTTCCAGAATATTAAAATGAATAAAAATAAATGACCATACATCCGGTGCGAAACACGCGGTTATATTTCGTCATTGTTTCGTCATTATCATTTATGTTCATCATTTTTTTACGTCATCATTGTTCACTCACATACAGGTATTTGTGTTTTATTTCGATTTAGGGGAGAATCATCGTAGTCGCCTCACGGCTGATAATTCCGAATTTATGATTTACAAGGCGAATATTAAATCTCTGAATGGGAAAAGCAAGGACATTACTCTCACTAGAATAGCGTGTTATTGTGAATATTTTTGGGTACTACTGTTGTATGCGAAGCAAAATGGTGGACATCGGAAAGTAGTATTTGTACAAGGTTAGGATTAGGCCATAATTTCAAGTACAAATACTACGTGAGTCACTTGGTAAGTCCTCGAACTCGTAATAGAACTAAAAAGAAAATTGGAATAAAATTATGGTCTAACCCTAACCTGGTACACATACTACGTTCCGGTGTCCGCCATCTTGGTTCGCATACTACATGAGTACCTATTTTTGTGCATATATATAATAATTTAATAATTTGTTGTGGAATTTAGTCAAGTACATTTGAACAAATAACTTTATGCAGTGGAAAGTATCCAAGTTATTTTACGTTTTTTTCAGGGTTTATTATATAACGCAATTTTCCATCTCAACGAAAACGTTTATATTGACATTGAATTCATCGATTGGCACACTAGCAAGAAAAGTTGCAAATGCCGGTCTAGACAATATGTAATGTGCCACATTACTGTATTCTGCACAACGTGAAATTTTTCGAAAAGTTCACTTAATTTGTGTCAACTCGAATCTGACAGTAGGTTACATGAAATCTATCTGGAAGACAGTCAGTAAATTGACCTCAACGTAAACGTTTATTTTGACATTAAACTTTATCGATTAGCACCCTAGCAAGTAGCAAGAAACGTTGCAGATGCCGGCCTAGACTAGACAATATATATGTAATGTGCCACATTACTGTATTCTGCACAACGTGAAATTTTCCGAAAAATTCACCTAATTTGTGAACTCGAATCTGACAGTAGGTTACATGAAATCTATCTGGAAGACAGTCAATAAATTGACCCCAACGAAAACGTTTATTTTAGCATTGAACTTTATCGATTGACACTCTAACAAGAAACATTGCAGATGCCGGACTAGACAATATGTGCCACATTACTGTATTCTGCGCAACGTGAAGATTATCCTAAAATTTCACCTAATTTGTGACAACCCGAATCTGGCAGTAAATTGACTGCTGAGTTAGAGGGGCTGAGAGTATAGATTCATATTGAGATCTAAATACAAATCGAAATATCTATCACTCGTTGTGATTAGCACGGCCGATTCTGATATAACTATGAATATATATGTATTTAAATTGTGCAGATTCCTCCAACGTGCATCACAACGGCAGGGCCGTTGTTCAGTACAAGATCCCGTTGGTTGGACTTCATCAGTTTTTATTTTTTATTTGGAATAGTTCATATATTTTAGGTGAGGATTCATTTTAGGAATACAGATCCCAATTACGTGTTTAAGATTTGTATGATGTAGTATAAAACTGTGCATCCGCCTATAGGATTCTAACATAGAGGGTCTAACGGCCCAGGGGTCGGCAAATTTTATGTCGCTCGCAGGACAAAATTCAGGGTTGCTAGTCTTTTGCGGGTCGCATATATTTTTTGAAAGTTAAAAACGGAACAGCGCGCGAAAACTGCGACAAATCGTGAACTCAACTTAGTCGTCTTATTGAAAAAATATTACAATGACATTTAATGTGACACTGTCTTGTTGCTGCATCACGCTGGATAGCTTTACGACGCCAAGATTGAAACATTTTTTAAATGGGCATCACCAAACCCATTTCTTTTCTTGTTCTTTGTAATGTTCATTTTCGAAAATAATGGTTTGCACAAATATGTACTTCCAAACATCGAAGTGAATATTTTCGCATGATTTGTGAAATTTTGATAAATATTTTCTTTAAGAAGATACATTCTTACAAATTAAGCAGTGATGAATCTCTAGAATAAAATATGAATTTTATTTCCTTATTGCTTTGCAATATAATCGAATATTTACTGCGCTATTGAACCCCTGCACTCAGCATCAACTTTTCTGCGTGTTTCTATTTGTCTAATTATAATTAAATTGTTGGCTCGTTAAACGAGTCGCTGTTCACTAAATTGTTGGGATATAGTATAATTTAGTCTAAACATGCCTCACGATAAATTCTGCTACGTAAGAAAATGTAATTTACTCCTCGAGCGTAGATTATAAATAAAAAAATTTCATCGTCGAAACCGCCGTTTGGATATTTCCCCGGGCATAGACTTCCTTGTTTACTTCGTGACATTGGCCAATCAGCAAGATGCAAAAAACGTAACAATGCCCCCTTTCGCATCCGCTCAGGCGCTCCGACACTCTCACTCAGACAGATTTTCAGGCGTGGTCGTGAACACTACCTCGTTTTTGCGTTTTTGAATTATATTCGTTAGTTTTTAGTTGTTTTTCGGAAATTTAAATATAAATCAAATAAGTCAATGATTACTTTGTCTTTCTATGAGTTTCAGTTTAAATACAGCAATCAAAAATTAGTGTAGAAATAGCTGTGATAGACTAGGCTAAAATTCTTTATCGGTACTTTTAAAAAACAGATTGTTAAATGGTGTGTATTAGAATGATAGTTTGAAACAAATACCCCATTTTACAGGCAACAACTCGCGAAACCACTCTTACAATAAGCATCGAAAATTTTAAAATGGTAAAGTATGGGTAGAATTTTCCGCGGTCAAAGGTCGGGGAAAGGTCCATTCAGTGAATCGTCCCGGGCCAGATTATTTTACTCCGGCCGTATTTTGCCGACCACTGGGATACGCAAACTACCTTACTTTACTGCGAAGACGAGACCAGCAATCCTTTCGCGTGTGAATATCGCCCACATGATTTAAGCCTGCGAATGCACACAGAGTACAGAATTAAGTGCGCCGAACATAAAACAGGTTTCGCGAAATCGCCCCCTCCCCAATCGCCCCTTAGAGACTTTTTCGCCCCCCTCTGTATCGTTTAATTTGAACTTTGTGCAATTTTGAAAATATGGAGGTAAATAGAATATTGTGCTGTTATTCATAGTTTGAACGTATATATAATAGGTGGCGTCGTTGTTTATTCCTATATCGATAGTTCTGCTATGGCGTAATTGCATTTTTCCTTTGTGGACGCTTTTAATACACAACGACAGGAATAAAGGTATAGTAATAGAGGAGCAGATAAATTGCAGTATGCCCGAGGTCGGCAACGTACGGCCCGTGGTCCATATCCGGCCCGTGGAGTAAAATAATCCGACTCGGATATTTATTGGACACGTTAGTGGACATAACGATCGTTTCAATATTATGTTGTTGTTGTTGTTCTTTGACACTTTTTGGACACCGAGTAGAAAACCTAAAAAGTCGCTTTTCTCTATGATTACTGGACCAATTGCTTTGAAATTTTTTGTGGTTAAAGATGAAATTTTTCTTCAGAAGGCTATTACTTTCATTTATTTCAAATATTTCTGTTAGCTCAGTGAGATTTGTTTTTGTTTGCTGTGACGTCACCGAACGTTTTGCGGACGCATATGCTGGCACTCCATCTTCATGTTCTTCTGATCACGGGTCATCAAACATCGGTGGTTCGTAACGAAATCCTTGCTTTGCTAAGATTTGAGGAATGGCGAATAGTGCCCTACTTGGTGTTATATTACAGTAGTGACTCGGATCGTTGATGTTACTACAGTCGTGAGTCGGACCATCTTGCAATTTCATTACACGCTGTCACAAGTCAGGAACTTCTAAAGATATGACAGTTCCGGTACCGTAACACAGCGCGGTGACACTGAACTGACTCGTAACTGTCTCGTAAAAGCGGGGCTTGCAGTCACTATTATAACTGATGTCTCTAAATGTTGGTGCTTTTCTTGGAATTGGTAAACGTGTCCATATATTTGTGCATAGCTCTCTTGTTCGTCATCATTATCATTAAAAAATTGTTTTTCTCTTCGAATAATTGCTTTGAAATTTTCAGTTGTTAAAGATTGATTTTTTTTGCCAGGGGGCTATTACTTTTATTTATTTCTGAATTTCGTATGAAATCTGATATTTCGTACAAAATTTCGCTGTAATATTATTTATCCATGGGAACACTGACTGTCCGGTTTGATTATGTAAGTTCTTGCTACGCGAAACTCGGAAATTTTTTGAGGGTACCAGAAGCGTCAAGTCCTGCTTCGCTCTAGTTAACGTGTCCATATATTTGAGCATTGTTTTCTTGTCTGTTATAGCTTTGACTGGTTACGCTCAATACGCTGCTTACACGTTTTTTTAATTCCCGCAAGTGTTTAAAAGCTACACACACGTGTTTTAGTCCGCAAAGTGATTATGTTACATTGTCATATTGCAGTATTATGGCATTAATATCATATAGGAACTTCTTAAAACAAAAAAGCATAGATATGAAGGGTGCTGTATTTCATAAATAATTTCGAAGCGTTTCACGCAGTCAAAAAGAAACAATTATAATAAAAGATGAAACATCGTACATGTTTCTCCTATTTCCCTTTTTGTCTATGTTTTATTTTTGAAATATTATTAATTAAGCTATCTGTAATATTTTAGAACTGAACTAAAAATTAAAAACACTGTTGAAATATACAAAACTAAATTCAAAGTTTAGCCATAATAAGAAGCAATCTAACTATTTTCAAAACTATCCCACGTTTCGTCGAAATCAACCACGAGTCTGTCTACGTTTCGCCAAAGAGCGATTTTTTTATCGCAGTTTTCACACAATGCCATGTGTTATCAAATATTCTGAGCGATCCCAAGCGGCGGCTGTTAGTAGGCGTATTAATGAAATAAAAACAAGGGAATGGGATAATTACGTCTCATAGTTTAAAGGCATAATAGGATTCAATTTAAGCATACTGTACAATTTGACAGTTAAAGCATTTCGCGGAAAATTGTATTGTTAACAAACGAAGAACAGGAAATATTTAAGATACATGATGACCGGATTTCTAAGAAATAACTGGGCAGTATTAAAATTTCCTGTGAAAGTGTGACAATTCATAACAGTTTTTGGAACCGAAGAAATCACGTTATAGTCTAACTTTATATTAAGTCTACGCAAAGGTCCTAAAAGTTGAAATAGTTGGATGGTGTAAAAATAAATTAAATTGGGTTACTGTATGATGCGTTTATTACTAGCTGTTATTTTCCAGCAATTAGTGCGGAGGATATGTTTTACGAATAAGTAACTATAGGATCTTATTGTCTTTTGTATCATAGCCACATGTTGTACGTGTACCAGATGAGATGCAGTTATAGATGTGTGCTGTCGTGGAAGAGAGTGCTCGAGAATTAAATGAAAAATAGCGAAATTTTAGATTAAACATTGGCTCTGTTTTAAAGTACTAACAATTTCTGACACATTATATAAACCTATAGGCTAGTTTACATAAAAATGAAGCTTCCTGTGATAGATTTCGCCAGTTGTGCGATACGAAACAAAAATATATCTACGAAAGACTTGAAGTCTGTTGGAGAATCGATTGTGAAAGCTTTTCACTCGGCCGGCTTCGTTTATCTAAAAGATACTGGTATATCAAAGTAAGTTGAATTTCACCTATAGGATGACTATTACCTTTTCAGAAACTCAACAATAACGTGAAAGGACAGGAACTTGACTCAGTAGAACAAAAATTTATGATTTAAAACTGTGCAAATACACAGAAAACATTACGAATATTCAGAATTGATATTTGGATACTTTAACGATGAAGTGTTTTGATACTAATGATAATACTTTGGCAAACTTGTTATTGTCTTACATTCAGTCCACCAGAGCAATCTAATTTCACAGCCGTAGAACATTCCCTTATTGTATAATTCGGTTTAGCGATATTCACTGATAAAATTTTGTTTTATTACTATTTACAGGAATGATGTGGAGAAATTGAATAAAACTGCGAAACAATTTTTTGATCTACCCATGGAAAAAAAGAAGAAGTATGACATCAATCAAGAGTGCTTTGGCTACATCGGGATCGGAGTAGAGAAGTAAGTGCATGTTTCATACTTCCATATTGAATGTATATAAATTCTAGGTAGGGTTATCTTTGGCAAGTCAATGATTCGCGTAATTTTTTAGAATCTCTTTACCGCGTGGGTTTGCGATTCTGCCTAGTATACAAGTAAGAAAATGTTCTTCGACAATTTACATGTGAGATATTTTTATTTTAGAAATTCGGCTTTAAGGCCCGCAGATTATAAAGAAGGTTTTGATATCCCTGGATCTGCATTTGTACCTGGACGAACAATCTGGCCAGACAAAGAAGTTGCTGGATATTCTTATGTTATGAAGGAATTTGGAGATCATTGTCGTTTCCTGTCAACTCGAATATTGGGAGCAATATCATTGGGATTGGGTCTCAAGGTAATTATAACTTTGATTTAGTACTAAATGGTCGACTCTTTGAACTCTCACGTGCACTTGACAACGCATTATGTTAACTCGACAATAAATGAAATTGTCACCTCTTCCCATCCACATATTTTCATAGAAAACATAGTGATCTATATATATATATATATATATATATAAAATCACAAATACCCAATACTGTATTCTAAATCAATACTCATTCAAATGATAAACGAAGTCGAACGTGCTTTCGTACCGTTTGCTACGTGATTTAAAACACGCAATAAAGAATAATGCAATGATATATATTGTTATTGCAACAATATTAAAAAACCGTTTATATCGACATATTTTTTCTATAAAACTTTACATTTTAAGTAATCGATCGAAACAATTAATTACAATAAATAAAATGGAGTGTTATGGCTCAGTTAAAGCTGTAATTCGAATCGCCTCGATCCAGAATTCTGAAACGTACATCCTTAATCCTAATTTTTATTATAACAGGATAAAGAATACTTGATGAAATGTCATTCTCGAATGAACGATGAAAGGAATTTAACGACACTCAGAACACATTACTACCCACGCATACCCGATAAGTGTTCGTTCGAACCAGGTCAAGTTCGTCTTGGCGAACATACTGATTTTGGATCTTTTACTATTTTGTTTCAAGATAAAGTGGGCGGACTGCAGGTTTGTTTCAACGTGAAATATCTGTAAAATATTTTCTATGTATCTGTTTAATTCAACTTAAAATAGAGAAACATAGTAGATATCAATTTTTGAAAGTATTTTCAACGATTACAACAAAATATTAAGGTGAAAGCCAGCAATGGAGAATACGTGGATGCCACTCCTATACCAGGAACAGCATTAGTAAACATAGGAGATGCTTTGCAGTTTTGGACACAAGGAAGACTCAAATCAACGGTAATTTAGTTTTCAATGTCTCAAAAAAATTAAATTTACTAAATACGCCACACTACATTGTATTAGTCCTTTCGCAAAAAAATGTTGTCAACTAGTTTGGGAAGATGGTGCTTGGGGCTTCCGATGGCATTTTATGTTGTGCTATTTATAACAGATACAATATTGAGCGTTTACATTCAGAATATAAAATGTTGTTTATTAGTGGCGGGAAATATAACTTTACTTTGGTTTCCGCAGATGCTTGATTGTCCTAGACCAGAGTTTTCCAACTTAATGTTTTTGAGGGGAAATTTTATTTTGCATTCGCGTGTAGTATCACAAGTATTTCTATTGAGAATCACTTTAATGCAGACGAGACAAAAGTCAGAGTATGCGTAGCAGGTAAGGGATGAAGGGTTTTAAAATACGCCAATGGAGGAATGAATCCAAAAATTGTGAGGACTAGGTCCTCACTAGTTCGAAGACACACCACTGATATAAATAAGTTAAGATATGTACTCGATTGTGTAAAGTACATGTTTTTTGTGCTGTTATTAAACATTTTTCTAATGATAGTTGATTTAACGATTTTACAAGTTGGAATATTTTGACGCATATTACAACCATTTTTGCACATAATCGTAACAGCGTACAGTTTGTTTAAGTTTTCAAACTATATACATATATTACAGGAACACAGAATACTGATGCCCAAAACAGCCGAAGAAAACGTCGAGAGAAGATCAATTGCTTACTTTGTGCAAGCTAACAACGATGTCTTGTTATCTGAGCTACAATATGAAAACAATGACATTTTCTCGTCCAGAAAAGCGTCACAAGTCACCGATGAACCTGTTACTGTTCTTCAGTATTTGAAAAAGCAATACAAAAGCATTAACTTGCAGAGCCTGGATCATTACAGTGAATAACAATGCGAACACTATCAGATAAAATGCCAAAGAGCCAAAATTTTAGCATTACGGTCAGCATGAAATTAATTGTCATGTTACAACAAGAAGGATTATATTAACAATATATATATATACAGTCGATTAGTTAGTATGTTGTGTTGGAAGTTTTCTATTGATAGAACTATGAAGTTTTTGAATCACAATTTTTATAGTTATTTTTTTTTTTCGATATTTCGTTTGCGAATTTATTTCTGATTAAAAAAAAATTGTCCATAATTTTTGTTTTGTTCGAGATCATAATTATTTGAATATATTGAAAAGTCAGATTACGACACTCCGCAGAACTGCACCTAAAAGCTAACAAACTAGGTTGCCGGTACAGTATTATGGGTGTTTGCGGGTTGGTTTAGGCTGGGGTAGGGATGTATAGGTACTGTGCCGGTAGCTGAATATCGGTACATGGTATCAAATTCAATCAGAAACTAGTCTACAGCCGGTACCTCAAAACTTGTATTACCGGTACCGGTAAGGTTGAACACAACTACCACAGAGATTACCGGAACAAACTGCCAGGATGGTATTTCCTCTTCACCTGCTAGTTTCCATGTTTTTGAGAACATTCAATGACAGAAGAGTTGCCGAGACAGACTCCATTGTTTGTCCATACTAGACTATATCACTCTCGGCACTAAAGACAAAACGACTACTAACTAGTAATAATATATGATGATCCATTTTAATACAAAAACACATATTTCACGTGCTGATAATATCAATAACAAACAAGCATAATAATATAATAAATAATATTTGAAGCTTATGTATAAACCATCAATAAGTAAGACAAAATTTCACAAAAACGGGTCACAAACACACAGTAATCAATTTTAGGAACAAAAACAATTGTTTAGGTAAGATATTTCCATGAAGTCAAAAATATTTTGCTATGCTATGAGTGATGCTTCTACATTATGGTGATAGTGAGTAAATTGATTGACATATATATAGAATATAGATGAAGCAACAAAGGCTTGTCTTATCCACTTTCAAACTTATTTCGTGATACCATTAAGTAGGAAATGAATCTTGTGCTCAGAGTGGATCATTTTTTCTGGATGCTTTTATTGATAAGTCAAAATTTCCAATAAAAAGACAACTATCTTCAAGCATTTTCAATATGCAATTGATTAAAGAGCGCTTACATGCGTAATGGTTATTAAAATTTTCGTGTATTTTGGCCCTGGAGTATGGGGCAAAATTTTCATCAACCTCAAGTAGGGTGGCCAGAATAAGTAAGGTTATTTTCTTATGGTAGGCCGAAGCAACAAAAATAGTGAACAACCAAAAATAAAATCTGACATTTAGAACCTCTTAAATCAATACTGAATTCATATATACTTGTGCTAAGTTTTGTGTGTGTTTATTATTAATATTTCGCGAACTGATAAATTTCATTTAAACATGATTGAAGACGATGCAATTAAATTTTAGGCTGAATTTGAAGAAAAATGTGCAAATTTGGAGCCCAAATATAAACATACTGCACAGAGATAAGTGTAATATAAAAAAGCAGCGCTGAGTATGGCTAAAATTAAAAAAAAAATATTGCAACACGAAACTTGAATGCACCTAAACGTGTACTGACAGCGAAGATTACTTCATTTTATAGTACCATAATTTAAAAAAATGCCAATATAAGCAGAAAATAGAAGAGAACATATCACAGAGAAAACCATATGAGTACAGAAGGAAAAAATTTCAATTCATATATTTCATCTTGGAATGTCAAGTGAATATTGTGGATTGCCATTTGAAGTGTATTTATTTCATTACAATGCAATAAGTTTATAAAAATGAAGTCTTAAAATAGAATTTGTAGAAAATTAAACATTTTGAAGCAATTGGAAATGTGTATGTTGAGAATCGGAATTTTTATACAGATTTGTGCTTATGAGCAATCAATGGAAATGTGTATATTTATTAACGCAAATCCTAAAATTGATAAACAACTAAAAATACTTAATTATCAAAATCCATTGGCTGCAAGTCCATATGCAAATGAATCGTAAATGTTCATAAAGTCAGTCAGAGTTACAATTTTCTCATTTCATTAAGTCAATTCTCAAAAATTTAATACAAGACTTATCTTGTATATCCAAATGCAGTTGTGGATGTTGAAACAATAACGGATATGTGACTACTATTGGAAACAAGATATTCAGTTACTTTTTTCATGTCGCAGTGACACAAAGACACAAAATATGTCCAAACGTTGGAATATTGCAACCATATTGGAATCTTGAAACTATAACTAATTTTTCTATTTTCATTCATGTAAGAACATGCTAGATCAGGGTGGTACAAACCCAGGCCCGCGGGCCAACAACAGTCATGTGGCCCCGACGTCAACAACCTTGGACCACCCTGCACTAGATCCCCTGGACAGCGTAACAATAACATTTTTCGACAAAAAAAAAATCTCAAGAGTTCAAGTTAAAATTTGTGATGAACTGCCAAAAGAGGAATATGAGTCTTGTCTAGGACCGTAAGATGAAGCATCTATTATTGAAGAAGAAGGAAAAAGTTTATACCACCCAATTACTCTGGTAGCTAAGTCTAAATTTTCCAGAGCGATTTGAGCCGAACCAGTAAAAGATTTGTTGTCCATCCTTCCGTAGTCACCCCATATGATAACCTGGTAACATAAAAAAAATGTTTATCTCAATCAAATGTTTGAGACATTGTCATGTCAGACGCAAAGACAATCAGACAGACAGACATCGAAACACACAAAAATATAATTACAAGAATTCAAAACTTGTAGTACCGGTACACTACCAGTGAGGTTGAACACAACTACCACAGTGATTACCGGAACAAACTGCCAGGATGGCATTTCCTCTTCACTTGCTAGTTTCCATGTTTTTGAAAACATTGAATGACAGAAGAGTTGCGGAGACAGACTCCATTGTTTGTCCTTACTAGACTATGTCACTCTCGGCACTAAAGACAAAACGACTACTAACTAGTAATAATATATGATGATCAATTTTAATACAAAAACACATATTTCACGTGCTGATAATATCAATAACAAACAAGCATAATAATATAATAAATAATATTTGAAGCTTATGTATAAACCATCAATAAGTAAGACAAAATTTCACAAAAACGGGTCACAAACACACAGTAATCAATTTTAGGAACAAAAACAATTGTTTAGGTAAGATATTTCTATGAAGTCAAAAATATTTTGCTATGCTATAAGTGATGCTTCTACATTATGGTGACATATATATAGAATATAGATGAAGCAACAAAGGCTTGTCTTATCCATTTTCAAACTTATTTCATGATACCATTAAGTAGGAAATGAATCTTGTGCTCAGAATGGATTATTTTTTCTGGATGCTTTTACTGACAAGTCAAAATTTCCAATGAAAAGACAACTATCTTCAAGCATTTTCAATATGCAATTGATTGAAGAGCGCTTACATGCGTAATGGTTATTAAAATTTTCGTGTATTTTGGCCCTGGAGTATAGGCCAAAATTTTCATCAACCTAAAGTAGGGTGGCCAGAATAAGTAAGGTTATTTTCTTATGGTAGGCCGAAGCAACAAAAATAGTGAACAACCAAAAATAAAATCTGACATTTAGAACCTCTTAAATCAATACTGAATTTCATATATACTTGTGCTAAGTTTTGTGTGTGTTTATTATTAATATTTCGCGAACTGATAAATTTCATTTAAACATGATTGAAGACGATGCAATTAAATTTTAGGCTGAATTTGAAGAAAAATGTGCAAATTTGGAGCCCAAATATAAACATACTGCACAGAGATAAGTGTAATATAAAAAAGCAGCGCTGAGTATGGCTAAAATTAAAAAATATATATTGCAACACGAAACTTGAATGCACCTAAACGTGTACTGACAGCGAAGATTACTTCATTTTATCGTACCATAATTTAAAAAAATGCCAAGATAAGCAGAAAATAGAAGAGAACATATCACAGAGAAAACCATAGTAGTACAGTAGAAAAAAAAATTTTAACGAAAATTTCAATTCATATATTTCATCTTGGAATGTCAAGTGAATATTGTGGATTGCCATTTGAAGTGTATTTATATCATTACAATGCAATAAGTTTATAAAAATGAAGTCTTAAAATAGAATTTGTAGAAAATTAAACATTTTGAAGCAATTGGAAATGTGTATGTTGAGAATCGGAATTTTTATTCAGATTTGTGCTTATGAGCAATCAATGGAAATGTGTATATTTATTAACGCAAATCCTAAAATTGATAAACAACTAAAAAATACTTAATTATCAAAATCCATTGGCCGCAAGTCCATATGCAAATGAATCGTAAATGTTCATAAAGTCGGTCAGAGTTACAATTTTCTCATTTCATTAAGTCAATTCTCAAAAATTTAATACAAGACTTATCCTGTATATCCAAATGCAGTTGTGGATGTTGAACCAATAACGAATATGTGACCACTATCGGAAACAAGATATTCAGTTATTTTTTTCATGTCGTAGTGACACAAAGACACAAAATATGTCGATAACGTTGGAATATTGCAACCATATTGGAATCTTGCCACTATAACTAATTTTTCAATTTTCATTCATGTAACAACATGCTAGATCTGGGTGGTACAAACCCAGGCCGCGGGCCAACAACACTCAATTAATATTGTGGCCCCGACGTCAACAACCTTGGACCACCCTGCAATAGATCCCCTGGACAGCGTAACAATAACATTTTTCGACGAAATAAAAATCTCAAGAGTTCAAGTTAAAATTTGTGATGAACTGCCAAACGAAGAATATGAGTCTTGTCTAGGACCATAAGATGAAGCATCTATTATTGAAGAAGAAGGAAAAAGTTTATACCACCCAATTACTCTGGTAGCTAAGTCTAAATTTTCCAGAGCGATTTGAGCCGAACCAGTGAAAGATTTGTTGTCCATCCTTCCGTAGTCACCCCATATGATAACCTGGTAACATATAAAAAAAAAACTTCAATCTAATGTTCGAGACATTGTCATGTCAGACGCAAAGACAATCAGACAGACAGACATCGCAACACACAAAAATATAATCACAAGAAATTTATTGACTAACCTGTAAAGCATTTCCGACGTGATTAGGATCAAAAACTAAACTTTCGTTGAAGTTGGGAGAAAGTGTTCGCGTTGACAATTTCGTTTTCTTTTTGGTAATACATTGTACTCCTGACATCATGTAAACTTTAACATAAAAGGCTGAAATTGAAAAAAAAATTATTGTAGATATATATTTATATAGATATGAACAAGACTTGATGCACTGAATAGCAATTGCCAAACATGATATAGTATTGAATAATTTTTCTCTTCATTGTAACTTACCTGGCATGGTTCTTGACCCTGATTTACCAGAGAGATTTCGTGCACGCTTTACTTGAACAACGAGTTGACTTTGGTGACGATAAAATCCAAGCTGAAAATGAATTTGCATCATTAATACAGGACAACATAATTAAGCGGATAGGTACATAGGCAAAGATAGAGACCTAAATGTTCTCTTGCTGTCTTGGTTTAATATCACCCAAGCATTTGAAAGTAACTTTCTTATTACTTATCGATTTTAATCAGTAAGTATGTTGATAGGTATTTGTCTGTTTGTCTGTTAGATGCAGACGATATCTCACGAAAGCGAGATTGAATCTGCTCCAGATTTTGCATGTGCATTCATCATATGTCGGACCAGAAGCCTAGTGATTTTGGATGAATTATGTCGTATAATTAGCGAGTTATTGATTAATTAGTGATGGGACACAAGGTGTCACTATGAAGTAAGAGCGCTGTTCTGGGGGATCCCCTAACTTTCAATGGATAAGTCTTCAGTCTCTGACCGATATTCTCGTTTTATTTATTTGTTGAGAAACACCAACCCAAAATTTAAAAAAATTACTCAAATTTGAGGATGTGTATGTTATGAGGGGAATTTTAGATAGTGCATTGAACAATCTATTGGAATTCTTTGAACGAAAGCCATATATTTATATTGCTAATAGAACCAGAAAAGTTAGTTATATCGTTTTGGGAAAATTGTAAAAAAAAGAAGTGAAACTTTGGCAAATCTGGCGAATTTAATATAAAAATGTGTTATGTGTGTATTGTTTTTTTCTAAAGCAACCTTCAAATTGAGAACACCAAACCACAATTGGGATTATAAAGACGAAAATATTGAAGAATATATTCTTGATACCTCAAGCTCTCCAACAGAGCTCATGCCGAGAGCTTGTCGTCCGACAATTTGTCCAGGTCCAACACCACCGACAAATGTTTGTAGCGTTTGTGAGTGATCAACAGACCTGAAACAAAAATTTAAAATCGATTTTAAATTGATAAGTTAGGAATAGGTAGATATGGATATATAGTATCAATTCCTTTTAAATGACCATCTTGTTTGAGAGCTAATAAGGTGCCATGCTTAATTTTTAGGGGAAAAACGCATAAACTGTGCTGTGGCTCTTGCTCTTACAGATCAGAGGAAGAATTGCGTAATTCATATTTTGAAACACCATATAGAAATGAATGAATGGAAAACATACATTGCTTCGAAATTCATGGATGGTTTACTAGATACAGATCCATCTCCAATATCTGAAATATCTTCTCTTTGTTGTTGTGGTTGCTGAGGTTGTCTTCTACTTTCTTTTACTGTTGTTGCTGGCGTACTTCTACCTACTGACTTGGTTTCATCATATGCTGAATGTAATATAATTTGTTTCATAAGTGATAGGTATGAGAAAGTATGAGATAAATTTTTTTTTTTTTATTTTTTTTTTTATTTTTTTTTTTTAATATTGATCTGGAGAGAGGAAAGCTGATGAGCGAGCTCAATCAAACCACAGCCTCTTGTCTGGTTACCATTCCATGTCAGGTTTGAGAATAATTTTTGTTTCAAATGATTGGATTTGAGCTGTAAACAGCCCGCAGTTATGTGAACAACCATACACCAAATGACGTGGAGCACCAGCACATAATTATACACCTGTGAGATTAGATCAATCATAGGTCCACAGTGTCCAAAAATGAAAATGTTATTCGACTGAACCAACTCACCTATTGTATTCTGTGATGTGGTAACAGGAAGATGTGGCAACATTCGTTTGTGCATTGCTTTCGGAGATTTTTGTGTCCTTGCTAATGATGACTGTGTTGTACTGAATTGGAAACATTGGAAATGAAAACACTTCAGCAATAGTTAATTTTTCATCTGATTACTTGATAGGCCATAACTTACAGTTTTTTTTATAAATAACACTGTTATATATTCAGACAGATCCTATTTAAATGTTTAAGGATGCAAGACACTAAGTTCACATTGCAAGTAAGTAACCATGGTTCTCCAAAACTATTCAAATATCAAAGTATTCCAAAACTTTTTTAGCTAATTTTAGAATAATGAAGGATGACCACTTCTCGTTTTCAAAGAAAATCTTCAAAAGATTTTCTGCGCTTTGTCACATGTTGTTATGACGATAGATAGAATCGACACTTTGATTGTCTGTAATCTTCTGTGCGAGCGAGATGCTTATTATTAGAACATTCTTGTATGGTTGCGTGGTGAGGACATTGATACTATCTCTATGCAAGGCTTCCACTAACTTTTTACAGTGATTTTGTCAGTGGCACTGCAAGAAAGGCCACATGTGATTGAACATTAGAATTTGTAATTATTTTCAATTAAATCTTAATTAGTTTTAATCAATTACAATTAATGTCGGTGCTGCATTTTCTATGAATTATTCCCAGACAAAAGTATTGATTATTTTTCTCAAGTTCGGTAGATAAAAAATATTCACGAGAAACACCGATAAATATTGATTTCAGCTTATATTGCATCATGCAATATACATAATGCAGACGTATTATCATGATTTGCCATCGAACGATTGTCAGGGAATTAAAATCAGAATTTATTATATTTACGAATAACTTATATGAATTATATGAAAGAACGTTTCAAACGAAGATTTTAAATGTCAATATCCTATAGAATTCTTGTTTTGTCTCAAATATTTTTTTGTTCCATAACCTTATAAGGTGTTTTCATATCTTCCCTTCAAACGAGGCTCTGAGCGAGCAGTTGTCGAGTTATGTCAATTCAAGCACATAATATAAATTTGGTATTGTACATTATTTTGCTGGTATTTAAGGTATTTTTAATGGCCCAACAGTGATTCTCCCATATGCAGAGCACTAAAGAGTAATGACATAAACCAATGCCTTAGTCATGGAATGCTATCTTTACTGACTTATGAATAAAATTGTGTGCCGATATAGAAAAAGTACTGGACTTATTATAAGAAATAAAGGAGCTTCTTATATTTTATTCCCCGCGTAACCAGAGCACTGCTCATAGCAAATGTAAAACATTCGAAAAAGGGCAAAAAAAAAATAACATGTCATTGACAAACCATTGGAAGTAATAAACTTAGTTACCCACCCAATATAAGACGTCGATTTTGAAAGGGTGTCGTTGCTTGCTTCCGTAAAATTGACATCAGAAGACACGGAACTAGTAGGCATGAGTGGGTAGCTTTCAGAAGCATAATCTTGATTCATTCCACATCCAAGAGGCATCAAATAAAACCAATGTGGTTCATCATTGAGACATACTAGTCCAAGATCAATAATAACCTGAAATAAAATACGATGTTGAAGTTATAAAAAGTAGATAAGCAGCTGTGTCAAGTCTAGAACTCTCTATAAAGTTAAAATACTAAAACTTAATTGATTGTTTGAAATCAGGTGTGACAATACAATACTCTAACTCAGCATTTAGAACCTTAGGGAAAATTTATGTTTTTAGCGGTAAATAAATCCCAAGAGAACAAATAATAAAAAAATTAAAGCATGAATATGACTTGATGTTGAATCTGGTATTTGTTGTACATTATCTACTTCTTCACTATAGACATTAAAAAGTTAGTTGCCAATAAACAAGACATTTGTCATATTAAATGAATATATTTGCTAATTTTGGGTAAATACTGCAAAATATAGAAAAAAAAAATAACCAGCTAACAACTTTTGTTTGCCTACTTCACATCAAGTTGTGTAAAGGGACTGAAACCTATGGGTAAGGGGTATATTCACTTGGCTAACACAGACAGTCCCTGGACTCGTAATGGAAATAAATTAAGGAAAATCGGAATAAAATTATCGCCTAACCTAGTACACACACTACGCAAGTACCAAATCAAGCAACAGAAAATGAATTTTCGAATGCCCATTATTATCGGAGACGAGTTTTACTAGCTAAACTGAATATATTACAGCTAAAAAATAAAAACAAAAGCCATACCTCTCCCATGAATTTATTATTAGCTTCCAAGGATCTGTCATAGTCCCATAGCGTCAATTCCAACGCCATTGCACCAAGATCATCTCGTCTAACTTCGCCGTAAACAAAGGTTTGCATCCATTCTGGAGCTAACGTTTTCTTTGCTGTTTTCGTTTTCCTTTTAAAAAGGTTGCTACGATCTGAAAATTCAGAAAAAAAAGGCTTCATGAGAAGTATAATCTAGAACAGAGGTGGGCAAGGCTTTTGAACCAGGGGCCAAAAATTTTGCCCACCTAGACTGGCGAGCCATGTAAGTGTGACATAAAGGTAAAATATTATTAACAATATTTACAGTGTTACAAAAGCAAAAATGCAAAAACTAAATTTCTAAGCCTCCTGCTAAAACTAAAGTTAATCGCAATTTAAACAAATTCCTTGAGCTATTTTTTAGCTGAGACATCAAAATTTGGTTGTACTCTGGTTGTAACAGCATCGGGCGGTCCAGATTGAATTACCCAACAGTTTGCCTATGTCGAATCTAAGCATTTCAAGCCAAACTCACAGTCAATCAATATATAATCATGTATAATACCAATGGAAACAAGCATTATATAGATTTTTGACAGATTCAGACGTCACAATTTCAAGACATCTAAAACATTCAGAACAATATCAAAATGAATACCTTATACAGAGAAGCAATGAAAAAAGGAGTTAACAATTAAGTTGTTAATAACAAAAACTGTTTCAACATTAGTCTCTCTTAAAAGAGTAACGTTTAGGTTTCCCTGATAGCAGAAAACTTTATTTTGGAAACTTTGCATTTCGAGGAAATGCATATTTATCATAAACATATGCATGCATAACATTGGTTTTATTTTAAAAGCAATTTCATTAAAGCAGACATTATCATATAATATGAGCTTGGGCCGGTTACAGCTTCCTATACCATCAAGTCCCCAAAAAATAAAAATAAATGGTGAAAATATCCCATAACCCCTGTCTTCTCGACTTTCCTCCCCCTGTGGACAGATTAAAAATTCCTAATAACAGGACTCACAGAAAAAGACAATCCTCCCGTATATCGCAGTTGATATTATTGATTTTAATAAAAAATTCTGATGTTTGGTTATCTGTGCGTCAATACACACAGAAAAAAACAATGTTCCCTGTGGTTTCATTTCAAATGGTTGACCTTTGACAGAGGTTCAAAAGTTTAACAAGCGTGCATCGTATATTCACCGAACATGTTAAAATATATACCCCGAAACAAATTTCCTCAGCTAGTGTTGTTTGGAAATAATTTGCGAATCACTGATACAATTTAGAAAACCTACAAACAACACAAAATTCAAAAAAACATGTTTTTATGAAATACCTAACAGGCCAGCCAATTAATAACCGGAAGTTTTCATCATTAAAAACCAAGTTTACAAAAACAGCCTGAAACGAAGAGATCATTTCCTTGGATGAAAAACAAAGATCTTTATCAGTATTACTGCGTCGCAAAAAAAATCAGGGTAATTACTTCACCAATCAATAATGACATCCATGGGAAGATGCCAAAATTAAAAGGGAGTTTCGAAAACATGAAATGAACTCTTTGAAAGTGCGCAGAAATGAGTGAAAAGCATTAAAGTTTAAATGAAAAATTGAAATCAACGGACTGGATGTCATTTTGATATTCATTGGGCTGGTTGATGGAAATTATTACAAGGTGACAAGAGTTCTGCTCGCTGGACTATAACGACCTAATATGTTAAAGATCTGAGGTTCAAACCCCACGCTATTGACCTCGCCAATATTAATATTTCTAAAATTATATGGTTTATATATGCTGAATCATAAAAATCCTGGTCCTAAATCTTGTGCCACACAACGGGCCACATTTAGTTTACTAATAATTGCGCGGGCCACTTAACATGGTAATTATTTTTCTAGTTTTACTACACTGACCAAAAGTTAGTGAAAAAACAAACAATACCCTCGCACTAAACTTTCTCATTAATAAGAACAATGAAAAAACGAAGATACAGTAAAGTCAACAAAGTTTTTTCTACACGTAGACATTTTAGTGTGAAAGTTTGACACTGTTTTTCGCTAACAAGTTTGTCAATATTCGCTGAAAAGGACGATGTAGCAATGCGAATTTTCCACATGATTGTCAGAAATTAGTGTTCTCACAGGGGATTTAACATGGTTCATCTGTGAAAAAACTTGCTTGTACGAGTACGTGCTGCCAAATTATGAGGTCATTAAAACTGCCATTCTGCCCAAGTGGGTGAGCTACTATTTATTTATCGATATCTTCCAGTTGGTGATGGCACTCATGGCTCGTTTGAAAGGGCTAGCAGAGCGCATTTCAGGAAAATGAACAACTTGTTTTTATCAAATCTTCATATTAACTACTCGAAAAATAAGAGTTTTACTCATTTTTTTTGACATTTAATTTTGAAAATACAGCGCGGGCCACTTGAAACTCCTCGGCGAGCCACATGTGGCCCGCGGGCCACGGGTTGGACGACTCTGATCTACACAATCAGAATTTCAAGTGTCAAATAAATTTTCTTCATTTTCGTTAAATTAATTAAAAAATTTATGGATTCTGTTTTTTGGAGTCACCATGTATAAATCAGAGCAAAGCTTGGAGTAAAACTCAAATCACCAATACAAAATCAATGCTTTATAAAGCACATTATATAAAGTCAGTATCCAGCAGCAAGCCATTTTATAGATGAACTTAAAATACCTTCAAAAATGTGGGTATGCATTAGTATATAAAAAATATATATCTATTTCGTCCTATTTTAAGACTCCATTCCCAGGGGGAGGCTGACGCATGCGGTATATTATTTCAAAATTGTACAAAATTGAAAATTGCTTTTTAAATAAAGGAAGTAAATAGGCAAATGATAGAAATGCTGACGTGACAGAAGACATTTTTTTGAATGATATTGATTGAAAAACAACACAGTCTGTCTCAAAATAAAGCTAGTTTAATAACTGTTTTTTAATATAGTTCTTACATTTTGATTATTTTTTATTCAACATATTTGTTTTCCTCTTGAATTGTTTGGATATGTTAAAAAGGAAAATCTTAATTAATTTGTATTTTTAAATCAATACTATAAATATTTAGATTGTTTTGGACAAGCTGATCAATAAAATTACAATAGTATAAAAAGAAAACAGTAAAAAAATAACAAAATTTCAAGTTGAAAAAAGTAAAACAACAAATTTCCAAATCAGACCAAATAAAATTATTATGGTGAAATGAATTCACAGGGGTGAGTGACCAGAAATTTAAAAACAAAATACATCAGAAGACGAAATTAAAATTTGAACAAAGTTTAGGCTATTTAAGAACTCCAAAAACTAAAAATATTTGCTGAAAAATTAGAACATGTAAAGTTTTATGAAAATATTTTTTGTTAAAACCCCAATATGCCTCCAAATTCAATTCGGAATACTTTTCATTAATTTCATACCTTTTCAAAACTTTTTCAACAATATCGATATATTACTGACTGACAACTATTATTCACTATAATTGTGTATCGTTTCAGTAACTTTTGGATTTTCAATGGTCGACCATAATTTTACTCAGAGATGAGTGTTCTTTACTTCCGAGTAAGTGCATATTAACCTTATCCTCTTCAAGAGTTTCATAGAGAGAGCAAAATTATTAAAAATGCACTGGTAATATTTAAAAAAAAGATGTATTATTGGTAGTCAAAAAATAAAATTTAGCAAACTACACCAAAATTGAAAACAGAAAAAAAAACAGGAAATGCGTGAAACCATGCACAATCGAGTGAGTCTACTGAACAATGTTGAAAAACAAAATTTGAGTAGAACAGCTGGTAACTTACCAGGCAAAAGGTACATTTTCAAGTAAGGGTTTCTGGGAAGACCACCTTCTCTTGCTAACAAATCTACAGCACGAATGGCAGTCACATACAATTGTTGACTTTTTTCATCATACCATATTTTTATCTAAAAATGAATAAGTGTAACTAAATATGATTAGAAATTAAAAGTAATTATTAATTAATTATAATTAAAAATAATATTAAAGAACCAATTAATATCAAGAAAAGAGTCATCAGCAAATATGACTTGTTTACAATGTCTATGTATTTTTTCTTCAGGATTATATTATTCCTTACGAGCATGGTTCGCAGATAAAACATGTCTAATTGACATACAACTATCTATGTCTTATGCACAATCCTATCAACTGATATAATTATTATTTTCACCAATATAATAACATAATTTAGTTTGAGTGTTCATAATGTGTAATGGCTTAGTCGTTAAATGGGTTCATAATGGGTAATGGGGTTTGAATCCCACGCCCAACAGCCAACACACCACCCCGAGTTTAATGAACTGGATAAGTCATACTGAACTGGAATAACTCTAATACATATCAGTGACCGCTTATAAAGGGCCTTGTTCAGAGCAAAAAGTGTGTAATCAATTTTAAATTTAGAATAGAATAAATTATATACTGAATTGATTTAAGATTTTCACATGAATAAATGGAATCCAGCTTAAAAAATTTGAATGTAGGAGAACAAAAACAAATCTTCAACAGAAAATCAATAAGTCTGTATCAAAAATTGATGTTTCTACGGGAAATCACACTTATGTTATTTGTACCATCCATGACCAACTCCAGACCAGATCTGCAAGATTTAAAAAAAAATGATAAAATTAATGAAACAATCAGTTGAACCTGAATTCTGACCTGAATTCTACCATGTAATGGTTTAATGGTGTATGACTCAAAATCTCTTCTTTCAGAATCAAGAGAACAACTGCTTGATTCCGCAGTTTGGTGAAGTCTCGTTTCAGGGATTCTTGGAACGTCGCGAATAGGTCGAGACACAACTAATTCCACCTTGAAAAAAAATGATTGAAAATGAAATCAATGTGTCTTCTTCGGAGAGAAATTGTATTGATAATTAAATAAAAAAGATAAAAATAATCACCGAAGACACTTTGTAAGGTATATAAAGAACTAGAAATGTCTCAAAAATAGGATTATTTTTTTTTAAAATCATTCATTAGTTGATGACTTTTTTTATGAATGAAGTTTTACATCATAACGATTTGATATCAACATTAAAAAATGGCATAATCTATTTTGTGAAGAAAGGAAGGGAACTTTTCATGAATAAAAATATGCGACCTGTGAGCAAATATGCCACAATATATGTAAAACTATTTTGGACGAAGTACTTGAACTATAATTAAGACAAATTAAAACTGAAAAAAATGATCCAGTAATGAGACTAGTCGAAAAAACACTTTAACCAATACGAGAAAGGCCTTTTTGAAGATATGAATTTACTTACCATTGAATCTGCTTTTGATTCCAAAATAATCTCATAAACTTCATCAAAAGTTGCATCTTGTAGACAAAATTTATTCCACGATATTATTTCATCTCCTGGTTTAAGATGGCCGATGGTATCAGCTAAACTTCCTTTTTTGACTTTTGTAACAAATGCTCCTAGTCTACCTGAAGGTGTTGTCTTTCCTCCAACAACCTAGGAGACAGAACAATTGGGATTGGAGACTTGGAAAAAATTGAAATCGTAATGAAATCTGAAATTAAAGCTAATTGAAAAAAGAAAAGTGTTATCAATAAATTCAAATTTAGAAATCATGTTTCTTTCGTAAAATCTGTTAGTTTAGTGTGGTGAACTATATACAATTTTGCAAACTAAGTTCAGTTTTTGTCTCACTTTTGTGGCAAATAGTTCCATTTATTTTCAAATATCAATACCGCATTAATTGAAAATAATAACTAGCTTTGACAAAAATTAAAATCTTCAAAAGTTTAGTTACATATAAATGATTAGTATTTAGAATCAAACATATTTTTTTATTGAAACTATACAAAATCAAAGGTATTGCTATAAGAAAACAGTAAATTTTGTATTAGCATTTTTGAAAAATTTGGCAAATTTGATTTTTCATTAAATATACACCCATGATTTTTTTTATCTCAATTCAAATTACGATAACAGCAAGACAGAATTAATAAAAAAACGCAACTCAGACATCGATGCCGCTACCTATGAAGCTAATTTACTCAACTTAAATTTTATAATTGCTCACAAAACCTCAATGATTACTCCCAATATAACACTCAAGTTTTTACTATTAAGTAACATAACCTTTCTATCTTTTTTATTAATCAACATACCTTTAATCCTAATAAAGCTCCAGCACGTCGTGCCATGTTACTTGCAGATGACACGTTCTTGTACAAGAGAAGATGACCAATGAGAAATCGGCCGTCTGATGAAGGTTGCCATGGAACTGGTAACTGATCAAATAACAATGGATGAAACAAAATGTTTTTTCAACAAAATAATTATTGTATAATATACTTCCACGCATGAGCCACAGATAAAACTAATAAACACACTTGGGCCAGGCATGAAAATTCACAATCTGTAAATATTACATTTCATTCAGGGAAAACAAAATTATTTTCTCCTAGTCCCTATATACTACGTTAGTTCAATTTCAGAGTCATATAATAAGGTTAATCCCATTACTATTCGGAGACAATTTAATTTCCGATCAATCTAAGTCAATAGATTAAAAATTTGACCACAGAATTACAATTTTCAGTCAATCAATCCAATTTTTAGTCAAATAAAATGGTTTTAAAATTAAGAATGCATTTTAATTTCAAAATATTCAATTCAAAAGTATCTTACAAAGTAATATTTAAAAAAATATATTTTCGGCACCAACAACAATGGAAAACTTTTTCTAATTCGTAGGCGACTTTGACACAAAACTTTAATTTAATAAACTGATAAAGAAGCTGTTTTTTTTATATTCAAATTAAAAAAAAATAAATAGCAGAAATCATTTAACAAAATATATGCTATACAATCGGTTTGGCCTAGTGGTTTAAGCGATAGATTTACCTATGATGGCATCGCAGGTTAAAATCTTGGGTTCAAATCCCATGCCCTCCACCTCACTTAAGAGCGTGATGAATTGAATACGCAATACTGAAGTACGTCCATACTACAGTAGCTACTATCTAACTATCATTACTATTACTATGTAACAGTTGCTGCTTGTGATCAATTTTTTACATATTTACTTGAATCACATACATAACACATACAGGGTAACCAAAATAACCGAATCAATAAATTATTTAATTATTTCTACAAAATTAAAAAAAAAATTATTTACCACTTGAACTTCTATTTGTGTATGATACTACCCGAAGTAATCTAAGACTCTTGCACAAAGTTATTATGACTTGGGTCCAATGTGTACCAATATGGAAAAAACATATTTTGTTCGCCTACTTTACATCAAATTATGTAAAGGAACTGAAACCTAGGCAGGGGGTATATTAACTTGGCTGACACAGGCAGTCCCCAAACTCAAAATAGAACTAAGGAAAATCAGAATAAAATTATGGCCTGACCCTAACCTGATACACACACTACGAAAGTACCAATATAACAACTTCATACCTGCTCTTGAGAAAGATCATGACATAAAACTGAACTGCTTTCGACTCCCGAATCTCTTGTGTTTCCTGAACTGCGTCGGCACGAATACAAACTGGTCGATGATTTCGTAAAATTCTCCATGGCGTAATTCTCTAACGGGTGATAGCATGGTCTATGGTAGCAAGCGTGAGGTAACATTTGGTTCATTGTAGAAGGATGCTGCAAATGGGTAAACTCTAAAAAAGACAAGAAAAACGACTTGAATTTGTCTGTAATATCAAATATAAATATTGAGGAGCATTCTTTCATTTAGCAAAGCATGAAAAAGGGAATAATTTATTGATTACATAGTTTTCGATTTTCCATATTTTTGAAGTGATGATTGCGATGCTAACACAGTTATTAAGTATAACACTTTAATCGTTAGTTTCAACAAAATCATTTTCTCACTACGTTTAGGACTTTGGAGGAATCGTTAATCTTTTTTCTTTTAGATAAAATAAATATTATTTAGTACTACAGTAATAAACAACGAACCGTAATCACTGCTGGTTTCTTTATCAGCGTCGTCAATACTTGAATATTCGGTTCCAGATCTAATGTCATCTTCCGAACTGCTTATCGAAAATTCTCGGACTGGAGGTCCTAAGAATGACAAAAATAATCGTAATATTCTTTAAAAATTTGATCATATTATGTAGCAACTAGGGACACAAGACGGATGTCATTAGGACAAACTAAAGTTAAAATTGAAGATAATTGAAATAAGTTGATTTTTTAAATGCAGATTATGAAGCAATAAATCTTGTCAATATTGTCACCTCAAATAAGAAATCTTCAGCAATTAAAATGATGAAATTTTCCCAAATCTCCAACACCTATATCAATTTTTGTTAGATTCGATTTTGCCCACCTTATTTTAGATTGCGAGATTGGAGATTATGATCCCATCCATTTATTTTCAACATGTTTTTAGAATAAAACATACTTTCGCCTTACTATCTGTTATTTGTAGATTATTGTTAACTAGATATTTTTGAGGTGGGGCACGAGACTTGACAAATTATAAAAAGGGGATGCGGCCTAAAAAGTATGAGAACCACTGGCCCATATCAATCAATGAATATCAATTTATAGGATTCCTAATATGAATCAGCTCTCGAAAAGAATTGATAAAAACATCCAAGCAAAAAACTAAATGCACATTTCTCTAAAAGTTGTTTGACTGTAGAACAAATTACCTTTTCTTGAGGGCTGTAGGCGGTACAATCGCTTTCTATGGACTCCTGGTTCTCTGGTTTTATCAGGAACACTATAACACCTACAACAGAAAAATGCAAAAATGAATGTAAGTTTTATTTTAGAACAGTTAGCTTTTTCTAGTATGTTTAATGATTCTTAGTACAGTAGAAACTCTACCTACGAAAGGCTCTGGATACAAAAAGAAAATTCTTATCATAAAAATTATGCTTCGACTAACGTAAGATTTTCTAAGCCAAAAACTTGTGCAGTGATATTTGTTTCTTTTAGGTTAATTTAATGCAGTGCTTGAAGCAGGGATGTCCGATTCGAACATTGCGACTTTTGAATATTGTTTTTCATGTTTATAGGAATACAGAATATGGCACACATATCCAAGCGGCGCTGTCCACATTTTGATTCAAAATATATCGTTCAGTTGACTGTATTTATTTATAATTAAAAATAATATCATAACATCCGACATGAAATATTTAAATCAGCGCCGACTCAAAAAATAAAACATGATTGCCGGTCTCAATGCTCCATCATTGGCGGATGGAAATTTCGAAATCAGGTTCACTCATTTGATTATGACGATGATCGCGTAATAACATTTGCGTTTTTCTGAATCAACGAATGATTATGTGAGCAATAAAAAATCAAGCTCCTGGTAGCTGTCCTGCCAGACACCTAGCAACTATCTGCCATCCCATTGGCCCATTTGCTTCCCGCGTGTCTGTACAATGTGTCTCACTCATTTTCAGTTGCTAGCGAAATTCAATGAGAAGATGTTGATACGTGTAACATTTAAAACAAAAGAAAATAAATAAAACAAAAAAATAAAAAACAGAAAAGCAAAAAAATAAAAAACAGAAAAGCTAAATAAGAAAAAGTAAATTCTAATTTTGAACTGCATGCGCATGTGCTCATTTTCGTACATTACGTTCTCTCTCAGCTGTCAACTTTTAACGTCCTCTCCCACTATTAATGGTCTTCGCTTAGCCTAGCCTAGTCGGCCAACACTATGGGTAAACAAACATACCATTCGTGGTTTTTATTCATTATTTCTCTGATCTTTCTCCTTTCTATGAATACCTTTCCTTATATTATGCAGTAATCTAATTCTAATTCTAACCATTATTATAATTTATACAAATATTATGTCCGTGTTTTGTGGGAGCTTGGAACGGATTAGGGTATTTACAGGTAAAAAGCGTCATCACCTACGTAATTTTCTATTTACGGAGGGGCTTCCGGAATGAATTAATTTCGTAGATTGAGTTTCTACTGTACCACTCATTGCACTAGAACATTGAACAGAATTTAATAATGGAGAAAATGCTATATGATGAATAGTTACCATATATCCTCGAAGAAAGACTTAAATTAAGTTGCCAAACTAAAGGGTCAACCTATATGGCACTCAGTGATAGACAGTAATAGTGAGGATGAATTTGAAGGATTTTGAGATACTCACCATTATTAATAAAAAGAAAACAACAAAAATGGTTATCATTTTTATTAATTCTCTTCTGCAACCGTTTTCTGTGATAGATGTGTACGGCATGTTACAATTTGTAGGGTCGTCTTATATGTGAATATTCATAAATTCATTGTTTCATAGTCGTTTTGGGGGGGGCTGCTTATATGCGAGGATATACGATAATTATCTTCCAACTTGAGCAGTACAACCAGAAAAAATTCCATAATGAAAGAATATAGGCAATAGATGTCATGTTTAAGCTGAAATCATGTTCTTTTATCCTTTCAATTAACACATCAACTCGACCAAAAGCCCACCCCTTTTCACTTTCCGATATTACCCAAAATTTGAAAAGAAAATGTTGTAGTTGACATCACTTTTATAAAACATGAACACATCTGTGGTAACTATTGAACTTACTCTGGTAAATTGGGTTCACTTCTACATCCATTCAATTGTTGTCTTCTTGAAGATATATATGAAGGCTTAGTATCATCTGGAATATTCTGGTTGAAGAGAAGAAAAGAATTATCCATAATTTCTAATTACAAGCGTCTTCGAATAATTAATTTGCATTTCAAAGGGATGGTATTTAATTAATGATCATGTATTGTGATTTTTTCATCTTAATGTAAGAGTGACAAGTGTAAGAGTGCTTGCCGAAAGACTTGCTCAGAGTGAGAAAATTAATTTTACAGCAAATGCAAGCAATTTGAATACAGAATAAAAGGTTAAATAAGAAAAAATAAAACTTTTTTATTTGAAGATAATTTTTACGATTCCTAATAAAATTCGTAACAAATATTTCAAAAAATCGAATACTGAAATATGACGTCAAGTACCGTAATTTATTGTAGTTAGGTAGACAACACGCACATATCATTGTATATCCATAACAATGAGCATAAATATGATAAAAACAGCTCTAGATCATTTACTTTTTAGTACAGTCGTTAGACCTCTAAATCTGTTACTATTTTGTTGTCAAACGCCAGAAAAGAAAATTTTCAGACAATAATATTCTGAATTACACTTAAAAACACAATTCACCACTGGTACTGGTACGTAATTTACAGAAATTTGATTCATTTTGAACATTCTTAGACCTAGCATTTCAATTTTAGAATACAAACCATTTTCCAATACTAATTTGAATACAATTTAGTCCTAAATCTTCTCAAATAATATTTCAGTTGATAAGCATTATTACCAATACTGCGTATTTGCCTATACAATACAAATTCTGATATAAAAACATCAAATCCTTTCACAATTTAACAATATTAAATAAAACTAATGCTAGAAATATTAATACCTGATCTCCACTATAAAATGAGATACCGTCGCGAGCATTGAAATCCAAAGAAATCAATTTTATAATAAGCACAAGCAGAGGCAGATTTTTTTCTCCTACTGGTTTAATGAGGTTATAACATGATTATTAAGCCGTATCTGTTGTATATTTAATTACGAAGGAATTGAGGTGACTGTCATTTGGTTGTATTAAGATATGATTACATATTATATGATATAGGCTTACCGTATAGGAATTATGCTTGAGCTCATTGGCTATTCGTCTTTGAATTTTTGCGTGTTCCCTTTTCTGAGAAAGGTCTATAAATAAAACAATAGGGGAGATCAAAAATACATGTATAGCAGTTAAATAATGTATAATATAGAAGGCTGTTTTTCCGATTTCTTATTTGCTATAATCTTAGTCGGACGTGACTGATTTTTGATAACTTTGTAAATTTTAGCTCGGTTTAACCTTGGGAAAAGTTCGATGAGGTATTTTAATCAAATCTGATATTTTTGTTGTGAAACGGCTATGCTTGGTAGTATATAACGTTTGAAGAAAAAAATATATATACATAAAAACAGTATCTCATTAATATAGAAATCTATACAAACAAACAGTCTGTGTGACACAATTTTGTGAATGGCTTTTCAAGAAAAAAAAGTTTATTTTTGTGAATGAATAAGCGCAGGCCATCAACACAGCAATTTTACTTTAGGGAAAAGCTTAGTGGTCAGCCTATGAATCATTAATGATGTCAATGATTTCCATTCCGAATTTTTTTGTATACTAAATAAAGGGTTCATGCTGGTGGAATATGTGATATATATATACCATCGTAAACAACAGAAACATACATCTAGACCTGACATGGGTAAATACAGCCCAGGGGCCAAATCTGGCCCATTGGGTGATTCAATCTGGCCCGCCTGATGCTGCCATAAACTTCTGCTGTTATTGAGATCTGTATGGCGCAATAGGCTTATTAAATTATGATCGTAATCAGGGCAAGTTTTATTTTAGTTGACAATTACAACAACCAAACTAAAACGAAATTTTGATGTTTCAGCTAAAAATAGCTCAAGGAATTTGTTAAAAATAACGATTAAATTTAGTTTTGACATTAGTCTTATTGTGTCCCAATTTTGCTTGTGTAACACTGTAAATAAAAATCTGTGCATAAAGAGTAACTTTTTACGCCACACTTACATGGCCCGTCTAGGTGGGTGAAATTTTTGGCCCCTGGTGCAAAAACCCGACCCACCCCTCATCTAGACTAACTGAATCTCGAGTCCATCAGCTTGATTGAGAAACAATGATTGGCCTAATCAAAATTTTTCCTATTAGTGATAAAAATCAAATCTTCATCATACCTGAACTGGAAAGTCTATTCCTTTCCAAAGTCTGGGAAATTCTATGATAAGAATCAGAAGGAGAAATGGAAGCCTTCGAGCTGCTCTGAGAAATTCTGCTGTCACGACCGACATGTGAAACTTGCCCGTTTTTGGTATATAACCTAGATTTAGAAGTCACAGGTGAAGAGACATTTAATTCCCTTTCAGAAAGGGCTTTCTTTTCATGTTCCGGTGAAGTTTTTGAAGTCCTTTTTTGTTGGTGATTCGTCTGTCTTACGTCAGTTCGTTTTGCGGGCACTGGAGCTTGTGGTACGTCCATTTTAACTGGGTGGGAATTCAAAAAACCGTTTGCAATTGATACACTTTGTGTTATTCCCAGAGATGGCGATGAAGTGTTTTTATGGTCGTTGTAAGTGTTGAAATTCGGTACGGTTTCTACTTTTTTAATTCTTGTATCATCCACAGGTAAATTTTGTGTAATATTAACATTTTTGTTAACAGTATTTCCAACTTGTCCAACTGGTGATAGTATATTTTCTTTACTATTTTCCCCTTTAGCAGATGGTGTTAATGGAGAGATTGAACTCTGGTTCCGAGGCCTGTAAAATAAAACATACCATGGTGTAAGGCTGTAAGGCGTAAGCAATTACTAAATTGCAGGGGGACTTTTATAAATTACAGTATTGATTATAATATGGGCTTGCTTCACCTCTCTCCATTATTGGTGAATGATTCAACAGCAGTCTTTTTCATATTGGCGTTTCTTTCTGTAGGTGTTATTGGAGTTTTGGCTGCTTCCGTCTGCCTATTTTCTTTCTCGCTTGTGTCTAAATTGTAAAAGCACAAATGGTAGTTTATTAATAGTACTATTAATAATAAATCAACAAAGCAAATGTTCAAAATTCCTGAAATTTATCATGAAAATAGGGATGGCGGGTTAATAATATGACTATACCATATCCTTGTGCGTTATTGAAGCCATATTACTTTGTTATTTGACCTGACAAATTTTAAAATGGCGATGTTCGACAAAATAATTCACAAAATGAGAATTTCAATAGTAAAATGGTTATTTTTGCATAATAAATACGACATATATCGTGATGCTGATACAAAATATGAAAAACCATAATGAACTGCTTTTAAAGTTCTAGAATACAAACTATTTGGAGTTCAAATGAAAATTGCAGACTAAAAGATATATTCATAAAAACCACATTGTTTAAAACCTGTTAATTTGTTTCAAACATTTTATCTAAAATTACCTTCTTGATGATTTATTTGAGGCGTTGTGAAAGGTTTATTATTATTATCTGCAGTGTGATACCAAGCACCAGATTTTGTCAAAATTTCTTTCTGTTTTCGACAAAGATTACACACCCACATTGTCTGCAAAATAATAAAGAAAAATAATAATTTTTTGAAGAAACAATTTGAGAATTTAGGATGATCAGTCTATAAAGTCTCCATACAATTTAAAAAACTATCATTTAATTCGGAATAAATCTTTAAATAATTGGAGATAAATGTTAAAATTCCGTGATATATACATTTGAAAAAACAAAATTCTATTTTTCAGGAACATAATTTCAATTTAAACTGATATTCTTTTAGCATCTCTCGATGGAAGATCTGCGTACCAATTAGGAATTGTAAAAATTTCAAGAGACCAATATTTTAGTCATAATGTGTGGTTGTCTGAAACAAACTAAACCCATGTAATGAATAATTCTATAGATGATAAGACAGAAAATGACGAATAGTGGTAGCATTAAAGTGCATTTTAATTCACTATTTCAGTCTTAAATCGTGACAGGGAAATTTGTGGTTCCTAGTAATGTTCTCACCCCTCAGACACTATTCATCCATTATTCATCAGACTAAAATTATTTCAGTATGCCAACATCATACCATAGGGCCTTTAGGATATTTATATATAAAAATATACATGTAAAACAAAGTTGGAGTTTATATATATATAACAATTATAGGTACTCCCGAAGTATGTGAACCAAGATGACGGACACCGGAACGTAGCATGTGTTCCAGGTTAGGGCGAGGCAATAATTTCAGGTACAAATACTATGTAAGTCACTTGGCTAACCCTGAACTCGTAATAGAACTAAAATAGGAAAATTGGAATAAAATTATGGCCTAACCCTAACATGGTACACGTACTACGTTCTGGTGTCCGCCATCTTGGTTCACATACTTCGGGAGTACCCAATCATGTACTATTAGGGTGCTAGGTGAACTGATAAACCTATGTTGAAAAACCTGACTTGCAGGCTGCCCATATTAAGTCTTGTTCTGATTATAGACAATAATTTCAGCACGCTGTATGGACAACGATTGTAGCCATGAATCTTTAAAATTGTCAACATTTAGTCGTTTTATAAACGGTTAGTAAAAAAAACATAATATAATAAAGTATAATACAAGATCAAAAATGAGACATTTCTCACTATTTTGAGAATAAGAAAATTTTTTTTTTTTTCATTATCGAGTTTTACTGGCCCTGCAGTATATTTAACGAATATATTCAACTTCTGAATAAAATTTACAGATATTTTTTCTATTTTTTCCATATGTATAATTTTATTGTTTAAATTCGAGGTATATTTTTAAGAAAAACTCGGGAAATCAGAATTAAAAGAATCCGAAACGATCTAAAGTAGCACAAAGATGACCTCAAAGTCTTTATTAAATAGGCCTACCTTTTTTCGTTACACTAATATTTGGTCATTATATATACCGGTAGTAGGCCTAATGAACTAAAAATGTATATTTTCTATACAAGTAACCCAAAGAAAGGTCACAATCGCTCAATCAAAAGTGGAACAATTATTGATTACACAAATTACAAGCGCCGTAAAGTGCACATTGAAAAAATAGATTCTTAATATGCATTGTAATCCTGATTGAAATTAAATGTTAATCAAAAACTCCCATCTTTAATAATAATAAGCACAGGCCCAAGGACAGGGAAATGAAATACTTAATTTTTGTTTTCATCTGTAACTTGAGAAAAATTAGGATGAGTAGTCTACAATGAATGTTTAGTGTTTTCAAATTCTGAGAAAAACAGGATGTTGTCACGCTGATGCTGTACCATTACAAGTCTCTATATTGAGTAATTGACCTAAAGTCCCATTGTAAATATTCATTAAATATTTATATCGTCGGCAATTAAAAAGAAGATGCTTTAAAAGCGACCCAAATTAGGACGGTCAAACCAATAAAACTTTCATGAAAGGTTCTTTATGTGTAAACGAAGAATACAACAACAAATTATTTAGATATTATAATAAACATACCATAACTTCATTCTGCTTCCAGCATAATAAATAAGATAAGAAAATGATGTATTATGGGGTAATTAGTAGTAAGGCATATCTTGATCTTTTGAAACCACCCAAATGCATAATACAATTAGGCAAATCAATATGTGAATGGTTTGCCATTAAAGTTGAACATTCAGAATAAGGGATGACGCCAAATATATAAAATTGCAACAAATTGAATATTTGAACACATTCAAAATTAGTAACAATTGGTATTGTAATCATAATTTCCTGATTTTAGGATGAATTTATGTTTGAGAATTGTCATTTAGAGATAGAGCTGGTAATCAGAAACGAACAAAAAATTAATTTTAGCAAAAACTTGGGAAATTATAAAAACATCCTGAAATTTTGAGAATACCAACCAAATATAATAGAATCTATAATATTTATGTTAAAATCAGTGAAAAATCGATTATCGGATCGAATCGAATATTAAAAGCAATTACAAAATAATACCGATTTCCAAAAAAATTTTGTAATGCCACACAAACCACAAGATCACATCAGTATATAAATATTGAAGCTTTTATTCAGATACAATTTTTAGGCCACTCCTATCAGTATTAGTAGAGTACACATCGATCACAAATATTGAAACATATTCAACAAACCTTGTTAGATTTGATTGTTATCCTTCCACCGCACCTTGAACAGAAGCGGATCTCACAGAAAGTACAAATATGCCCACATCCTTCGGCAAACTTTGTTTTATAACACAAAGCACAAACCTGTGAAAATCAAAAACAAACATCATGTACAATATACTGCAAAAAGGTATGTTCGAATCAATCTAAATCGCATGATTTAAAGGCAATCTATTCAAATCGAATGTAGGTAGAACAATAAGATTTTAGAAATTGCTTAAAGATTTTCCCCACTTGCAAAAATAAGTTACGCCACAAAAACAGGGAAGTAAACTTATTTGATAACTTCAATCTTTTTAGTCTTATACAAAGATATTACAATACAAAATGGTTGTTAAAATGGAAGAAATTTTCTGATCAAGGTTTCAAATAAAGCAGGTAAGTAGAAATACAGAATAATTAGGTTTAAATTGAGTAACGTTTTTGCTGTCTCAACAGATTTAAAAATTTATTCGGTTTTTTATTGCTTTGTTATTCATATTGAGAGCAATCCCAATATCAAACTTGGAAATGTGAACAAATAAAAAATATCATCGAATTTGAAAATATTCGATAGGAAACACTATTTTGGAGTGAATCGGAGGGGGTAAAATTACACTCAACTTCTACTCTAAACTTTGAGCTAGAAGATACTCTGAGAATCTCAAACATCAGAGTAAAAATAATCAAGTGTTTTGATTGTCTTAACTAATTTATCAGTAGCTTATCAAAAGTTATACACTATCTAAGTTTTTGTAATGTATTTTCAGCATCAACATTCCATATGAAACGTTCAAATATTTTCTATTCATTTCGTGAATTTCTCCAAGTGTATTTACAAAAGAAATAAAAAAACATCTGTGAAATCAAAGAGCACATTCCAGTGTCGTAATTAACTTACAGGGTCATTGTCATCAGGTGGAGTGGCTGCTTTCGATTCTTCCGCTACCATTTTAATATGGGATTTATAATCCTCGAATTGGTCGTGCAGGACCCTGGAAAATAAGAAAATCCGCTAGCACGAAAAAACTACATAAGCCAAACATGGGCATGGTTTGAAAAGGCATTGGTCGAAGATAAACAGCGTTATGATGATAAAAGCATGGAAAACATGTTTTTGCAAGAGAATTTAACTATAAGCAATACTAATGGCGATTGGATGACGTTCAGGTCATGGTGAAAATCAATAAGGTGAACGATTACATAATGGTACGCAGTTTTCCACTTCACTTAAATGCACAATATGTCTATTACATACTAAATGGCACTTCTTGGAATGGTTTTTATACAAGGAAGTTGAGTGCATAAATAGTATTTTTGGTCACTATATCATCAAAAATTTTTTCAACCAATGCCATTGGCGCAGTTCTAATCCTCCTACATTTCTGAATAAATTACTACCATGATATTATTGATTTATTGATCACCATATTGAATTGAATACGCACCTCAGTGCAAGGTAATTCTTTAATGCAAATTTTAATTGAAACGAAATATAACCGCCTATGAGTGAAATAGTAAGAAAGGAATGAAGAAATGGCAACTCATCACTATAATAATATGATTAAATTGAAAAAAAATATATCAAACATGCATTAAAGATAAAAGAAATCTCAAGATCATATTTGAAAATAATAAAAAATAAAGCAAAAAAGCAATTAGCTCTGAAAATCAAAAATATACTATACATAAATGACAAAAAATGCTTCAAAATTCTGTATTCAATTTTCTATTTGCCCTTTGAAGTTAATCTAAACTACTACAATTCGAATCAGTTACCTAAAACATTCAAAATTTAGATTTAAAAATTTACAACTTATTCAAGAGGCTAAAAATATGAGCTGCCGACATCAACGGGGCTATTTTGTATATTTTTAAGACAGCACATTAACATATTCAACATATTGCAATTTATTCTAGTTTCTGGAACCACAAAAATAAAGGGATGATAAATTTACAACCTATTCGAGAGTATATAAATGAATTTCCTATCATTGAAGAATGGAATATGCCAGAATGAAAAAAAAGACTGGTACCAGAAATTGCGTATTTACATTAATTGCATCTGTTATTGAAATGGAATTAGGCAACATTTTGTGAATCAAAAAACAGCAAAAATATTATTCAAAATACCGGGAGTTTATTTCTCACCACCTACCGTGAGTCGCAGACCCTGTTTTGTATATTTTAAAAACAGCATAATGGTGTTCAAATTATATATAAACATATAAAAATCAATAGCTTTCAATGGAACCGACAAGAATATTCAGATTATGAAAATTAGCATGCAGAAATATATTTTAAATATGAGGTTCCATTTACATTACTTTTAAAAAAATTTCAAATTATACTTTTTGAGAAATGAATTTTCGGTTGTGGACTGTGGTATTGTAACAAATTCAGTAATTCAAATGTGAAAGACTGAGTTGCCGAAAAATTGCAGCTATTTGTTTTACTGTCTTGTAAATTACAATTATTTAACCATAACTCTAAATTTCTGTTTTGTCTCTCACTCACTTGGGGGAACTTGGCATATTTTTACTGATATTGGGAATCATGGAACTAGGGTCGCCTTTCCAAACTCCCTGGATTTGAGTGTTGGAATTTCGGATTTCAGACTAATAATGATAATTAAAGACAAAGTTTTGACAAAAACATAAAAAAAAATTACAGTAAGTTGATCAAGTAGTTTTCAAACAAGTAAACAAGGCTCGTATATGCCATTCAAGTATCTGCGGCCAAAATCTTGTTTTTCATGAATTGAAGTCAAAGATCAAAATTTATTTCCATCAAGGAGTTACGACCAGTGGTGCAAATTAAAGGTTTTGCGGCCAGAATTGGGGAGTCGTAGTCATTTTTAAAAAACTCGAAATTTGAGTCATGTTCTAGATTTCAGTAATACTCACTTGAGCATATTCTTTTCTTTATCTTCTTCATCTTGTTGTCTTTTAAGAACACTTAAGATTTTTTGTTGTTCTTCCGGTGTTAAATGGCTGATATCTGGGACTTCTATCATTTCAAAGAATAATCCAATATCCAAAGAGGAAATGAGATCTCAATTAAAGATCCAATTATTTACATGTGTATATAACTAAATAATAATATGGCTCAAGGACCTGCTAAACATTTAAATATGGTAATGGAAAATAATATTATGAAGAATGCCCATTCTACAGGTTTCCTGATTCTATAACTAGCACTCAATATAAATTGATATGTTAAATAAAACACATAAATCATGATTAATCAAAGCAAATTTAACGGAAGAAGAATATTAAAATAAATATAACAAACATCCATACATCATAAGTCATAGGACTAAAAATAGCCACAATAATATACATTTACACTCATTATTCGCACATAATTAAAACCTTATCAACCCAACCAAACCTTTGAAATTTCTAATTGAACCATGAATCCTACCGTAATTAAACAGTCGAAGTAACATGAATAGTTTCCGATGTCAATTTCAATTAAAAACTCGACTTTCAAGTTGAATATGTAATGTATAATAGAATAGAATGGCAAATATAATTTATGGCATAGACAATAATAAAATTTAATTCAAAGATCAGTCAATATTACCAACTGAACTAAAACAGAACTTATTAAATTAAGTTTCATTAATTTTTTAATTAAATGTTCAGAATATTCAATCAGAAGTAAAGACTTGCAACATAGGAACAGGATTTCCCAACAGTTCTGATACGTATCTAATGTGTGGTTTTAATGACTGAATATTCCAGTTTCAATCCCAAATATACCCTAAACATATATAGATGCTTTTTGATACCTTTAATATATGGCTCTTTTGGGGGAGGCATAATATTGAGACATTGTATGTGTTGACTTTTGAGTAAAAGTTTAGGGCATGATTAAGAAAAGCACAGAAATGCAATTGAAAATATGTACGGTACCTTTTATGGCTCTCTTGGTCAAAAATGTTTCCGTCGCCTGATCTATCTGTTGTGTATAGAATTAAAAAGACATTGTATACACAGGGCACATGAAAGAAGTGAACGCATCATGAGGAAATATTGTGGAAGATATATTATAATTAGATTCAATATAACTGAGAGCATAATACTGTAATACAGTAATAACAGGGCAGAGAGACTGAAGTTCGCAAAGATGGTTAAACAATATATTCCAGTATTACTGTATTAAGTCTGTAAGTTTATTACTCCGGCCAACAACTTTTACTGCTGTACAGTAGACTACGGTACTGTTTCAAAGGAAAATACAGATTTGAATTACTTCCTGAATTTACTTTAGGTTTCCTGTTGCCTGTAAAGGTAGACTACCATACCATCAGCAGATCTGACCATGGTAGGTCAGTCAGTACATTGAAGTAGATGCAAAAGTGTTGACTGCTTGCTTGAGTGATCAAATTTACAACACTCTTCTTCATTTTTTCAATATCATATATTTGTTTTTCAATATCTGAATATTGGCTACTAGAGTCTACTAGACTGATCGGCAATCATTTCTTACTTAGCTTTATTTATTCTATTACAGAATTACCGTATTGCTTTCACTGGCAGAATAGAGGCGGAAGAGCAGAAGAAAACAAAATCGAACGAGCCAAAACTTGATTGAGGTACCGTAAACAACTGACAGTACGGTATCAGAAAATTAGTAAATAAATTCCAAATGTCTTCTCATATCAATCTGTAATTTACCAATCATAAGCATAATCCGGTACAAAACAAACCACTTACAACGGTACAAATATAGGCTTTATTGATTTTATGCAACACTTCGATTGCTGATTGATGGAAGTCCACTAGCAGCTAAGATTCGTCGATAGTAAAACAAAAATAGACCACTTGCGAGAATATTTCTTGTGTGGCGAATACGATTCGCGGTAATGATGGTAGTGTCGCGTCGTTAGCAGAAGGAACAAAAGTTTACTCATGATTTGATTAATCGGGTAGACACAGCCGAACCAGAAAGATTCCGATTCTCCCTGATAGAAAGTCCTTTACATACCAGTGCTTGTACAGAGTAGTGTTTTCAGTGGAAACGTAAAAAATTCGCAAAACAAAGTTCAAACAAACGGAGTTTGCTGGAATTCGGGAAATTCTTATACAACAAATGAACCGCAAGAGTCGAGATAATATCATTCAACTCCAGCATTTACTTTTAGAGTTGCAGATTCTGATTGTTTCATCGCAATATGTATATTTGGCGCAATATGCATATATATATATATATATAATTTGAATCTGATCAACATAGGAACACTATATTGCATCGAATATTCCAAAAGCGTTGAATATAGTTTGGCGCAACAGACTGCTGAACAAGCTTCAATTATTTTATAGGGTATTGGTCCAATTTATGCTATTGATAAATCATTCCTCTTAGATTACAAAATTCATATTTAAGTTTATCTCAGGATAAAGAAAAGGCGATAAGACGGCACAATCATATGGTGTACCACTGCCTCTTGTCTGGACACCAGTCCATGTCGGGTATGGGATATTGGCCAATTATTTGTTTCGGATGCAGGGACTTGGTGATGGAAAAAATCGCCAACGACCAATCACGTGAATCCGCACCATGGCGAGGAGTCCAGCAATCCTTTCGCCCCTATTTTTTCCCCACGGGAATCGAACCTGCAAACTCACTTAGTTCAACCAGGGGGCAGGGCGTATTCCTAGCGCCAATCACAAGCCACCCAAAGTTTGAGTCCCCCACATATCCGCCAATCTCGCCCAATAGTAATCCGGCCCTGGCTGCGATCTTCAATTCGTTTACGACACCTCCAGGGTCCTCTATGACAGTGAACTTTATTATGCAGGCTTCCGTTAACTTCGCCAACTCGGTCATATAAATGAATATCAACAGCATGCAAATAAACTAAACTCTCCATTGAAAGTAGTACAATGCTGTATCATTGTGTTTTTCATTTTATTTGGCAACAACTAGACAAGGGCATGCCTAGGGAGTTGTAGGGGACAGCTGTAGAATTCGCGTTTCTATACATGTTATTCTCGATGTTTGTTTTTAAAGTAAAAACTGACATTACGTGTATAGTGAGGAAATTGTGGTGATGATGAGTGAACAATCGCTCACTGCCTTTCCCGCCAATGTGCTCATCTGGTCATTGTATGATTTAGTGCAATAATACAAACCTTTCGCTCTTACTCTACCTTTAATTTATGCATTCTTAAGTCTAACAACATGTATATTTCTATAATTTGTTTATCCCCCGAATTATTTTTGAAGTTATGGGTATAAAAGGTTTCACTATGTGAAACTCGCCCTGGTCAGCACAAAAGTTTGGCAGGTGCCTGCACCCGGGAGATTCAATACATACTTGGTGTCAAATGAGCAATCCCATTCCATTTCAATATGCAATCATGTGACTATTATTCTCCCTCTCTCTTCCACGATAACCAGTTAGTAATTATACGCTAATATCAAGAGAGACTTCAGAAAAACGCTTAATTCTAATTATAATATGTTGACGACAATGAAATTTGCAAAATTTCTGAGTTTCTTTGATACAAGTATTTGAAATAGTGCTGTTTGATCATCTATGTATCGAAAAAAATGGGAAAATGAATCGATTTGCTCTAGTTCTCTTTTGTCCGGAGAATGCCGTGCGCCGAAGCTGCACCACAATTTAATCTGTTTTACTTCGAAACCTAACAACATTTCATGACCATATAGATATTTTGGATACATAAAGGAGAAACAGACGCAATGTGTGCATGTATTTGGGAGTGTATAAAATTTTGAGTTACAAAAATTACATTGAATAAAATGATGAGTCGAATAATTGTACTTTAAACTTGTCCATTCGAGTCTTTCGAATGCTACGCTTCCAACAATGCCCACAATGATAACTTTCAGCACTTATCTGGCATTGCCAAGTCACAATCATTTTTAGTTCCGTTTTTTTTGCAAGACCACGTTGTTACTTATCGATCTTAAGATCGCTAAGTATGTTGATAGGTATTTGTCTGTCTGTATGCCTGTTTGTCTGTTAGATGAACGCGATATCTCAAGAAGGCGAGGTTGAATCTGGTCCAAATTTTGCATGTGCATTCATCACATCTCGGACCAGAAGCCTATTGATGGATAATGTCGTATAATTAGCGAGTTATCAATTAATTAGTGATGGGACACGCGGTGTCATTATAGAGTCATGATTCAAAACCGCAGTTTCGATCGATAAGTCTTCGGTCTCCGACCGGTATTCTCGTTTATATTGTTTGTTATGATTGCGACTGATAACCAACTTTTATATATGTATGGTAATATTTGAGTGTGAAAGAAGAAGATTCTACGAAAGCGATTTGCAAATCATGCAGTTTGATTCGTAGTAGCAAAATTCAATAACCATGTTAATCACAGTATGTGTTCACTTGTTTGAGGATACATAAAAGCTTTCGAATACAATTGCAGTCAAATGCCATTTCTAGCCTGGCTCTTAAGAGTTTGCTACCTCAGAAAATCTAATAAATGGCCACAGTAGAATTTATTTCGAGGAAATCTTCTTAAAACTATCAATCTTCCATCTTAACAGAGCTGTTTACCTGCTGGTGTTCACTTTAACTACATCAAGCCACGTGACAATCTGCATAATACTGGCACTTAATCCACTGTCATAGTTGAAAATGGTTTCAGTACGTTTTAGCATTTCAAAGGTTGCTTATAACATTGATAAGATACGAGTTTCTTGTACTTCCAGTGAGTACTCGTGTACCTTGCCATCAACAAACTGGAAAAAATAGAGGTAAACAACTCTATCAATCTACTCTGCCACATCCTCTAAAAATGTTATAAAGCAAGTTTATCACCTGAAATTTCGAGATGGTCGCAAGATTTTTGATAAATTTCTAAAATACATATGATTTAATTTTAGACTCACTCCCTCAGGGTGACGCTGCTCCATAACCTCCACTAGTTTATCGCGTTCCCCTTCACGCTGAAAGTATTGTTTTATATATACTTCGTAATTATGTTTGTCTATTGTGTAGCCTACTTTTGGTATGTGATAAAATAAACTACTGACTGACTGATAATGTATCCCGGTTTCGATTCAAACATTATATGAAAATAGTAAGTTAACATTTCTATAATTCCGGCAAATCCTGTTTTGCGACGATTAATTTAGAATAAAAGAAAAATAGTTTGCTGTAAGCTATATTTGGGTTTAGAAATAAAATTTTTGAGGAAACACGTTCCAAAATTAAAGAAGTCATATTGGTACATCTTCTCTTTACGTAAATAACTTCATTTTTGAATATAAAAATGTATCGTCCATTCTATTTTTGCCCTTTTTTGATAAAGGACCAGTGAATGGTTTATTGGGAAATTATTGGTACGCGCAAATACTTGATATTGTTTTGACATAGTTTAACAATATCTTTCAAGTTTTTGACAATAACTTTTCTCCCTCCTTCAACCAACACAAGTCATGATTCTAACAATTCTAAGGTTTATACTGATATTAAATTGAGGTTCATTGTTCTGTTTTTACTGTTGTAATATCAGTTTTTAAAAACTGACGTTGTGTAAACTTATAGCTCACTTAGGAAGAATATATCTATCAGTATCAATACAAGTCAACCTTGTGTTACAAAATACGTTTCCTGTTGTATGTACAGGTGCTCACTTTTTTGTTCCTTTGACCCGATAATTCAGTGCGTCACATTATTTTTAAAATAGAAATTACCAAAAAAAAATCGGGTAACGGAGCATTTGCAAAGCATGAATAAATCCCTAAAGTTTTCAAGCAAAATAATACTTTTTATTTTGGATATAATTCTTTCTCCTTTTCGTTAAAACTGTATTTGATAATTGAATATTATTTTCCAAATTGGGGTAAAGCCAAACCAACTAGAGTCATTTTTATATCCAAACAGTGTTGTTGCATAGCTTTACCTATTTACTGTTATTCATGCAATAATATAATTGTCCTTTTTGCTGTCACGCCGATTCATGCATAAATTTTAGAGTCGTCACTGGAGGTCGCAGTAAGTACTCTTAGCGAGTACTCAGCTGGGACAGTTTTGGTAATCGCCCACTGTACCTGGACAGAAAACAAAAAATCAATGCTTGTTAAATATAAATTGCAACAAACTCAATACCATATTGAACATTATATTTATGTAAAAGGATATCATATGACAAAACAAAACCATTTATCCATAATTTAGCAATTAAATGCGCCAAAATCTTCACGAGGCACGTGCGTTTGCAAAATGATACTTCGTTTCGATAATCGTAGAACAAACTTGATCCGTAGAAAATATCCTATTTTGATATCAAATTTTTACACCAATCACACATGATCAGAATTAACCTGGTGATGTGATCCTTTTTTATAAAAAAGAGAGCCGTGTTACTATCGATTATTTAACGTCCTAAAATTCTCGAGGGAGTAGAGGAAATCGTCTTAAAAGTTTTCCAATGGACCAGATCTTGGCTAAACTGCATGTTATCTGACGGAGAAAGCAGGAAGTTAGACGTAAAGACATCACGTTTTAGAAATTCATTGTAGTCGTTTTGGTTTCAATTTACGAAAATACATTGTAGGAAAGTTCATTGTTAGGTTACAGGAAATGTAACGAGACTTTGTAAACATTTCGGGGGTAAACAAACACCAAATTAAATGTTTATTTGAGCCGTTTGAAGATTCTATTTTTAAGAAGATTTTTTATTTCACAATGTTTAAATGCAAATTTACCCAAATCAAATTTTTGATGGAATAATCAGAAACAGTGTTTTTAGTATAGCACAGGATTCGCCTGGACTAAATACACCGCCATCAACTGGCATCGTAAATGAAAAGATCAAGAAGCGAACATCCACATTTCCAAGATATGTAGCCAACTAATGGAGTAATTGATATTTACACTTGGGTTCAAGATAGGCCAGCTTGATTCTTTAACGATTTTAAAGAAGACTCCATTGAGTCCTCTATTTTATAGAAACGTAGTGAAAATATTTTTATCTATCTATCTATCTGTAGTATTCTGCTATTCGACTGGATTTGTAATAAGATTGTTGCTACAAGATTATTTTTCCGCTCGTGCCCCATTTTAACTTTGAAACTTTTATTCAAGAGTATTGAATTAGCAATAAATTCAGGGATCGGAAGTTTTTCTCTCTTTTTGTGCAACATTATGCCTTTAATTTCAAATTTCCCAGTTCCAAATTGTTAGGAATAGATATATGTAATCAAATTAGTCTTGTACTTTGTATATTGGTTTTTAGAACAATTTGAGGGACTATATGGGCTGTTAAAATTAACATTTTCACTTAGTTATAATTCTAACAAAATTTTAAAAATAGAACATTATGAAGGTATTAGTTGTCGGCATTTTTACGATTCTTTGTATTGGGTTTGGTTGCACGAAGTTGACACTTGGAAACACGAAGATTCAACTACAAGAGACATTTAACCTTTCGCCTAGGAAGTTGACCCGCGCCGTGGTAAGTTGCAATGTTTTCTAAGATATTTAGGCATCTTGTAAATATATTCATTTGAATTAGTCGTAAGGGAATACTCCTAACTTTCCTATGACGTCATAATAGTTTTCATCCGACTGCACGTAATGCAGCTCAATGGTTCAGCCATTCTGGCACCGAATGTGAATTTGTCATCCAACAATACCCGAGATAAAAGTGAACTGATTAATTAAACATTGTTGTGGAACAACTGTCTTTCAGTGTTATTTAATTAATACTCCCACTGCGCTATTATGACCTCTATATTTGTCGTCGCCAAACCACAGTCCAATAGTTAGCATGCATTTAAGACATCGTTCAGTATTATTCGTGATGTTACACTAACATCAAGCATGGGCTAAAAAAAAAAAATCTTTATTTTGTGGTGAATATCTATACCTCGTGGTTAGGTTACAAAATAAACAAAAACAACCAATGAATGGCATAATAAAGATTATTCGTAGTCTGGTCATATTCCATACAGTAAATTGTTATTTCATATGTTTCAAATTGTTTTTGTATGAAATCTACATCAACTCATTGTTTTAATCATTGGTAAATAATAGATTGATATCGATAATGAATTAACTGATATTGTCGTTTAGAAAATGGCCTATTAAAATTTGATGATACTATATTTTGACAACGTCACTGGAAAACTGCAGTAAGCGTCAGCTGCGTTTTTGCTTCAAGTTATTGATTGGAAAAGTACCCTCTTTTATACCAATATTCGAGTAGGATATTATAAATTTTAAGCAACCTCAAAATTGGATCAACTTTCCAGATACCATTTATTGAAATGTATAATACAAAATATTTTCAGAAAAATCTTCGAGTTATGAAGCAATTTCATTCGAATTGCAAAATCGTTTATCCATGTTTCGAACTTATAGGATTAGCAAGGATTAGCAGTAGCAGGTTAAGTCTCACGGGCAAAATAAATTTTTTTTGCAGCAATATCTCGAGACGTATGGATATTTGAAGAGAGCCAAAGTATATTATCCATATAGAAGAAGCAACATTAAAAACGCAGTATCTAAATTCCAAAAATTTTCACATCTAAATGTCTCTGGTCATTTGGACAAGATGACCTTAGATAAAATGGACAAGCCAAGATGTGGGGTAGCGGACAGTTCTCCTCCAGGTGGTAATATCAAGGTCAAGTTTGTGGGAAAGGATTCCACAGATGCCAAAAGTTCGGGAAACAGACACAAGAGAAATGTTTTTCCAGGAAATTGGAAGACGAACAAAATAAAATACAGGTTTGTGAATTCAATTATTTTGTTTAGTTCAAACTTTTGGAGCCAATCCTTAAATAAAATATGTCATTTTCGTAGAATTTTTTTTTTTTAATTCTCGTAGGACGACAACCAAGTATAGGCTATACCAAGTATGTCGCTATAGCATACTTTAATATGTCTCTCGTAGCCATAGTCGAGTACATGTTCATTCATCATCGAATATTTTTTTTTTTTTTGTTATCAACATTAGGTTTTACATTCCACTTTTTGTTAGTACGCCAATGACGTTGTAGGTGTCGGATTGTAGTTAAGCTGATCAATTAGAGTTGTAAAATGAATTGGTCGTTTCGAATTGGGCTTTAATTTGGAGAGAACATGAAACATTCAGTTGCTGCTAGATTACGCTTGCTTCCAAACGTAAATTATATGTACCATTTTCTGAGCTTCGATCGAATATTTTTTGTCTCGGTCATGTGTTTCGGTTCTTACATAAAAATGACATTAGTCTACCCAATTTCGTTAATAGTTCCTTCATAATACTGTATATATTTGAATAATTGTGATTTTGCCATCTAGCATTCACGCTTTCAAAATATACACGGAGGAAAAAAATGTTTTTAAAATGTAAAATTTACGTAATTTTCTTCATTAGACTTAAAATTTAAATGGAAAACTGTGATCTGTTTAAATCCGTCGAATTTGATACAGCGCCAAAATCTATAAATTGAAAAACATGATTATTTTTTTTAAGAATTTTTCTAAATAAGATTTGAGGTCGAATGTGCAGACATCCGTAAAATCACTGAATGATTTATTGGCAACAAAAAAATAAAGGAAAACACAGTTAAAATAAAACAAAATTAGTGGCATTTACCTAGAATCTAATCGACATCAACAACTCGATACAAGAAATAATGTCAGGTAGTTGAGACTGGGAGTCACATTTCAAATTAATCCAACTTTGTTGGCGTTGCATATTACAAATCTGATGTTCAAATCCCATGTCCGCCAACTAACTCAGGGTATAAATAAATAGCATGCCTCACCTTGACACAAAAATTGATCATGTACAAATTACTTTAAAAATCATATTTGGTAATTAAACAACTATCCGAACCTAGTACATATAAGATAGAATGCTTGATTGCAAATCTTCATTTAGATGTTTTGTCCAAGGTTGACCTATGTGTCCATACGGGTCAGTATTCCGGAATTAAATCTAGGTGAAGTCGTCTCATCCCCTATTCATTTGAAACGATATAGGAAGACTCTGGACCTAGTTGTTCTGGCTTTCCCAGCCTCTTCAGTTTTAATTAAGTGAATTTGCACTTCCACTGTCAAGAAATCTTCAAGTTATACCTTGTTTTTGTTCGTGACAACAAAAGACAAATGACTCAGTAGAGAATTGTTTTTGAACTTAAAACTATCGAATTATCGAATTTATCATGAGTCATATCTAATGTTTACAGTCATGTTCATAAACCCGGGCCTTAGTTTTAGGAAAAACCCAAACAAAGGGTGGATTCGAAAGTAGGCCCACATAAATGCAAAAAAGATTATAGAATAGTGTTTCTACCAACAGACTAAAAGGCTGAAAGGTCGCCTAGGTATGTATTTTAAGCCTTTTTGAACCCGTTATCGGCTGCTTTTTGGATTATACTGCCTTTAGGACAGAATTCCTGCGTCTGAAAGTTAGCTGCAAAACATCTAAAACTTCGATTCAATTAACTTGAATTTACCATCCTAATTACTAAACGATATAATTGTTAATCAATCTCATACTTAAATTAAACGTCTAATCGACAGGTTGAATTACAAAAAATGCCTATGTTATCGTAAACTATTTTTAACAGTACTATCCTACGACTATTTTTCTTGAGGGCGTCGTAAATCAAATCAATTATTCATTAAAATTAGATGAGGCAAGAAAAAGCTATCAGTTTTGTCTGCCGTCAACGTCACTAATATTGAATTAAACTAATATCATCTTACAGAAGAAGAGTAGGTATGGCACAAAATGGGATACAAAATGATAATTACCACATTAGACAAGAGTATAATTAAAAGTACTTTGGGTACAACATTCTAAGTAATGGACATTCAATCAAATCAGTGTAAAACATATTTAATTTTTTTTCAAATCGCCTGAATGGTAAATATCAAATAATGGAAAATAGAAAATATAAGTGATGTACTAGGTTATATGAATGTGGATCATAGTGTAACGATTCTAGACCGTATTCTAGCAAAATATGTATTGTTCGCGGCGCGGCACTAAGAATCCTCATTTTATGAAGGAGTTTTCGCCAATACTGAAAATGAGAAGAGCAAAACCAAAACCATATATTCTGACCAATAACAATAGTTACGGCAAAAGAGCGATGCTCAAATATATGGAAATGGAAGCCAAAACGAAGTACAGATAGTACGGGCATGCAATCTTTCACAGTAGACCAGGGGTCGGCAACCTTTTGTCGCTCGCGGGCAAAATTAAAGGCTGCAAGTCATTGGCGGGCCGCACATATTTTTAGAATGTTAAAAATCGAATGGATGACCGATGAATCACATTTTTTTCACGAAAATAAAAAATGAATTCAATAGAGCATACAAAAAATATTGAAAATAAAAGTAATAGCCCTCTAGCGATAAACAAAAAAACAATCTCTAATCGCTGAAAAATTTCAAATCAATTGGTCCAGTAGTTGAAGAGAAAAGCGATTTTTCACAACAACAATAACAACAGAAGAAGAAAAATACTAACAACAACAACATAAATCCAAAACGATCAATAGGTCAATTTTGTGTCAAACAACAAAAACAGTCTTCCATGAGCAATACGCAAGGAAGACATAGAAATGATTCTACTTTTGTTGGTTTAAACAGAGTTCCCAGTCCCGACAAGCCCCATTACATCAGGAAACGTTCGCGAGTAAACTTTCAAAAGATTTTCCAATTAAGCATTTAATGAAAGATGGATTGAAAATGACTTTAATATAAGAGAAAATCCATAAAGTTGTATGAGACATTAATCAGGGATTATTGGTCACTTTATAGTCGATATATGACACGCTTTGACAGCAAAATAATCAATAGTTTTTCATACATCAAACGGAAAATTTTATATCAGGCATTCCGGTAAGTAATAGGCTATGATCTGGTATGTTTGGATAACATAATATGCAGTAATATTAGTAGAGTTCGACAGTAATTACTAGTTCAACTTTGTATAAACAAAATAGCTAAACATGAAAATAAGATATAATTTTGCTGTTTTTTTTAGTCCAGCACCAAAACACAAAAAAATAAAAGTTTTTGAATTGTGGAGATTAAAGTGGTTATTTGTTTAAGTTACCCTAAATACTGAAAAAATTTGTTTTTCATCATACGCCAATAACACCATTAAATATTAAGCTGAATGCATGCAAAACCACAAATATTTTCATAGCGTGTCAACGGATAACGCTAAGTAGAATTTTCAGCTTATGTAGCATACCGTGAAAGATTGCATATAGAAATATTCACAATTTTATTTTTCCATTTCGCGGAAGATATTAAGTGAAAATAACCAAATTTTATATTTCATTCTTGTTTATCTCTTTGTAGGATTTTGTCTAAGATCTGGTCCCACGAAAAAGCTTGCTAAACTTACTCGTTTAAATTATATTTTAGACAATATTCTTCATTTTAACTGTTTTTTCAGATTCAAGAGTTACACAAATCAGTTATCCATTCCTGATCAACGAAGAGAAATTGAAAAAGCTTTCAAAGTTTGGACTGATGGTACACCGTTATCATTTCAAGAAGTAATTGAAAATAAAGATTTTTCATTAAACGTTAATAGGAAAGAAAGTGTTGATTTTTTTTGTAATTTTCTAAATTGAATCATGAGTTTTGCGTTTCCTAGCTTACAATTTGACAGCAACAATGGTGGGTGCCATATGATTATGAGTTTTCCAACCATCTACTAGATCGGGCATTAGTTTGTATTCAATCCCTCCAGTGGTGCCTGCTCTTCGACGAAATTCATAAGTTCAATCATTCCTATAAAAAAATTTGTATTATGAAAATTATTGAAGGAATCAATTTCCAAAACAACCTTGACTCGAAAAGTTTTGGTCCCAAGACTAATAACATTGTCATAGTGTTAGTGGTGCTACACACACACTTTTAGTGATTACGGATAAAATGTACCTGTTACTGGATCACAATTGGCTGACGGTCCGCAAGCCTTTTTTCATTGACGATGTAATGTTTTCCCTCTACACCGGGCACTGCTTTCCTGAGATTTGGATCTCGAAAACCAAGATAAAATCTTATTCGTTATCACAGTGTACAATCTATACAAATTTTGTGTCAAGAGTTAGGATCTTTGTTTTACCGCAAATATCTTTACTTTCTTTTATTGACCTAAACCACTTCAAACGTTATTAACTGGCATGTAATACACCAACATATTTATGTATGATTTTAGAATATACCGTACTGGCAGTTAAGTCCATAACTTCACTCAGAGGCAAGTCTCCTTTACTTCTCATTGATTGCAACTTGCTTTAGGCAAATCAAGAAATGCCATGGATAGACCACTATCTTGAAACCATCCTTTACAAGTTTATAAGTACGTTAGGGACAAATCAAGTCCATCCATTGATGCCCACCATTAACGTGAATATTATTCATGTCCTCTCAAAGAAACGCACTCTTTTAAGCAAGATCGATCAAACGGCTGAATATTTATTAAACACATCGACTTTCATTTACGCCGTAGAACAAATTTATCGGCCAATCGAAACGGCTGCTCGTGTTCGCGCTACATATGCATTTGCAAACTTTTGTTGCAACAGATGTTTCTCACATTATATTGTAAATTCTTTATGTTTGAAGTTCTAAATTGGCCAAATTAGAATCGATTTATTGAACTTTCGATAGTTTCGTCGTATTCAATTCCCAAGTGTTAAACATGACTTCAAAAATACATGATGTAAGTAATATTATAGCACCCTATTAAAAAAAATAGTAAAGTTGAATAAAAGTTCAGTTATCAATACATTTGGAATCAGGTGCAACATTGATTTCATGGTAAAACATAAGCCTCAAAGTTATCTAACAGCTTAGCACACTAAGTTGAAATATTTAAGTATTCGCATATTGACATGGCTGTATGATATAGTAACAATGAAATGTTAGTAACTTTATTGTAAATTTAACAGTGTATGGTCATGGGTTCAATTGATTGATGTAACGTAAATACCAATTTTCTTCCCCTCCCTTGATACGGTAAAAAGTTCATGCAAAACTTACTTCAAAAAATAAAGTTGATATGTCAAAAATTTAATTCTTGCAGCGATAGTTTGTATATTATTTAGATGACGCCACACTTGATGACGTAATTTATTTGCACTACTTTTCAAATTTATATAAGGTACTCACACAAGAATCAACGGAGTAACATAAATGAAACATTTTTCCAAAACTTGTGAAATATGGATCCTATATCTACACAGCTAAGAAAACGAAAATGCAGTTGAATCGAGATATTTTTAAAATTCGTAATTAGAAAAATGTGGCCAACGGGACATCTGCTGAATTTTAAATTTCGATCCAAAATTATCTGTCTCTAAAGGGATTGGTGGTAACTGTTCCATCATGTGTTCAAAATAAAAGAAGACATTAAAAAGTATTCGTGCTAATAGACTTCACTTTTATCTCTGATTTTATTTCTTAGTAAACTTATTCGATTATTACTGCTACTCTCTTGCCCGAAATAGCCCATATATACGTTTTCATTTACGGAGATAGGGGTAACGTTTTAAGAGTTCCACAATCTGAATAAGCCCAAAGTGTTCATTCCCATACACACATGCAAGGCTTGAAATGTGATCATGATATCGGAATGACTAGATAGCGAATGATTTATTTCACGTTCAATCAGTCATGAATTAACATTTTCAGGTAACAAATAACAATGAAGACATTGAAATATCATTTTCCACCGGATTTCATGGAGACGGATATCCGTTTGATGGCAGAGGACTCACTCTAGCACACGCGTTCTTTCCAGGTGAAGATAAAAGAGGAGGCGACGTACATTTTGATGGTGATGAGTTGTGGACAACAAGAGTGGGAATAGATATAGGTATTTTGTGACAGATTGTATGTGGGTGGATCTCACTACCTCAAAGCTGTTTTTCTGATTTTATTGACATGAACTGTTTTAGTCAACCGGTATCTATACTATGATTATTTATAGCTTCAATAACTCTTGGACATTAATGGTCGCCTGACTCGCGACTCGAGGTTTAGCAACTCTTATCCAATACTGTAATAAGATCCACGACTCCACGAGTTATTTATTCATCCAGAATTGATAAGCTATTCAGTTACTCAACACGGACATGAAAGATGTCTGTGTTCACCATCTTTTAATCTGTCTTATACATTGTTATATCGTCCGTTACAAATAAGAAATCCTGTCTTAGCAAGTAAAATATTCAAACCTATTTTTAGGTACAAATCTTCATGCCGTCGCAACACATGAATTCGGGCACGCTTTAGGTTTGGGTCATAGTTCAGATCCGGATTCTGTTATGCTACCGTTCTATGAAGCTTCATCACAAAAACTTGTTCTTGGAAGAAATGACAGAGCAACGATTAGAAGGATATATGGTAAGAAGGTTTGTTGTGAACTCAGACAAAATAGCGCATGCTATTTTTTTACTGAATGGAAAACATAAAGATTAATTAAAATGTATCCATTGTCTATTTTAATGCGTTAAGAAACAATACTTAATCTAATATTCTCTTCAAACGAGTGCACGTACATTGAACTGAAAACACGAACAATTTATGTCAAATCTTCTGACCGGGGTTGCATAGTTTGACTCGGAAGACTTTAGTTAGTAACTTGCGTTGGAATCGATGTTTTTAAATCCGTTAAAGTCCGGATTTTCTGATGCTCAGAGTGATACATTGAAACAAAAACAATACGTACTAACTAATGACGCACACTCTAAACACAATTTTGCTAACGCCAAGAATGTAGTCGTACCGTTTATCAAATTTCACAGTCCTTCTTCCGCTTACCGGAAAACCTTTATTGTTTACAGGCAATCCCGAATCAATAGTAGCAAAAAGCATGGATGAAGATTATCATTTACGAGATTCTGGCATTGTTTTGGAGAATCAAGGACTGGTAGGAGGAGAACGAAAACTAAGAACTGGACCTTTATGCGATTATACATTCGATGCGGTGGCAAATATCAGAAACGAATTGTTTTTCATCAAAGTAAGATCATTTTCACGCAAATTGGGTAGGCTATTAGAAACCAAGAGATTTCAATCTTCAAGAGTTTTGTGTCTTTGATAATCAGCGAGTAATAAGGTAACAAGACAGCATAACAAGACATGATAAAACAAATATCTACTCAAAGACCAAAACGAGGTAGCGCGAGCTTCCACAGTAGACTTATTAATACTGCAGTCTTCGCGATTTCGTCTGACCGCCAGATAGCAGCAAACGTTGAAACGCCATAAGGTGCGCAATTTTAAATTTTGATGACGTCATAGAGCTCACAGAATTTTTTTAAATGAATAAAATGTAATAGCTTTCAAGCGAAAAATACAATCTTTAACCACTGGAAATTGCAAGCAAATGCTTCAGTAATTATTGAGAGAGCGATTTTTCACAACAACAATATCAAGAATAAAATCGACAACAACAACATAATAACAGATCCAAATTGCGCAGAAAATACTCATTCATCATGACACACATTGGGTATTATTCAGTGAGATCCATCGATTCGATAAGATAAGCCAAATCCAACGAAACAAATTAACGAATTATTCATTTTGGTTAATCCGTTAATTTCGAAGTTAATAATAATGTATTCAGCGTGGATATTCGTGTAATAAATTGCGTTTAATACTCATATATATGTAATGATATAACGCGTGTATGTCGTGTTTCAGTGTAAAGTTTTGTGTAAGGATGTGCGACATTTTTTCTTCGATCGGTCATATAACCACCTTCAGAAATTTAGCCGGGTCATAAAAATTTGGATTATCGATGTGGGAAAAGCAAGATGAGAAAAGGCGGCTATTTCCCAGCCTTGCAGTAATAAAGACACCGGGAAAACGGCGAAGCGGTGTATTTTTACGCACGTGAGCGACTTTTTCAACATAAAAAATCGGATTTTATTTTGGGTGGGCAAAAATCTAAGTGTTGGCAGGGGCTATACTAAGTGGCTTGCCGGGCCAGTCTGTTGCACACCCCTGTTTCAGAGTATCGGCTGTTTTGATTGTCATATTAGCACAGTCGATCAATATCAGATTCGCTTAATAATTGATGAAAATATGATTGGAAAACCCCAATTCAATATGCAAATGCAAACTAGTTGTTGCCGACGATGCTCCGAAGTCATGGAAACGTAAAAAATTGCAACGACGTTTCAAATTGTAACAAGATTCTTTGTTGAAGTGTTCATTTTAAATAACAATTAGCGTATTGGCCATTCCAGAAATAGGACTGTTCTATAATAAAAAACAACAACATTTTGATTTTAAGTTTGCTTTGTTTATATTTTATCATTATGTTATAATCGGTTTCCAATAGAAATTGCAGTTTGGAAATCCTTATTTTTCAGAACACGACATTTTGGAGAATAGACAAACAAGGAAAGTTAATTGATGAAAAAGGAATGTCAATGTCAAGTTTTTGGACAGAATTTCCTGATGTTCAAGTCGATGCAGCTTTCACGAGACCTTCAGATCAATACATTGTTTTTATATCTGGTAAGGAAGTGAATTGAACATATGATATGAATGTTCGATTTTGAAACCATTCCTGCCAAAATAATCGTGATCATGCGAACATTGTAAGTTTTGCTTGTCAACTGATATTGCTCGAAACTTAGATTTGTAATATGACGCTTTCACATAACTTGGGTCGAATTAATTAACTAAGTTCCCAGCTTGCTATTATAGAAGCATAGTGTTTATTAGAGAAGCGAGTAAGTTCGTTAGTATGCACACTTTCCTCACAATGATTGGGTTTCATTGCCAGTTTTACGCTTGTCATAGTAAGTTACATGCTGTGCGCGCGCTAAGTTGTAGTCTTCAGGTAATTTTGTTGCTAGAAAAAAACATTGTATTTGTCAATGTAACCTTTTAATTATCAGTAGAGGCTGCCCAATCCTTCCCCAATTCCTTTGCGCTAGTCGCTAGTGGATCCATATGCGTATAATGCAAGGATGCTGTAGCAGGAATAAAAATACCATGATATGCAATATAAGAGTTCTTTCTGCTGTATGCTAACACGGATATATATCTGTAACGTTTCGTTTGACCAAAATCAGACTTCCTCAGACAAGCAGTTTACAACAATGACAAGAAAAGAATAATCATGCTGTTTAAATACGGCTAGAACTCTTCGTCAAATTTTCTAGTGAAACTGATTGTGATATCAAGTACACCGCGAAACAATTATTCCATGCAGAGAATCGATGGTATTATTTACGTCGCAATATGTTTTCAAATATAAATAATTGTTTGGTCACAATCAATTTCAAACAAATTTATTTATTGCCGTATTTAACTTTACAGAAATATATTTGTGTCAGTGTGCAGCAGGACTCTTAAATTGCATAGTAACCTCTTAATATTGTCATTTACACAACCCGTGAAACTACTTACTGACATCTCATCTGGTACCACTTGGGCTACAAGGACACCAATTTACTAAAGAGTACTAGTTAATTCACAACAAATAATAAGTAAAAGATGACCTAATCTCAGTTAATAATTAAATTTAATCTTACAGGTAAACAGTACTGGGTTTATGTTGATAATAGTAGATTGGAATCTGGATCTCCTCGTTCAATTTGTGATTTTGGAATTTGTGGCGTAGACAAAATCGATGCTGCTGTGGTCTGGGGAGCAAATAAACAAATTTATATATTTAGAGGAAAGGAGTTTTGGAAATTAGACGACGTATGTATGGCGTAAATTGTAATAAAAATTGCAATAAATTTATAAAAGTTCAGCAGCAAATAAATGGCTGATATTGTCTATAGATAAAATGTGGAAATTTTAAGTAAGCCTGCGAATATTGATTTAAATTGAAGTTGGAATGTTATACGTTGGGTTATAGAGTTATCTTAGCATTCGAACTTTATATTTTTGGCACATCTAGGCTTGCACGTAATTGACAAAAATCAATTCCGTAATTACGGCCAAATCGATTACGTAATGACCCCGTAATTGCGATATTTTTTTTCACACTTTTAAAACTATCATAACAACCAATTTAATCCACTTCTATTCCGAATGGGATATCGACAGTTGGGACAGTTTGGTTTTCATATTTCCGCCAGTACTACACGCCGGCGACAGATGCTAAAGACAAATATCGAGGAGTGAATTCAAATTAATTTTATTCTGATTTTTATCTTTTGTGCTAGCTTTGATTTTCCTTTATCAACTTTATCACCCAATTTTATGCGATCAATTTTATCATTACCAACACTGGTAAGTGGTGATATTTATGAAACGATAGTTGAATTTTTTAAAATCGTATTAACGTATTAATACGAGTTTCGTATTAAATAAAATTCCGGGGTTCTAATTTATAAATCAACGACGAGCGTATTCTCTCGTTTGATTATACTTGCGCTTGCCTCGCGACGAAGACTTGTTATTGCACCGTTTTTTTACATTATCCGACTTTACTACCTAGTTAGCATTTTATAATAATGATTGATGCCGACTTATTGACGATATTCCGATTACCATGCTTCTTTTTACATTAAATCATTTCGCGGCCTAAATGTTATAACATTATTTGCGATAAATTTAGATCAAATATTAATTATTTGCGCATAATTTAAATACCGTACTTATATGACATGCCTTCTCCGAAAATACAAAGTTATATCGCAAAACAATGCATTTTGTGACATTTATTTTGCACTCACGAAAATATTAATTTACTTTTCTAACTCAAGTCGACAATCCTATCGGCTAAGATCGACACAAGTTTGGTCGAGTGCCGGTGGTATTTGAGTCGACGATAAATCAAAATAAGTTGCCGCATTTGGTAAAGACTTTAAGATTTTGTAAAGACATATTTGGCCGAAATAGTGCGAGGCATTGTGAAAACAAGGCCAAGTACGGACAGATATATAACGATAAAACCGGTAACAGAACATCAAGATTTTGTAATAGAAAATGGATCTCGCGCAGAATAAACATGGGAAATCCCGTCTTTTTATTGTTTCTCTGCCGTCTGAGTCGCTTTACCGATGTCGAAAAGACTAAGTTACGTTGGTTCATTACGCAATTTCTCTTCCGTCGTCATATTGCTGTTTGATAAGCGCGACATTAATTATCACGGCATTTACAAATAGACCATGTTTGGTAAGTTGATCTCTTACATTCTTTAGTCATTTCACCCGAAGAAGTTGAAACCAGGTGTGTTGGCGTCCATCGGTCTCAACACAATTCTATGCCATATCTACGCTTAATATGTACATTTGCCATGCTAGATTAGTTGATAATAGGTTAGTAAATGGCAACGCGTTATGCCTTCTCCATCTGCGTAACAAGAGAGAGAAAAACGGCTGCGAATACCGGAACTCTAACAAACTTTAATTTTTTACAATCGACGGAATTGACTGCTCTGAAGAGAGCTCGTTTCAATCGCGAAAGCGCTTGACCAATAATTACGAATTTACGTAATTCGTAACTTGGCTTCCGTAACTCGAAATAATTCCGTAATTCCGTAAATCCGTAAATTACGTGCAAGCCTAGGCACATCATTCTGTATTACGTGCACCCGACTCCGAATTGTAAAAAATTTCGACTCCGACTCACCCACTCTGCCAAGCAGACAGACTGTGAATCGATTGCTGTTTTCCGATACTGTGTAATTGAAAACTATTAGGCATTGAATAGCCTATGTAATTAATCATAAATAGGTGGTAGTCGCTCGTTGGCTCGTTGGGCGCAGGACTTATCCAAATTTTGGTTCTTATTTAAAAAAAATTAACTTGAAAGCGAAGGACGCCTGCTGTTAAAAAGGCATCCATCCAAGTATCGAAGAAGCTTTTTCTGTGAAAATTTATCGTTCCCTTTTTAATACTGTTATGAATGTTAACCATTGAGCTATAGTCATAACTCACGATATTAATTTAAAAGCAGATTACAAATCTATTTTTCATTACAGAATCTCAAAGCGGAAATTGGTTATCCTAGAAACATTAGCGATTTGAAGGGAGTACCGTACAATCTGGACGGAGCTGTAGAAGACCCAGATGGTTATACCTATTTTATCAAGGGACAAAGTGCGTGGAGGTTGGAGGACAACAAATTATCAGTTAGTTCCGGATATCCGAAATACATCGGAGTCCGTTGGTTTAGCTGTGATGAAGCTGGTTATGTAACTAAGACTACAGCAACTCCCCTAAACGGCAATCAAGAAAACGGGAATGGAGATGGTGGAAATGGATCATTTAGTAAATTTTTCCTGATTCCTAAGTCATCAATTTTGATTGTGACGCTTTCCTTTATTTTTGTGGCATCACAATGCTAACATTGAGGTCCTTTAGTGGGATATGACTATATTTATCACGTAGTTCAAAACAGAGGGTGAACATCATCAAGAAGCGAAGACGATGACAGCAACAGAGAAAACTTTATATATATGAAAAATAAACTATTTTTATTGAAGATTTGTTTAAAATACATTCCCGTTCAAAATCTATGACTATTCATTCAGTTTGCCGACTGAAATCGCTATTATGATCAATTAGTAATATGTACTAAGCTAAGTCAAACATCAGATAAATGTCACTTCAGAGTTGTGAGATGGTTGAATAATTAGAACAATAATATTAGTTTGAAGTGTAAATAGAAACATTAAATGATATCGAAAACCTTCACTCAGTGGCGTATCATGGGCGCCGCTTGAACAGGGGCGCAAAAAAAAGTGCGAAAAGTATTAGTCATGAAAAGTTTCAATGAACTAATTTTAAATTGGGACTAACAGAAACTCGTATTTCAACTCAATTAATAATGTACAAGTAACTCAATTTAATAACAGGCATTATGAATTGTCAAACAACTATCAAGGGGCGCATTTTTAGATTTTGCCATGGGCGCCATTTTACGTAGATACGCCACTGCCCTCACCTGCGTTTTAATTACGCAGAGAACTAGACCCTGAGTTGAAAAGTAGGATAAGACTTACGATCCAACCCGCTGTATCAATGCTCGCACCAGGTAGCATATGTCTAATATTTGGGAGTTTAAGACTTGGGAGAATACATCAGTCTAAGATTCTACATAGTATTATTAGTCTTTCTCATTAAATTCAGTTAAGACAATAACCATGCAGGTAGAAAATGAATAATTGGGTGAATACATACAGTATAAAATTCTACATATAAGTACTATTAAATTTATTATTTATAAAATAATTTTTCGATAAATTCTTATCTTCGAGATATTTCCTCCTTTCTGTGACGCACTTGCTATTTAGTTCTGATTTCTCCTTTTTACAGAAATGCTGTTATATTGAAAATCTGCATCTGATCTGATAAGCATAACTTGCATAAATGCGACATTCTGTATGGTAATTATCACCCGAATCAAGTTAATTACCAAGCACATGACTCCATTTAATAGTAATGCCCTAAAACTGTGAATTGAGAGTTTTGGCACTGGGGGCTTCATAGCATAATAGACGTCCTTATTTCGTTATTACATGTATAGGTAAGAGGGCCGGAGTAGCGACTGGCGTGAGTATCTAAATTTTTGTGACTAACCATCTATCGATGGAAATAAATGGGTGCACAAAGTCTATTCATTCAAGACATATTAAACATAGGGTCTTTGTTTGTGTAAGAATGAAGTTGTCAATAGTTTTGAAGACGTCACTGGTCGTCGTTTGGTCACTGCTCACTAGGAGTGAGAAATAAATGCAAATCTCAGTTAGGCTACTTCATTTCATGTGAGTGATTTGATAATCAAAATTCTGTACCAATCCACAACCAGTCCAACACCATCAACAAAAACAAAATAAAGAAAGAAATATTTCTCGCTATAAATATTTTTCTTTTTTAAAAACGTATTTATTTATCTTACATAAATTGTTACGACATTTTACAAGCCAGACGTCGCCTTTTCGTATAGATATAGCTCATTAACGAAAACATTATATAGACAAGGTGTCGTTAAAATTAAGTGAACAATGTCACTGTATGATGCATAATGAATGAGGAGAGAGCTTGTTTGTAAATAAGACAAAGCTTGCAATAATATTCAACAAACTTGGTAAAGTAGAGACTTCTGTGCAGAATACCAAGCTTGTATTGAATTCTCATAAAAGAGATCAAATATTGAATTTTGCAAAATTATTTTTAGTTATGTATTCGAAAAGTTATATTTGAGAATGTTTTGCAGGATTTTATAACGTCATATTTGACGCACTGAACAACTGCTTAACAAATTATACTTTAGAAATTATCTTTTAATTCTGTCTTTTAAACGAGAGCCCGCAAATAAAATTATATTAACGAAATGCTATTTTGAGAAATGTTATCGTTAGGTTATGACGCTGTAGTATTAATTTCGATCAATATAACAATAAAACAAAATCACCGTTCAGATTTATTTTACTTACGCCCCATTCCCACCACTTTCTCTCATTCGCGACACTGAATATAATTCCACTACAATGAGTTTTCCAACTTTATGGATTCGTAGGAATAATTGCCTTCCGTATCAACGCAGTTCTTGGAATCTGTCAATGTGGCGTAATTTAATAAACTTAATTATCAAATTTTGCATATTTCATGACCTTATTATTAACTTCCGTAAGTAATGATTTCTATATATAGTATTGGACTTCAACAACATGGGTTTCCAAAATTACTTTTATAAATTTATGAAAATTTCATTCCAAGTTGTGAGTAAATCATTCGAGAACGTGAAGAAAATAAATATATTGCGTTCAGCTATCCATGGTGCATTAGATGAAAATTGAGATGATTCATCCGTAATTCTTTTAGTCGATGCGATAATTATCCAAGATCAAACAGTAAATATTCATAGTGATCATAACTCATAATTACCATGAAAATTCCGCTGATATGCTTATTTTCAATAAAGTATTCCAGAAAAACTGAATACATGCTTATTAGACAAATTGAAAATTTCTTGCGAACAAGTGTAATCATTTTGGATCAGCATGGATGTTGGTTGTTGTGTTATTTAGTATTGTGTGAAGTATTTTGCATAATTAGGCTAACACTTATTAATGCATGCGTGGCAAGTCTTGTACAACGGCACCACCAGTCCTAATAACTGGTAATTTGTCCTATTTTTATTTCTAACACCAGGCTTAGGCTAAATTGAAAATGGTATTCTTGTTTCATAACACCAATCATATACGGTAAATGTAATTATTTTTAAGCGTATTTTAGTTTTGAAAATAAATATATATACATAAAGTTGTCGCAAGTCCCAAATCGAAAACGGTCCTACCTAATGCAATCCAAGTTAATATTTTACATGGGATTCAGCTTGAAATAGGGAGTTAATGAAACGTTCTATCGCCGAAAGCTTGAAATTTATTTTAACGTTTTGACAGACTCAACATGTGGAAGAGTTGGAGATGACCTGAAATAGATGGTCCTTTACCCCCACGAATTGCTACTATATCATTACAAATGCTTTTATATATCTACTACGTGATATACTATCATAGTATTTCACTATTCCTAATTATTTGACTTGTTTAGAAATTTTATATGTTATCTTATCATAACTTAAACTAAAAAAAAACAGAATGAAAGGTAACAGTGCAGAAAATTAGTATAGAGTGGCACGAAGTGGACATACGGATCCTTTAGTTATTATTATTATGTTGTTGTTGTTTTATTACTAGTTATTTTTTACACGACAGGATATATTTTCCAAACTCGCCATTTCAATGTTACGGTAAAGATGTTTTGAAAGATATAGTAAACAAAACAAAATTTTTCTTATAAAACATGCAAAATATTTTTGACAAATATTCTATATCTTACTGGTATAAATAATTTAAGACCAAAACAGGACTATAGAGCTTACTTGCATTTTACGACAATGAAAACCCAAATACAAAAAAACATCAAATTGTCTGAATTATTACGCAACAAAAATCTCATTTTTTGCGAAAATAGTTGAGAAAGTTTTTATTTGAAAATATAACCTAATAGACATAGTTTCTCAAGTAATACTATTATATTGCAATGAGACGATTCTTAATTGATTTGACGGTGTCAGAAGTGGCGAACTAGCGACCTTTTAAAGGGTTGAGGCCCGTAAATTTAAGTGTAGAAAGGACCTTCCGCTTCTTTAAGATAAGCTGAAAGTCATAATGAAAAATGAATATTTTATGGTCGTCTGTGGTAGTGTCGAAAACGCGCGTGTTACAATTACGGCGACGGCGCTTTTTAGTCATAGAAATTCACATATCCGTACACGACCGGGCCAATGATGGAACGCGCTCTCTATGCACAGCCATGGATATGCACATTTCTGGCATAACCATAAGTGTTTATTTGGAGAACTATGCACGTCAAGTATGCTTATAATTCAGTCCGACCAAGTATGTGTTATCATAATAGACATAAGCGAAAAGTAGACGAGCAAAATTACCCACTCACTAGACAAGTAAATTGAAATAAACAACGCCTCAGAATGTTTTAAAATTCGACAGGTAGCAAACAGCCTGAAAATAGACAATGGTTTTGCCATTGGCTAAATTGCAGTATATTAGAATAAGCGACAGTAAAGAAGACTGCCAAATACAAGGAATAATGGCACGGAATACAGACTATGAGAAACAGGATAATAGAAACAACTTCGAAAGGTATCATATTCAATTCTTTATCTATAAATGGGTAATATAATATTTTCTATAACAATTTTATTTATCTTGAAAAGTGGATCTGGAAACTCCTCACCGATTCAACGATTATCGCCTGTGATGCAAAACACTCCACAACTTCTCTCTCCTCCAGCAGTAAGTATTTTTTTTTGTATTTCAATTCATTTGGGTGTATTGTGTAGCGTGGCCCTGTAACGATTTTTGTTTCACATTGGTTGACGACGCAAAAGACCACTGATGGTATAAGCACCATGGAACATATTTTAAAAAAAATTTAGGAATGATTTTCAGTGTTTTTCATAAACACATGAGACGGCGAAGATGGTATCGTTATAGTATTATTTTATATTTCGTGAGATGTTAATTTTTGGTGAAAATTACTGTTTGATTGAATTTCTCAAATGTTTTGCTTTTGTATAAAGTATAAAATATTTTTTACCGATTCAGAAGTTAGACAGAAGCTCGTGTTCTTTAGATATTTATAAGCAATTTTTTTTTATAAATAAATATAAATAAGTAATCTTGAATAAAAAAATTAAAGATGATTTCATCATTTTTGTTACTGTTGAATGCTATACCTAATTTAACTGGTAGAGTGAGAGAAGTTAATACTGACTTGTCGTTAAGACAGATTGGGCCGCAGCTTCAAAGTTATATTACTTATAAAGGAGAGCAATGCTCAAGTATCGCGACACCATCGGTTCCGGTACGGCCGTAGAGCACCTAGTTTGCAGAAAAGACCAATAGATAAGCGTGACGAAAGCGGTCATGTGTGCCGGAGTGAATAAATATGTTACCCCTTAAATAAAAAAAAACAAAGTTTTGGGTAAAATATCGGGTTTCATATCAAATTTAAAAAAAAACTCAATGAAGTAACGGCATTTTCGGAACTCCTCTCATCTCCAAGTATTGAAATTTTTGAAGTATGATTGGTCCAGTAGTTACTTAGAAAAATATTTGTTTCAACAACAACAATAACTTCAACAATAACAACAATCAACAATAACAACGGTAAATTGCAAGTTGTTGTTCGTGAACAACCATTTTTATCATATCAGAACCCAAATCAGCAACGCCAAAGGAGTCAACGTCATTTACGAAACCAACAGCTATATCAATCTCTTTCTGTTGACGAAAAATCACCAACTTTACCAAAAAAGTCAAGTTTTGGAAATTTTTTGGATGTTCCGACCTCCCCAAGGGAGCCACTTTCCCTGCAATCTGCCTCGATATCGACAGACGAAGGAATTGTAACCGATGAGCTGGCACCACACCAAACTCAGTGTTACCAAAATGATCGACAGCCAATTGAGGCCCCAGAGGTAAGAGCAGACAGAAAACAGAACGAATGAATATAAGTCAATCCAAAAGTAACCAAAAAACGGTTGGTAATGATTTATTACAGGTAAACTGGCAGAGTCAATGCCATATAGCATGCTATCTTTGCTTATTGTGTCATTACCTCTCGTTGTGTATGTAAAACATGTATAAAATGGATTTGACGAACAATAAGCCCGCGCCCTGTTGACTTAGTTAGTAGTCCCCGTTCTTGTTTTGCACGGTTACAGATACATTATCCATCGCCAGAGTATTTATTTGTGCTCAAATCCGTCTCGTCTTGTAATTTGGTAAGAGTTGTGACATTTGAAAAAGTTATTCATTCGTGTCACGGGTCATGTACAAGTGGTACAGAGTAAAGTACTAATGCGTAACTAATTTTTTTCAGTACAGCACTTGGCAAGAGCACGACAGCCTATATAACTACATCCTATGTCCATATAATAATAATAATATTCCACTAAATGAAAATTACCATACAAGATCTCACTTTAATTAGTCTCACTCAGCAATCAGATTCCTGAAACGCATGATGTTTGCTTTGTTCCGAAGCAATTCAGACGAACGTGGCTGTATAGATAGGTGTAACACAACAACTCAAATCTGTCCTTTACCGACATACCTCAATATTTTTGGCAGTATTCAACAACAATGGGTTTGCCAGGTGTCTTCTGCGCCTGCTGTTATAATCACACCGTACGACAGTTCTTCAGATCAGCAGCGCCGGCAGCAATACCTGTAACTACGTTCTTTGAAGAAAAACCCCGCAAACTTTGTCGCATAAAGTCAGAAGACGTTCCTCGTCGGCGACCTCCGCTTTCAAACGGTTGGCAACAACAGCAAACGATACAAACGGATGATATTCAACGACAACAACATCAAAGAATGACATTCGAGGGGCGTGGCCATAGTATCAGTGACGCTCAAGTTCGTTACAGGCCGGAATCTAAGGAATTTATTGGAATTAAACAATACAAGCACAGAAGAAAACTGCCTCGCATTCCAAATGTAAGTATGCAATATGGCATGTATAATATTTCAGATTTTGACATGCCCCGAAAAAATAACCTTCTTTTACAGGTAAGTGAAGTTGTTTTGCTCTCATTACCAAATTGTTCACATTTGAAATAGTGGTTTTCAACATTTTTGAAAATATATATAAATATAAACTATAAATATATACAAAATCAAGCCTAATACTGACAAAAAAAATTATCCCAAAAGTGCAGCAATTTTAATAAATAGTGGCAAACTAAAAGGTATTTGAGTAAATTTAAACAATATACATATTAATATAGACGTATAATAATAAAGGGGTTGAATAATACCTTGCGGAACATCTACCAGGGGTGGGCAAGGGTTTTGGACCAGGGGCGAAAAATTTTGCTCACCTAGACTGGCGGGCCATGTAAGTGTGACGTGAAAAGTTACATTTTATGAACAATATTTACAAAAACAAAAACAATAAGCCCCGCGCCCAAATTTAATCGCTATCTCAACTAATTTCTTGAGCTATTTTTAGCTAAAACATCGAAATTTGGTTTTATTTTGATTGTGGCAGTATCAGGCGGGCCAGAATAAATTATCCAACGGGCGGGATTTGGCCCACTGAACGTAGTTTGCCTATGTCAGTTCTAGACTATACTGGTTAAAAACCACTAATCTATGAGTTCGTTTGAAAATAGATTTTGAATTGCTTGCGAGTTCTGTAATGTATTTGCCGAATTTGGTATTATTCTTCACAGGCACTTTAAAAACATATATATTATTTCTAAATATAAATAAAGATAACCCATTTAATTTGACGTCCTCAGACTTAACTTTTACATTGGGTCGATAAGGAATGAAACGCATTTAGAGCAGCATGGCAGAATATCAAGTCATGAAATATTCACAAATCTATGAATCATTATGGTCTTAATATAAACTCAATTTAACAATTTTGATGGATGACCTTAGAAATGCATAATGGCAATTAGAATAACGTAGTACACTTCATTAACGCAAAAATAGCTCCAAAAGCACAAGCACAACACAAAGAAAAACTTTTATCGAGGCTATAGTGCCATGGTCATATTCGAGATAGAATTGCCAACAAAGTCACAAATGAAAATATGCTAAAATTCTGGACTACCCTGTTTTCACTTCTGTATCTCTCACAGTACTACCCATGGCCATGGTGAGACTTTTTCAGAAAACTGACTCCAATTTAAATGTCATAATGGAGATGTATTAGCGAGTTGCCGCAAAATAAAATTGAAACAAACACCAAGAAAAATTAGCTAAAGTTTATATTTATATTGTGGGTTTCTTTAGAAACTAGCCTTGTGAGTCCAAATTTGTGATTTTCTAACCGAGTATCGATCCTCCTAATGCTATCGAATTGGATCTTATATCCTGGAGATTTAAAATTCGACTCTCCAGTTTCTCCTTATGGGTACAATCGTTTTATCGATTTGCTATCATGACGCTACCATTTTTTATCACCATGGTTATTTGATATAAAATCCATAGTCATAGTTAATTTTGATTCATCTTAATACAACCAAACAGTTTTAATATGTTGGTTTTTACTCGTCTAAAATTAAAATTAATGTCTGAAATTAATTAAAACAGTCTAATTCGTCTGTTTTAATTTCAAATGCCACTCAATATTACACAATACACAATATTAGTAAGGTATTGGATATGTGGCAACCCATAACCTAACCGAGGAATGCCTCCCGTTACAATTCGGGAGTGATCATTATTTGTCAACCTTTGACGTCAATTTAGTTATTAAAAACCAAGCAATTATATTAGAAAATACCGTTACTGAATTTGAATCTTTTTTTTTATAAAAATAGTTTAATTAACCATCAATATTTCGACAAAAAGAAACGCCATGACGTTATTATCCATTTTAGGTGGACTCCTTCGACGGACGATTACCAGAAGACGCGGCGCCACCTCAGAGACAAATCAGTAAGGTAAACTCTTCAGATAGAGAAATAAATAAGAAGGAAGCACCAAAGCCTCGTTTGCAAAGACAACGTCGACAATGTGTTGATTCGTTTGACGACTGCAACACCGAAGCTTTAAATAAAAGCCCGACACCAAGTGTACGGTTTCGAAAAAACAGCTTGTCTCCAACGCTGGACAGAAAAACACGGAAAGGCAGAGTAAACTCGGAAGAACGCGACACTAATCCCTGTCAATCTAAAGACAAGCCACAAACCAAGCCGAAAAGCAGTAATACACTTTCGCCAGGAGGCGTTCAAACGTATGCCTACCTTAACGGCAGTAACGTTTCCAGTTCATACATGGCCAATCACCGCGCAAAAAGCATGGACTGTGAAAGAAGAGTGCCAATAGCTCAAGCTACGCCTTTACAATCCAAATCCTTCGAAGAACGCCGAAATTATGACGTCATTAATTTAGAAAATTACGAAAATGATAGTGACATACGACGTTCGAGTTCGTCTACGCAGGTCACCACACTGGCAGGTAAGTTAAATATATAAGCAAGTATAGAAACACTTTTGGAACAGTCTTTAAATTTTTTATGAATTTTACCACAAGATTGCGATACTATGGACAACCCTGATCACAGCTTTAGCATTGTTACTTTGCATTTTTGCCCCAAACAATAGTAACACTCTAACACCATAATTGCAGCTTGCGGTCATATATAGTAGTTTCGTGGATTTACAAATTTTGATACGCCAGTGCCGCAAAGAATTGTTACCAAATCATATAATATTCGTATAAACAGTTTTATTATGTAAATACAACTTGAAATTGTGGTGCGTAAATCTCGAGTATCAAGATCAGGGCGCTTTATCATTCATCTACTTCCCATGATGGAAACGGCGTAGTAGAATCTCTGTCTTTTTATAATTTATATTATTATAACGGAACGTTACATATGTTTGTTTTCTGGCTAATCTCCAGCAGAATGTCCGACACGATATTAATCTAGCCAAATATAGCATTGTGTTTTATGAAAATAGAATAACATATACTCGTGTTTATCTTATCTTCAAAATGCATGATTTACATACTGAAGGAAATTTGGCACGAAGTAGTTTTTCAGATGAATTTTACATGAATTAATGTATAATCATGGTGTTTAAAGGCATTTTATCCCACAAGTGACAAAATTACATTATCGCAAAATTTAAATTGCATTATTTAAGCTACATTGTCACGTAGACACAACATAGACGCGTTGCGGTTTTGTTTTAAACGTATAACACTTTTCGTACTTCAGTCGAATTCTTCTATTGGTTTTTACCGAAAAATTAGAACAAATTGTCTAGATACGACTCCGAGACGAGCTTTATACTTGGCGTCCAACTGGCTGCGCCCGATTTCATTGTAGTATTTTTTTCATTTGGTTCATGTGACAATTAAAAGTAACTAAACTTTATACGCTGGAGTTGCATTTTTTATTTAAAAATCTTTAAAGTTAAGCTTTTCATGATTAAAATATGATAATATACGAAAGTGACACACAGATATTTGTTTCGTGATTGCTACACCCTAACTTTTGATGTATGGAAAAACAAGTCAAAGCCATTTTTATAGTTGCATTGAAAGCTTTGATATATCTATTCTACTACTGGAAGAATTACAATTCTTTTTAGGTGTTCAAATTTATTACTAAAATTACTTTTCAGATGATAAAAACACCACTTCCAGTAATGAAACTTTCAGTAATAAAAATACAACCAAGCCACAACGTTCAATCGCAGAAAGACTAATGTTAATCGGACCGACTGATCAACGAAGGGTACAGGTAGGTTCGTTGTACTTAAAGTTCGTTTGAACTAAGTTTTATTTTAAAAAGAAAAAGTAAGGTTTGCTAGGCCTAGCGCTTTGAAAGAGTGTGGCTACATTTATTTTTGGAAAATTTCCGTTTCAGATTTGGCATTATTTTTTTTCTAAAAGACGGAAATTCAGGTTTGTTTTGAGACAACATCGACTAACTTTGTTTGAGTACTGAGATTTTTAATTCAACTATAATCTAATTTTAGTAAGTCACCATGCGAGTTTTTTATTGCATCAGACTGTGACATCATAAAAATATTCAATTAAAATGCTTCTAAAAGTTTAAAAGTTTTGTTAAAAGAAAAATCAATGAATTCCAATTTATAGCATTTTCATGTCCGTCGAACCACTTGCACCCCCTGCAAACTTATTTTTATAAAAAAAAACAATGATACTTTCAAAGCATTTTCTATATAATTTAAAACTATAATTTCTATTATTGTGGAAACATGCCACAAATGCTTGTCAATGATGTCAAAAATATTGACTTTTGCGGTATTACATAATACATATGTTCCCTCGAGTATAAAATTTGACCTTTTCTACCCAGGCTACGGATTATGCAGCAGATAAGCTTTCGTAAATTATAAATGTATCTGAATCCATTCATCCGTGATTTCTTAGTTTGGAAAAATTGTAATTTATATTAAAATAAACACAGAATGATTTTTAAGCAAACGTTGAATCAAATCGAACGGATACATTGAAATGTATTTGGCATCATTTAAGTTAGTCGCGGTAATTATGACCGTTTTTTCTACTTTGCAAGAATCTACTCAAAATCAAGATCATGCGCACTCACTCAAAAAGGATATAAACTCGTCTCTAAGTAACGGGCGACAAATGAAATGCTCTACTAAAAAATAGTAGTAAATTTCGTATTACCTTTCTAACATGAACAGTCACTCCATCAAGGGGGCGGACATTGCCCTCATCTTTTTTTATTTTACCTTGAGCAATTACAAACATCGTACAATATATATATTTGTCAAAAGTCAAATTTTGAACCTTTCACAATACACTGCTGAAAATATCATCAATAACTATGTTTCATAAAAGTGTAATAATAATATTATTCAAGATAAGATGAATAAGAATTCATTTTTCGTGCAGAAAAACATGTGGTAACTCTTCATTGAACCGCTTTTTAGCGCACTATAAACAGCTTCAATTATTTATTTCAGGGCATAGTGCAAGATGTTCTGGTAGAAATGGGCGAAGAAAGAATTCTGCAATACAAAAGTGCTTTTGCCAAGTTCGATAAGGTATAATGTACAGATAATATTTCACGCAATAATACTTTAGTCTAATCAGCTCAATACATATATTAGATGAAATATATGGAGACAAGTACTGACAGCAGACGTTTGCCCATGTTCCTCAAAATATAAAAAATACTTTTATGTAACTCGTTCATGGCTACAATTTATTAAACCGCCTGTTTATTTATGGACGTTTCACGTCCTGTTACCGGATAAGGGAGCGTAATGAGTCTAAATATTAAAACCGCAACCGGATTTCGAATCTGTTATGACGTCATGTACACCATTAAAATTAATCTGAATTGAAAATATTGTATATTTGTGCAATATAAACAAATGAATAAATCATTTATTGTTACGCAGTAAAACATATAGAAAAAAATCAATTGCAACAAGGAACGGTAATCTTCTCAAGTTCTATCCGAAGGGAGTAGCACACGAGCTTCAAAATATGATATATTATGGAAATTTGTGATATATATAATGACCATGGGAAAATCTATTTTCATTGCTGTATCGATGAATTAATATACAACAAGTGACACAATAAATATTTATATGTTAATGTAAACTAAAATTCTACTGCATCCAAATCTTCAAGGTCAACATGACTCGTAGACGTCACGGTTGGGATTTAAGTGTATCTCGGCCCAAAAGCATTATCTTTTCGCGTGTATGCGGTCGCTTGTAACTTTCTGTCTACCTTCTCTTAGTCAAGGACTCGCGACGATTTTTTAAGTAAACTTGCAAAACATGAATAGTAAAACAAGACCTCGTAAAAAAAAGGGTTACCAAATTTTGTAAACTATCGTAACTTTTAGCGGAAGGTTTTGACTTTTGCACAGTATAGCGTTTAATCGAGAACCAGTAAAAGCAATCACAATTGTATCTCTATTAGACCAACCATCTTTCAATGACTTACTACCTGATTTCAAATGTGGAATCATGTTATAATTTTACACCAGTTTCTATGAAACGTTTTAAAACCTCATTTGAATTGCACATAAATTATTTTTATTCACTATCAGGACTCCAGTGGAATTATTAGTTCAAAACAATTACGAAGATTACTTCGAACCCTAGGACACAATCCAGGAGACGACGAACTTCGGGAACTTGTCAATCAAGTTGACATGGATGAGAATGGAAAGATTGATTTCAACGAGTTCATCATTATGATAGGACAGTAAGTACAGTAGAATCAATTCAAATAAAATGATTACAAATTCGATACAAACAAGACTTTAAACTATCAGATTTATATATACGTTGGTATCTATCATTTTGGGAAAATCCTAACTTTGTTTGAGGAATGATTATGAAAAAAATTTCGTTTTCATCTTTATGCTTTTTGTATGTTAGGTAGGAATTTTTGGATCACATGTTGCCTAGTTTGTGTGATTGCGAAAAGCGGAATTTTTTGTTCTGACGTAGTCCACATTCCGGGTGACATAGTGATTAATATCTGTATATAATTATCTGCCAATGCTCTAACGAAAAGGTTTATTTCTAGCAGACCTTATTGGTAGCAAATTATTTTGGTCTTAATACAGGAATGTTGCTGATTCAATTATGCATGTCGGTGAAATTTTTCATTTAATGTATTTCTGATATTCAATTACAACTGCGCATATAAATGTGGCAACGATATAGGTTTCTTCAGCATTTTGACAAGGCAAATGCATTACTAACATATTCCTCCGAATATGAAATATTCATAGACTAGATACAAAGCGAAAATTACCCCAACAATTTATCCAGTTGGAAACGGTTTTAGCTGTTCTGTGTCAAATTTTCATAGTCCAACAAGCGTGCCTGAGCGGGATATCTAGCGTTTTAAATGTGAACTCGACGAATAAATTATCCAGAATGGTGTTTTGTTATATAGTCCGAATACTTGACGATTCAAAGGCAAATGCGATGAAATTTATTGATCAAAATAAACGCAACTTGACCTGCGTTGAACGTTGGCGAATGAAGATAACGTTACTCTTTGGCAAACGCAAAAGTGTCATGATGACATGTCATGATGAGCGATGTGTCGAAATATGACTTATAAATAAGTCAAGTTCAAAACCTAATTTATTAAGCTTACCGTGAGTTAGAAAAAAGCGAACAACTGTTCCGCGGTCAAATTGTGAGATGAGGCAATAACTTTGTTTCGTTTGGTCACCTTATTATATGGATTGCGGTGTTTTTATTTCCAGTTGCAATGAAGCACTTTATTCAATTTCCTATTCCATCGTCTGAAATAAATTTAAAATCCGATGCACTGACGGAAACTACTGCTTTTAGACCATAAAATAAACTACTTATTACGAACAACTAGAATCTGTGCATATATACTTCGTCGCCAAAAATTATCGTAAAATTTGATTCACTGATTTTTCATATATCAATAATGAAATAAATTGAAAGCTAAGACTGCGCAATCCCGAGGGACGGCGGCTACCGCATCAGATTGATAAAAATTTCGACTCTTGACTCCAGCACCAAACTCCCAGAGAAATCAAATTTTATATATAATAAAAACTTTTGCCTATGCAAGCCTTCTCCATTGCTTGCCTTTTGAAACGCTTATTCAATATTTTAAAGTTTTACACTGATTCCCAACCGCGGATAGTTTGATAATAATAATACGACTCCAACTCAAATGGAAGCATGTCAAACTCTGATACTTCGCCCACACTATTTCACAGCCAATCCTATACCATAGGCGAATTTAGTGCAACGGACTTTATTAGGGTATACAGCAGTCAGAAGGAGGGAATTCAATAATAACGGTACTTCCGTAGTGTGTGTACCAGGTTAGGGCATAATTTGATTCCGATTTCCCTTCGTTTAGTTCTATTACGAGTTCGGGAACTGTCTGTGTTAGTCAAGTGAATATACTCTCCTCCCTTAGGTTTCATTCCCTTCACAAAACTTAATGTAACATAGGCGAACAAAATTAGTTATCTCCATATTGATACACAAACATCTGGAGCGACATAGTAATCGCAGTATATATTGCCGTATAATCACAATTATACAAAAATTATACTTATTTCTAGTTTCGACAAATCCAACAACACTTCAGAAGACTTGAGCCATATTTTTCGCGTATATGATGAAAGTACCGGAGGAAGCATTAATGTTGGTGAACTCCGTACAATCTGTTCAGAATATCTTGTTGAATCGGTGCCTTTGGAAAACGTGAGTATAATTGTCTTTCTTTCATTGATGGCGCTTAGTTTGATTATACAGGTAGATAATGAGTAGATACTTGATTCATTCGTCAGGAAATCTGGCGATTAAAAACTCATATTGATCACAAGAAAAATGTACACAATTTCGTCTCTTCATATCTCCTATCATTTGCAAAGTCTCCCGTATAAATACAGAATACAGTAACATATAGCCATCTTTTTATCGTTAGAGGTTACGAGTGGCCAACTACACCTATATGCATTTTTGCTGGTGGATCCGTATGCAACTATGTATATATATGATGTAACGATGTTGTAGCAAACAATAAAACTGTCTTGAGACGAAATGTCATTGAAATACATTTGTGTTAAAGTGAAGTAAGACTGCAATTAACTTGTTATATTGCAGATTAACGAAATGATCGATTTTATTGACCGTGATGGAGATGGGGAAATCAACCGCGATGAACTTTGTCGAGTCTGGAGTAACCGATGGTGACCGAACAATTTAAAAAAACTGCTACTTTTCTGCCACAAGTTTTATTGTGAATATTGTTTGCAAAATAAATATTCCAAGTGTTTCTTACAGAGTTTGGTAGAAATGTTGGCATAATTCTCTGGTCTTCACGGAAACCGAATATTCCAATACCTCGCGCATCATGCAAAGCTTTATATTGCTTCAGGTATTTCATTGAGGTTTCCCTGAGCAAGAAGTTCTTAAGATCGAATACCCATCCCCATCTATAAATTTTCATTGCATTTACTATTACATGTAAGTCTTTCGTAGACAATGGTGCCAGGTAACCTATATTACAGCATTAAAACTTTATCACGAGAAAATTCTATAATAATTATAGTGTATATATTCCTTACCTATATCACCCTGATACTAAAATTGATTTTTATCTGGGTTCCAGTATTTGAAAACTTCGGATACATCCCGAAGCCAAGTATATATTTTAAGAAAGTATGATAAAACTGACGAAAAACGAAGTTAGTTAAGAATTTTTAACACACTTTTAGGCTTTCATACGACAACGTTTTTGTTAACAAAAATTTTTCAAACGGGAACTGCAGCCGATTGTAAATTTTTCCAAGCTCCGCAACCCTGGAGGATGATAGCATTGACGTTCACTGTGTAGAAGTTCCATGCTCCGGCATATGGCGCTACAGAGTGGAATAGCGTCCGATTTTTGAACAGGGCGCCGTGGAGAAATTCATTGCACGTATTCGGGCCGTAAGAAAGTCAGAATCGTATATTCAAGTACCGAAAACCAGACCTGGTTATCTTGCAAATTTGAACATAGATTGACAATATCTGATGTTCATAGGGTGCACCGTTACGGGTATCATTAGCAAGTTGAAAAAATATATTTACGAAATATACGAAGTTACTGAAAGAGTAAATTGCAACTTCGCATAAGGGTTTCATTAAACTTCAACTAGAACTTTACCTAGTTTCGTTCATACAATTGTTGTAACGCTGGCCAAGTTTTCTGGGACGATTTCGGGATTAAGTTTAGAAATGCGGACCTCTAAACCGGACAAAATTGCACCAGTCAAAAGTAAGCTCCTGGACAGTTCAGTTTATGGGTTATATTCATTCCATTAACGCTTGTTTTTCTAACGGGTGGCTAGAACCGACCCCCTTGCCTACATGATGAATTTGTTGGAGTTGGAAAGGATTTACATATTTATCTGGGGGAGAGGAAAGTCGATAAGGTGGCTTTATCACATGGCGAACCACGGCATCCTGTCCGGTTACCTTTAGCCAAGATTAGAAAGCCAGTTGTTTTCAGACTTGGTGGTGGAGGAAGCCGTAACCGGACTCAGCTAAGATATCGATAGTTCATATGTCGCACTCGATCTGTGGTATAACACTGTTTTTGCCACGTGTAATGGGACGATTCGACAGAAACTGTTGCGAACCGCCGTTCCATATTATTTTTATTAACGGACGCCAATCTATAAACTCCGCGTACTGTCTCGCACGTTTCCCATTTTACAATTTGGAGCGATGGATTAGTTCTTATCACTCGACTAGTTGGCAACAATCTCGCATGTGTTACATTAGCTTTATAGACTTAAATTAATTGTTCAAACAAAGAGATAGTTTGGTAAATATTAATCTAAATACATTAACATATGATAGTCAATTAAAACACTTCAAAACTGCGAATCCACTTTCCGTTATTTGACCCTTTTTAAATTATGCCTATTTACCTTGCTTTCACCCTTTTCAGATAAAGTAGGACGAAATGTATTCTTCGTGTGACCGATACCTCACTCGGAGCATACTGATGTATTTATACACGGACAAGCATAAAACATAACACTCGATGTGTGATAAACAACAAGATTTCCGTTTATGACATTTTAGAAATTACGTTTCATCCGTAAAATGCGGTGCGTTGTTGATGAATTCATCATCTCGTATGTCCTACTTTAAAACTTAGCTTTATAAAGGTTGCGGTAGCAGATTTTTAATTCTATAATTGCTTTAACAACAACTACATTTTTAAGGAGCATTCCTTATTGTTCAGTTACTTTAGCTGAATTCTAAAAAAAGTTGCCAAATAGACTAATTGCATTGGGTGATAATAAATGGATAGAAATTATTTTCAACTCCTTTGATATTTTAAACTCCAATTTGCAAGACCGAAACCATAAACAGGTTGTATATATATGTACAAGGCCTAACAATGCACCTTACTAACAATAATCGGTAATTGTAAGAAAGATTAGTTTTACATCTGGTTCTTGACAATAGGAGAAAATGTTACAGCAGGTGACAAAAATGATACAAACGAACATGCTTTTTTTAAGAATCGGTATCAAATCTTGCATATGGAAAACAATTGCAATTGATTTCCTTATGGGTTAGCATTTGCAATTACATATGGATCGTTTTGATGAAAAAGATACACAGATGCGTATTAATATCAATAGGACAAAGGCAATAAATGCAAACGGTCAAAAATAACATGAAGCTTGTATTTTGCGTTAGTCATCAGTTTTCCTCACACTCAAGCTTGCCCGACCATATCAGAAATGAAAAATGAATAATTCTTTTCCTTGTAAGCGTCGTGAAAACACCAGGAAATTAAAGCAATGATTTACAAATCAGCTTGATCTGTATATTCGGACATGTATGAACCTGAGCTTAAAGATACAAATTACCAAGTTTAAAGAATAATCTTGACTGGGCAGACATGGTAAAAATGATTTATAACTAGGCTGTAACCGAAAATCAAAGTTCAAAAATGAAGACGAAAAACTTGGACTTTATACTTTTTATCAAATAAACAACTTATTTTGCTTGTTTCAAATCGTTAAACTGACCTACAGTAAAATATATTTATGGAGGAAACATCTAATCTTATTTTATTGTAACTCGTTACTGTAGATAAACATATCGTAATATTTTCTCCTTCAGTGGTGCTAGGCAAATAGTTGTACAATATTTCATACCACACATAAAAGTGCTGGCATAAATTATAAGAAAACAGCAAAACTTAAGGTAAAAATGAACGCTTGTAAAGGAAAATCAAGGTATAGCAATTTTTTCAATATTTGGTATTGAGAATTTGGAATTTATTGGCTTGATAATTTGGAAAAGAGAAATTTTTTACAACCCCAACAACAACAATTAAGCAAAACGAATTATAGATTCACTTCATGGCCGATGGTTTGTAAAAAAAACTGTAAAAGAGTTAATCAAATGAGTTTACAAATAGTTATAGATTAAGCTCCAATTATGAAACCTATTTCTTTTCAAATGAACATTTCGAAGTTTAAGGTCCAAAGTCAAGTCGCAAGACAGCGACAAAATTTTTTTTTTTTCAATATCCGCGGACTCTAATTGTAAAATTATATTATCAACGATAAGTTCAGAAATATTTTTTAAACGTGTTCTACATTTAAATAGGGTTATTCATTCATGATCCTATCTATATAAGCAAAAATCAGCCTATTAGATTTATGATTTAGTACTTCCGATGTCCAAAGTTCTCTGTTGTTTTCACATTATTACTAATCAAAATAGAAATGAGCTGTTGATTTTTCAATTACAAGAGAGAATATTGAACTAATATCGTTTCCTAAGATGCCGCAATTTTACATATATTCTGCGAAAATAATCGCGTTACTGGTTTGTGCCGGTATTTTCTAATCATGTTGCCAGATTTTAAAAGAAATGCAGAGTAGAGAAATGCTCTTTAAAGTGTGTTCAAGTGACACCCATACGTCCCATTTGCTGTATCCCGCGACAGATACCCACAAATACAAGCTGCAAAATGCTAGGCCTTCGATACCGGTTTTCTTGTGGCAACACTGCGTCTCAACTCCGGCACTTGCTGCCCTGCGTGTAAAATTTTTGCATGACCCGCCAAGGCCTCTAGCAAATAATAAAGATAATTCTATGAAAATCAAATTAAAATTATGTCAGGTGCCTTTCGCCATACTGCAATGACTGACGGCAGTTTCCAATCGAGTGAGAAAAAGTTGATTTGTAACTTTATTTGTCTATATATAACTCAAATATGATATGTAAATATTATAATACCCCTGACAAGCACGTTAAAAATTAGGAAAAATTACGAAGCAATCAGCATCAAAAGTAATGCAAATCAGTTAGATTACTACATCATTGCCTTCATTAAAAAGTGTGACCCACTGCTAAAATCCAATAAGACGACGTGGCCCGCAAACCACAACAATGGAGGACTGTTGGTCTGGGTGATTTGGGAATTACTTTCATTACTACCCTACAGTAACAAGCAATTTCGTATTGTTTACAAACATTCTCCTTGATAGACCCCTGTCCAACAGAAACCGTTAGTAACCTCAATGATTAGATACGAATCGAATGGCTTTTTACTTTTTCTTATAATTACTTCATTCTACGAATTGCAGGTGCAACGCCTCTCCACTTTCATTCCACTCGAGCGGTTCGAGAAAACAATAATGCAGCAACTCTCGAGATTATAAGTCAGACTACTTGGTAAAAGTAAACACTGAATGTAACATGCTGAAGAATAGAATCAAGATAAAAGTCGAAGGTAAGGTTAGTTAAAAAATTTACTTTCTGCAGCAATTCCTTGAAACAACATCAGAAATCGAAACTTCTTGATGATAGATAGATATTGTCCATTTTCATCAATTACAAAAATACATCAGCTTATGTTGTGGTCTGCTTCTGTACCGTCCCGAATCCTCAAAGCGTGACTAGTCAGAATAATTTGAGCCCAAATACTCATTGAAGAGTGACAGACTAAATTTATCTTGTGGGGGAATACTTCTAATTATCTCGTAAATCCCGTAAACATGATTGTTGGGGGCGAAGAAGACGTATGAAGCGTTTTGCAAAATTGCTGTTTTTTTGTTGTTGCTGAGGTTTCTTATGTAGTGTTGTTGTTTTATTAGCAAAAATCTCTTTTCTCATTCAATTTCAAATTCAGTACCTAATATGTAAGGAGTCGCTCGAAGGCTTTTTTGTAATGTCATATGGGACGCAATGTTTCACCTGAAATCTCGTTGTTTCATTTTCTTTACGATTGTCCATCAATTGGAGCATTGCTTGCACATCGAATGTGAATTTGCTCAGTTATCTTAATTAAGATAACCCCATAGCATACCGATTTCTCCTCCTTCATTATTGAAGCACGATTAGTCGAATTCAAACGTTGAAATGTCTATGTCACTGTATCACGGTTCATCTGAGTATCGAATATAATCGTATCCTTTTTATTATAATACGATACATGGTAGCACAACTTGTACGGGTATGTTAGACTGCGTCCAGCTATCACTTCAGTAGATACGTTTAGTACAATAGATGACACATTAACAAGGATGTAATATGTTGGGTGCACCGTCCCGGTTCTATTTAGGCGTGCTGGGAGCGGACCTTTTTTTTAATCTTTTCATGGATATAGATATTGCTATTACGGTACTATATAAGGCTGACAGCCTGGTATTGGCATCTTTCCTATTGTTTACATAGTTTCAAAATGATAACTGCTAGTCTAAGAACTTTTCTATGGAACTGCATCATTCAACTGCGGTTTGTTATTTCTTCCTTACCACTTCTGACTCAATGTTGTCACCATGGCAAAAACTTTTCATAAACTTCCCTTTGAAATTAATACCTAATACACAGATGCCCCACACTTAAATTGGGCTATGTTTATTACATTATCCATATTTCGCGCATGACAAAGGCTGGTGCACCCCTGATCCCGAAGAGGGTGTTTTTGCACGTGTTTTCTCGTGTATTCGTTGCTTAGTCGCGAGTGCTTTTCCTACCGCGCTTGCAAAAACACGATGCCCTGTTGCCATAAACATCTGAGACATATTCGATGCAGAGAAATTTCAAGCACCATTGAAAGAAAATAAAAAGTGCGTTTTGTGTGCTGTTTATATAGCATGGCATTTGCAGGTGCTTGTATGTAGACCGTGTATATGGTTTATGTTTGCATATGTCAATTTCGAAATTGAGTCTGGTACGGAGAGTTTATTTAACGTGGCAAGATAGTATTAACTGTGTTTTTACTGGTTCTAGAAATGTTTTTCAAAATCAAGTCAAATTTCAACTTGAGATGATCGCGGGTTACATGATACTTTATATGCGCGCTGCCATTTTACCGCCTTTGTGTCGTCGTTTTTACATTGGTTGTCCTAAATCAAAAATTCGTACAATTACGAAATACTTAGAAGGAAAGTTGCGGGCTTATAATCACCAATATTAGAATCGACTTTCGAAATTGCGGAACAGTATTCTATTTTCGAGTCTATATTTATATATTAGGAAACTCTATTCATACTTATGACCACTTACTTGTTATTTAAAAATAATTTTATAACACGTTTCTGGATATTTATACTATAATGCTTATCAAGCAGATATCAAAAATACATTGTATTTCTGACATGGTATGAAGCAGGCTTAAAATTTAGATACTTGTAACCAACCGCTGATCCAAACTGCGTAACAAGTTGCTAATGAGCAATGACCAACCACAACCGCTTAATCGATTTACTTATCCAGAGGTCAGAGGTCGGCTATGTGTGTGGCGGAAAAGGTGAAAGTTCAAGTGTTGTCGTTGTTAGTTAACACTTTACAATTAGAAGTGGAATTTATCTCGTTTAACATGTCTCGCTGTAGAACAAGGGTTTAAAAAAGTTAAAGCAGGTTAATTTCTATTTAGTAACCCTTCACTCAATAACGGTATATTGGAATATAAGTGTTCGGGGCCTTTTAATTAAAACACTTTAAAATCTTTGAACAAGTCAATGGCTGTAAGCTTAATAACTAATGAATATTTGTGATTGTTCATAGCTAACAATTTCAAACATTTTATTTCCGTTGTTTATTTAAATTTATGTATTTGACCATGATTTCGATTCGTATGGGCCTTCACAAATCAAAAAATATTTTTTTGCTACCAACCGATTGGAGCAAGATGTTTCTAAGTTATAATTGTTATAAAAATATGAACATATAAAGTTGTTCAAATTCGGCGGTTGAATGAAAAGTTTTTCCTCAAAACTGTTTTTGCTTTGTTATCGAGTGAATTGATTATGGGACATTTTAAATCATCAATTATATTCATTATAAACAACCAAAATTATATTCGTATGACATTTTACACCAACACGCACACGAGGGAAAGGGGATTTTAATCATGACCACGCCTTAAAATGAAAGCAGGAGCTATTGTTCAATTTCTTTGTTAACAAATATGCAGAAGAGCCCTATGCAAATCTATCAAAAATTGCGTGGGTTCTTTGAGAAAAGCTTGAAACTATCGATGCTATTTTCTTGTCTATACTTCCTTGTCCTCCAATAAACAGAATAGCACAATGAAAAAATAAATGCTGCGAAAATAAATGATGATGGTGACATTATTGAGAGATTGATTGAACCCTAGTTTCGATATAAGAAAGGACTTTTTAATAATGTGTGAACGTCTACAATTCTATCTTTTACCAGGATATGCCAATCATAGAATGGGAGTAATCAAGTGGGATTGCAGTAATATCATGTTTGATTATTACGATATGTGTGGCGTGTGTTCTGTCCGATAGTTACATTTTGATTATCACCAAATGTGAATGTCACTTTTTCACGCATGGGTCATTGATAAGTACCAAATATTTGGGTTGATTTCACTGCTTATTTCTTACTTTCCAAGTTATATCGTCACAAGCGAAAGGTGCCTTCAAAATACTATCGGGCCGTAATCGGAGATATGAAAAGGTAATCACGAGGCCTATCACTCCCACTTAGTTCAGCGATTATGAATTTCCGCCTATTTACAGCTTTTTCGGTCCCTCTTATTACAATACGGTCAAATATAGTATTGCTTTCAATAGAAATCGAACCAAAGCGTCGTCTCCTATGACTGTTTAAGCAGAATTTTGGCAGCGCGGGCGATATTTACATACAGTTTGTCTCATTTTGAAACAAGTCTTGATCACAAACAAGTATTTTGAGCTATTTAACGATTGTACCTTTCCCAAACTATTGCATGTATATTATTAAGTGATGGTTAGCATGGATGTAAATAGACGACTCAATCGCGCCCTTTCGTTGAAATGAACAATGGGAAATTTACACATTGACATATATACATGACAGCTAGTTCTACACGAGAGAAAATACTTAATTCGTCGTATTGACATATTGTTACGAAATAAAAATAAATTTGATCGATAGAGATATTTAGTGCTAACGTGAGCTTGATTTGGCGTGATTTTTTCGAGTTTCGAACTTCGCATTTATTAGTTAGAAAAAAAATAAATGTTGAAATAAATAGTATGGTATTGTTTATTTTTTAAATATTTTCACATATAGCATGTAAATACCACCTATATGGCTTCACATTTATCTAAAAGATTGATTTAACCGCGAAGTAATTTCACTAAATTTACATCGGAGGGTATGCATCTCTGATTGGATCATTTAAACGGTTAAAATCCCCGAAATGTCACTTTCATCAAACATATAATCACCCGGAAAGCCTACGAATCGTCGGTATATGTCAACGGTGGGCAAACCGCGGCTCGCCGGAGTTTTCATGCGGCTCTTCTCGCTGGCAATAATTATATATTATCCCAATTCAACTAAGATAAACTGTAACGTAACACTTTTTTTAATTCTTTAGGCGGCTGAAGAATATATATTTTGCAATATTGTTATTATACGTTTGTGTAAAGTTTTTTTCAGCTTTTCAGTTCACGGTAATCTAATATTATTAATTTAAAAAATACAAATTTTGCACACCCCTGGTATATGTGATGCAATCGCTAGGTGAAATATTTCTCGAGTAAATAATAGTTATTATAATGAAAATAAAATTATATAAATGAAACGTAAACATTATACTGTTTGTTTAATTGTCCCACCTTCCAGAATTTGTCCAATTAACAAGGAAATACGCAAATCCCGAAGACCTAAAAACGTCAGCACAGGTCTTTATCACATACAGATGGATGGTGGCGTTACCCGATATATCAAGTTACCATGCTTGCATAATAATTGATAGTTCGTCGATTGTTGTCCTTTTATTATTTTTACCCAAAATGCGCGCAAAAACAACATTACCTAATCTATAAATAATTGTTAAATTAACATAATATATTGTTATGAAAGTGATTATTATAGATATCCGGCATCCGGGCCCAAATGTTTAAAAATATCTTACTTATATAAAGAAATCACATTTTTATTGAAACAATTAAAATAATGCAAAACCAATAAAGTTTTTATTTGGCTATGATTAAGGATTATAACAAGAAGTTAGTTGGGAGTTTAAACTTATGCTGAGGGCAGGAACTAAGTCTTATTTATACAACTATATAGTCCTATGTAGGGGGTGTAATTTGGGCGTGTCAAGTGTACGAATCTGATATCTTTAGAGAGTCGGTGATTTCGCCTATACAACTTCAAGAAGTGTTAACGCATTTCATTCGAATTTTCCCACAAGTGCTCTAGTTACCAAATCACTTTTTAGTCGTGTTGCTTGTATAAACCTGGCTTCGGTGAAACGTAGTTCTT